GCCCGCGGATGGAGAAGCGCATGACACGGCTGGGCATGATGTGATGACTTGACCTCTTACCTCTTCATTTTCTTCTTACTTTCTTCTTGATGACTGCTTTGTCATCTGTTTTAATACCGCCACGTTACATCTTCTTTTCTTTTTACCTTTTGATGACACGACATAATCCTACCTCTCTCTTATTTCTCTCATGACGACTTTCTTTATCTCTTTTTCTTGCCTTTTCCTATTCCTGTTTTCTTTCTCAAATATACCCCGGCCAGATCGGCAACCCGGTTGAGGAGTTTTTTTAGTCTTATTCAACTTGGTTTCTTTTACTTTATACTGTTTTTTTTATTCCATTTCTTTGTTCTTCTTCTATTCGGCTTTTTGGGTGGACTGGGGATGGACGAGGGCTTCTGTGAAGGCAGTCTTTGTCAAAAGACAGGACGTTCGATGTGATTATAGCTCAAGAGAAGCCAGCGTAGGAGCCAGAAATGACTTCATAGAACGCAAAGCTCAAGGCAATACCACATTTTCGGCAGAGAACCCCGAAAGGGATCTTTTCTGTAGTTATAGATGCACTTTGTACCACTTTCTTATTTTCTATTTACGGTGAGAGTGAACACCACAACGACGAGTCTTCGTTACCAAAGGAGACCGGCAATAACGAAGGCCTATGTCGTAGCTAATATATTATTAAGACGGCATACGGTGAACGTCCCGCGATCGTTGTCCGAAACTTTTGCACTAAAAACCAAGGTAGTGTCGATCAACTTGCCGCTTACCGCCAGTGCAAAGAGAGCTCCCCGCAGTGCGGAGTTACATTAATCTCAAAGGTCGACCTCGGCTTGGGTTAGTGTGCGGGCAAAGAAACGGCTCTTCAAACGGATTGGCAAGGACTTTGGATGCACAGACCGGAGTATGAATGCGAGAACGAGGGGAGTGGAGATTGAGGGCAAAGATGTGACGAAATGCACAGGGACAGAACCGGAGTGAACGGCAGCAAGGCTATTTTGCAAGTTTGCATCGAACAAGGTCTGCATCGATTCGGAGCCCCCTGAAGCCATAAGTCAACCGCAAAGTGGCACGGGTGGGAGCTAAACGGTACATTGGTACAATGCCACATCGAACGTGCCCCGTGGTTCACCAGCAGTTGCACCGCCCGAGATAAACACTGTCTTGCGTTTACTTTTTGCGTCTATGAAAGAGGAGAAAAGGTCCGCTGTAAGTCCGAGATATTTGGCGGCGGAAGACAAGAAAGAGGAAACAAGATACAGAGCCTGTCGGAGGCTCCTGCTCAGAAAGAAAAGGTCATGGACGGCGAATGGGCTGGCGCCTTTCCCGAATGGGAAACAGCAAATCTGGGGAATTGCGCTGTTTGATACCATCGCACCGAGCTAGAGAGCTAAAGTGCGGGGAGGGAAGGAAGCAACGGCAGCGAGGCCACTGAGCCTGCTAGTGTGTGAGGAGACGGTCCAAATGTTTTTACGAAGAAGGTAGCGAGCACAGCGCAGAGGGCAGGACGGTTCCACTTGGCTGTCCAAGTTCAAATGGCAGCTCTAGCTTAAGAAGGGACACAATGATGACAGGTACGACGGACATCTTCTGTTTGTAATACGTCGACGTCGTACGATAGCCGTGCCTGCCATTTTGTGTTCGGCTGGCAAGACGACTCGGGTTCCTGAGTTCCGTTCCGATGCGTCGTTCCTGCCAACTGAAACGGCGTTGGGAAGCCGCAACAGGTAGATAGCTGAAAGGGGATATAGGGAGAGGGACAAAAGAAGGAAAGAAAAGAAAGAACGATGGGTAAAAGGAAATAGTGTTGTATTTGCTCGTTCCTCCGACGTCCTTCGTCCTTTCCTGTCTGGGCATTTTCTGGGCTTCTTGCCCCCCATCCCTCCCCTCTTCGTCGCCTCTGCCCCGTCTAAACAAGGGAAGGTACCACATACGCCATTGCGCCAGCCTCGGCTCGCTTGCTTCTGTTTTGGCCAGCTCCAGTCCCTGATCGCGCTGCTCCTCTTTCCCATGCACAACTCCGGGGATGGGGTAACGCGGCTTGTCGGTATGCACGATGGCCGAAGGATCCCCTCTCTCTCCCCATATATTTACTCGAGCGAGGTACGCATTGCTGTGGCCGGCCGTTGACCGTGTTCGTTCCGATTGTCGATTCACATCTGCACAAACAGATTCAGTGCTGCCTTTCCGGTGACCGCTTGTCCTTCCTTCTTTTACGTCGAGTTGGCAAGCAGCTGTTGACGCCTTTTTGTCCTTCCCTTTTAAGCTTTGCTTTTGCCACAAAACTACTCGACGGTGTTTTACTTGGCGACGATATCCGCGATATTTGATCTGACGACCATCACTTGACAATACAAACCCGACACCATGACGATCGTTTCACGGCACAACTCACCGATTCCGCGCTGCTCGCTGCAGCAGTGGATTTTCGGTTCGTCCCAGGAACCGCTGTCGGACAAGAGGCTCCTGATCGATGCCGACCGGCCCGACACTCACTTTATCTCCAAGTCTGACTACCGTCTGCTGAGCAAGCGCATCGCCCTCGGCTTGCAGGATGCCGGTTTGGAGGCCGGCGACCGGATGCTGCTTTTCTCGAGCAATGACATCTATTTCCCCCCCATCTTCGTGGGCACCCTCATGGCAGGCGGTATCTTCAGCGGCGCCAACCCGTCGTATGTCGCGCGCGAGCTGGCCTACCAGCTGCGAGACTCGGGTGCCAAGTTCGTAATTACCGCCGCCAACAGCCTGGCCACGACTCTCGAAGCGGCGGACGCGGTCGGCCTGCCGCATGACCGGATATACGTGCTTGACGCGGTCCCAGATCCGCCTTCTGATGTGGTCTCGACCGAGAACCCGCCGAAGCAGACACTGCCCGATGGTGGCGCCAGCGGTGTCCGGCACTGGCTCGATCTCTTGCAGGGGAATCACCGGCGGGCGCAGGTCTGGGACTGGGTCGAGCCCACGGATCCTGCCACAACCACATGCGCTCTCAACTACAGCAGTGGCACGACGGGCATGCCCAAGGGCGTCGAGATCAGCCACCACTCCTATGTGGCCAACTGCGAAAGCGTTGTCTCTGTCGGCCGCAACGACCCAGATATTGTCGCCGCGCGCCAGCGCACGGTTGGCCTGTGCTTCCTGCCCATGTACCATGCATATGGGCAGACGTACTTTATCGCCATCATGGCCCAGATGGAGATCCCCGCGTACATAATGGGCAAATTTGACTTTATCAAGTTCCTTGACCACATCCAAAAGTTCCGCGTCACGACCTTGTCGCTCGTGCCACCCATAGCCGTGGCCTTGTCCAAGCACCCCATCGTCAAGAAGTACGATCTGAGCAGCGTCGAGGCTGTCTCTAGTGGTGCCGCACCACTGGCCAGTGAATCTGTTGCGGCCCTCCGGAAGCTGTGGCCCAACGCCGATGTGCCCGTTCGCCAGGGCTGGGGGATGACCGAGGTCACGTGCACGTGTTTGACATGGACCGCCGATACCGATGCTGGGGACGGTTCAGTCGGCGAGCTTGGAGCCAACTACTCGGCGCGGCTGGTGGCGGTCGACGAAGGAGGTGGCAGTGGCTCCCCGAAGTACATCACCGAGGCCAACAAACCGGGCGAACTCTGGGTGACCGGCCCGACACTGATGAGAGGCTACTGGCGCAACCCCAAGGCCACCGAGGAAACCATCCATGTCGACGCCGACGGCACCCGCTGGCTCAAGACGGGCGACATTGCCTATGTCAACCGCTACGCCACCGGCGCTGGCTTCTTCATCGTCGACCGCCGTAAGGAGCTCATCAAGGTAAAGGGCAACCAGGTCGCGCCGGCCGAGCTTGAAGCCGTGCTGATCGAGCGGTCGGATGTCGTCGATACCGCCGTAATCGGTGTCGCAGTTTACGGCGAGGAGCGGCCTCGGGCCTACATCGTGCGCGCAGCCGGCTCAAAAGCAACCGGCGAAGACATTGCGAAGTGGATGGCAGCACGGGTGGCACCGTTCAAGCGGCTGACTGGCGGCGTGGTGTTTGTTGATGAGATCCCCAAGAACCCGGTGAGTTTGCTCCTTGTCATTTGCTCTTATCCGTGTAATTTTCACGACAACTAACAAAAGAAGTCGGGCAAAATCCTTAGAAAGATCCTTCGGGACCAGGCGAGCAAAGAGAGATGGTCAAAGCTGTAGAAGGCTGTCGATGACAAAGCATTGCTATGAATGGAGCGTCAATTTCGTTGTTTCGTGATCTTTGCTAGATACATGCGAATCTCATAATGTTGTTGACGGACAAGACTAGAAAGAGAAAGAAAAGAGTGACGAGATATGAAAAAGCAACAACGGGGCTTTTAACTGAACGAGATCAAGAGGTCGTGCTTGGGAGGGGAAGCGGAGTCGGCGGATTTGAACCAGGTCCGTAGCAAGCAGTAAGCACGGCAGTGCATCTCACCCCCTCTCAATCGCACTTTCCTTTTGACCCGGACCCATTTACGTCAAGCTCGGATGGTCTTACCCGATTTGCCAACATAACGCAAACGAGCGTCTTCTTTCCAATTTTTTGTTGGAAGGTGTCAGGTCGTGGTTCCGTTCATTGTTGTCTAGAGGCAGAAGGAGCTTTTTGGCGGAGTCCTTTGCTGTAAGACGAAGCTTCTCATTCGCTGGATTCAGCAGCCCAAATGCGTCTGGGCCACAACGGTCTTGCCCGAGGATTTATGCACTGAACGCGAATTTGCCTAGCGCTGACACTACCAATTAAAAAGACGTGCCAGGGGTCAACGACCACTCAAGGGCAGAAAGGGACACTTTGCACCAAAAACGGCCAAGTGAAGCTATTTCGATCGTCCTTCCACTTTCACTGTCGACACATCGACAACTCAACTCACTCGTCGCTCTTCGACCTCGTTTCTTGCCCTCTTTTTGACGATGCCGACCCTCGACCTCCCATGATTTTACCACCTTAACGACTCGACAACGCAGTATCATCGCCTCCCAAATCCCCAACCCCCAAACCCGTCGCCATGTCCGGCCTTCTCTCCCTCGTCGGCTGGAGCTTCCTGCCCAACGTTTGTTTACCTCCATCTACCGTTTCGTTTTTATTCAGGCTCCCGAGACGCATCTAACACATGCACATGCACGTCTAGTTTGTCACCGGCTGGACACAGTCTATATACTACTCCCTCACCATCCGCGCAGGTGACCCGCGGCCCATGCCCGGCACCCCTCGATTTGCCGAGCACCGCCGTCGCATCCACATCCTCGTCGTCGCCCTCTATCTGGCGTACACCATCTACGAGGCTGACTACGAACTGCGCCGTGCCGGCTCCTTCTACCGCGACATTGGCGTGCCCCTCACCGCCACCGACCGCGAGATCAAGTCGCGTTTCCGCCGTCTCGCCGCCCTGCACCATCCCGACAAAGCCGGCTCGGCGGGCGCCGACGAGGCCACCATCAACGATTACTTTGTCCACCTCAAGACAGCCGCCGACACGCTGCTCGACCCCGCCCGCCGCTTTGCCTACGACCGCTTCGGGCCCGTGTCTGTCGCCTGGGCCACCAACAACAGCAACAATGGCCAGAACCGCTGCTCCACCATCTACGACTTTGTCTCCATGGGCGTGCGCACCCTCACGCCCTACTATACCGTGGCCGCCGCCGCGCTGTACGGGTTGGGCCTGGTTGGCTACCTGACGTGGGGCCGCTATGAGCGCTGGCTGGTCTTGACGAGCGTCTTGGTCTTTGAGCTGCACACCATCTCGCGTCCCTACCACCCGCAGATCCTGACCGACGTGCTCAACCCTCTGTTCGCTGCATTGGTGCCGCAGCACGGGCCCTACTTGCCCTTCCAGGCCATCCAACTCGCCCGCAAGCTCAGTTTGACCATGTACATTGCGTTTTCGCAGATCGGACCGCTTTTGGGCGCCGACACGCGTAGCGGCCAGGTTGTGACCGCCGACAGCGAAGCCAACCCGAGTGGGGGTGCCCAGGGTGCCGCCGACCCGGCCCTGCTGGCTGCGCTGGAGCGCCTCGAGAGCACAAGCCGGTCACTGGACCAAGACGCCACGCGGCTGCTGGAGATGGAGATGGCGCCGTTTGTGGGCCAGGACGAGGTCCTGAGCAATGTGCGTGGCAAGATCAAGGAGTGGCTGGTACAGAACACCATCCGGGCAGATCCCATGGTGCGCGACGCTGTCGGCCGGTCGTTGCAGAAACGGCGGACAGACGCACCAGCAGGCGCACGTGGAACAAGGTAGACAGCAAGTTTGTTGGTCGGAGCCACTTCTGCTCTTTTTCTTAGACATGATATCAGCTCCCTTTTTGAGATAACCCTGTGCAATACAATAGACTTGAATTTAGAATGACTTTCTTATTGCAACGTTGACAGAAGCACTGGATCCACCAGCAAACATGAGAAACAGTAACAGCGCCCTGATGTCAATCAATGTCAAACCCTCGCCGGTCCATGGCACCCGCACTACCTTGCAGTGACATCTAATCGTACTTTGATTGTCTCGACAGCATCATCTGCGCAAGCTTGCACTCTTCGGCAAAAATGGCCTTTTTGAATGTCTACGTCACATTGTTAGCTGCGAACGATCAAGACGGCAACGAAGGCACAAGTTTGAGAAATACCTTTTCGTTTTCCTTCATCTCCTTGGTGGCCTCCGCTGCCGCTGCATCGAGCTCCTTCTTGGCCTTGGCGAGAATCTGGTCCCGTTCTTCGTCCTCCTCGTTCTCGCTCGTCATGGCTTGCAACACGTCCATCGCCTCCTTGTGCGCCTGGTCCCACTCTTTCCAGAGCTTCTCGAGGTCGCTCTCCAAGGCCACGGCGGATGCACGGACCATTGCAATGCGGTCGACAACCCGCTCATTCTTTTCCACGGGACCTCCGCCACCGACGTCACCGCGTCCAGTGCTCTCGCGCGTCTGCACCTTGACCATCCAGGACTCGGCCGACCGGCTAAAGTGTGCCTGCTTGCCCACCACAGTGGACAGAAACGCTTCCTCCCGCTGAGCCATGCGGCCGAGTTCAGCCTCGAGCTCGTCTTGGGCAGCGGCCATGCGGTTGGTGGCTTCCGAGTGCAGCTCCTCAGCCCGGCTTGAGTAGCTTTCTGCAGAACGTGAGGTCAGAATGGGCCATGGCTGTTGAACTACTTGGTCATTGACACTCACCCTGCAAGCCTGTGAGATCGGGCCGGTCAATTTCGATCACAGGAGGAGATGTCGATGCCGTCCGAATTATCTGCGCGGCCGGGGTGACGACGGTACGCAACGAAGAGAATGACGACGCTGATGACGGCTCGAAATATTGAAAGGCATGGTGTCCACTGCCAACGGCATGGTTGGTCATCGTAGCCTTAGCGACAAGGCCAGACGACCGGCTCTGGTTCTGAATTGACTCAAAAAAGGCACCGGTCGGGTCGATGGGCACTTTGTGGTGTGTCGGTGGAGGTGTCAAATCGAGATCGCGGCTAGATAAGGCCCTCGCACTGCTTCCAACTCCCTTCCCACCCTGCTCCTTGTCGTCTTGCAGTACCGTTTGCAGGCGCTGCTCAAAGATCTCTGACCAGTCAGCCATTGTTAAGCTATGGGGAGCTACAGGGAACAAAAAAAATATGGTCCCGAATCAAAACTTGTAGTGGTTGATGCGCTGACAAAAGAAGATGAGGTTGGTGGCCAAGAAATCCGATTCTCGATGATACTTTCAGGGGCGAGGAATGAGACACATTCCGCTTATTGTGAAATTCAAAATGTAAACAATCGGAAGGAGCGATGTGCGCACCGTCGCGAAGAGAGAAGGAGCTATCTCGACCTCCTACTCAATGCAGTCAGGGGTGAACGAAGGCGAGAAGTTCACTTTCAGGGAAGGAGCGACGATGGTTTGGACCTTGAAGCTTCGTAAGCAGTAAAAACAAATATGTGGTATTGGGATATATGAAAGAGTCATCAAAAAAGCTATTGAAAACATATGCAAAATTGTGACTAATATACCAGGGGCGTTTCAGACGCATACACAAAATAAAAAAAGCGATGCTTTTCGCCGGAACCCCCATTAAAGCTCTCTACTTTTCGACTAACTCAAAAAGAGTCTGCAAAGGTATAAACGTCGGTAACGGACGAGAGGCCGTCGACGTACGTAATATAATACAGACGAAAAGCAGCAAAATCAGTTGGACGGGGAAAGGTAGACAGAATAGATGTCTCATAGGTTAGGCCGTCACTACTTGCTCTGCCGTGAAGGAAGGTCTGGCGCGCCAAAGGCAGAGGGTGACCATGACTCGCCCAGATCAAGGTGCCGGCTCTTGGACGACTTTTCTGACTTGGTCGGCTTGTCTCGCTTGGTGAGCTTATCCGTATCCTTGTCCTTTTCCTTAGCCTTATCCTTGTCTTTGTCTTTTTCTTTCTCTCCCTCCCTCTCTTTGTCTTTGTGGTGGTGATGGAAGATTTTATGGTGTTCGTGTTCGTGGAGTTCACGGTCCTGCTCACGGCCACGTTCCCGCCCTTTCTCGCGGTCTTTCACTTCGCGCTCCCGGACTTGCTCGCCGTCCTTGTTGAACTCACTGTCTCGGGTGTCCAAGCCAGGCACGCCGATATGCTCGGGGCTGGCTGTCCGGGGTTTGCGGTTGATGATACCACTGAGGAACTTGCGTGCTTGTTTGCCATTGCGCAGGATCTTGATTGACCCGCCGATGTCGTATTGTTCTTTACCATTGCTGTTGCCATTGTTGCTGCTAACTTGGCGCTCCTTGTGGTCACGTCCCCAGTTGTCGTCCACCTCGCTGCCCGAGGATCCCGGTGGTGCCAAGCCGCCACTGCGGCTGCCGATATGGCCGCTATAGCTGTTGACGCTGACGCCCTCGGCGTTCTCCATCCAAGTTGAGCTGTTACCATAGGAGAGATTCACGGTGTCCGCCAAGCTAGCCTGTTCCATTGACTCAGCGAGTGTTTCTTCCGGCTTGGGATGCGAGCTGTCCGTATCCGTTGATTGACGAAGCACCACCGTGCGCGTAAAACATTCGTCTGACAGTGCCTGGAGCTCCACACAGACACCGTTGAATTCCAAGAGGTCGCCGTCGTAGACGTGCGTGGGCGCGGAGAGCGGGTGTGCGTCCATCCACATCTTCACCAGAGCTGCGATGTAATGGGGCTGGTCGATCAGATAAGGGAGGCTAGGAAAGCCCTCGCGAGCTGCAGGAGACAACCGGCCCATAATGGCGATGGGTGTCGAGTATGAGGCTGGCAATATCGGGGCGGCGTTCACTTTCTCCGCGGGAATTGAGCACACAGCATCGATAAAGTCCTTGACCGACTGTCTCTGCCCGGCTAAGAAACGGTTCATGGGTTCCATCCAGGTCTCCTTCTTGCCAATCGTTGACAGGTTAGCAAGTGCCTGCAATCCTTTGGCAATGAGGGTGAGAGTCCGCTGCGCCTGAGGGCGGGGGTGGTCGCGCAGCAGGCCAAACAGCTTGGGGTTCAGAATCGCTGGGCAGATAAAGCGGAGGAAGAGGAAGCCGGACACACTCGTGTACGCGACAGTACGCAAAAAATCACCGTACCGGTCCTCAGCAACGGCTCGGATGTATTTCAAGATGTGGCGCAACTCCGACGGGAATCGCGCGGCCGAAACAGTGATGCACTCCCATATTTCATAGGTGAATCCCATCAGTAGCTCCCAGTGCTTGTGAATGTCTTCATGATTGGACACCTTGCTGGGGTCCACTTCGCAGTCAGGATTGACCTCGTTAATCTCAAAAATCTTCTCGGACAATATCTCTTCGAGATACTCCTTGCCAAGGCGGCGCATGTGGAACTCCAGTGCCTGTGTCAGCAGAGAGTTGCCACGGAAGAGCAGATTGGCTTCTCCTTGAAGTGAGCGGCCCATGTCACGAACCATCTGTTCTCGGTCACTCGAGGACTCCATAGACTCGTTGGACCGGAGACGTCGACTGAAACGCATCTTCTTCATGGTCGTCTGGTTCCCGATGCCGTCGATTTCGTCCTCGACTAAAGCCATGAGCCAGTCCGCTGCTGTACCGGAAACTTGGAAGATGTTCAAGAACACCTCAGAGAGCCGGCGCAGGCTACCCGGCATAACTTCCGCAATCTGCAGGGTAAGACCAGAGCTGAACTTTTGTAACATGTCTAAGACAGGCTTGTATTCTTTGACGGATAGCACGGCTAGCTCTTCGTGGTGGACTTTGATCAGCATCGTGCCAACGGTCTGCTGCCTGTCGTCAATGACTGGAAGCCAATGCTCATGGTCTTTGCCTTTGTCCATGTCGGCCAACGATATGTCGACGGCACCGTAGTTGTATTCGAATAGATTTCCAGTCTGGGGCAGGCCCAATGACGCTTGGAGCTGATGGGTGAAGCTGTCGAGACTTCCATCCACCCGCTTGAGAACGACAGACAGATAAGGAAGCGTAGAGGGTAGGTCGCCGAACTCGCAGTCTTCTCGCCAGAACGGGTTCTTTGTGTCTGATTTGATGGTTGTTCGGGCTCGTACCTCGCCATCAAGAATCACCTCAGCCAAGTAGTTCCCAATCAGCTGCTCGGGATCATTGTTCTTTGCTAACTTGCCATGATGCCGTTCATGGGTGCGCTCCTGAGGTAGCACAGGAACCGGGCTGCCGTCGGGTAGTATGCGGGGTTTGATTTTAGCCTCCGTAACCCGCAAGTTCAAGGTCTTCTCGAGGCGGAACAGCTGCCGCTGCCGTGTACGAACAGGCGTCTCTGATGACCCCTTCTCTCCAAGCCCCACGAATTTCTCGTCTGGGGTTGGTGGTGCCGAATCGTCCTCGACGGCTTCCTCTCGCTCGGTCTGCATGTCCGTTATCGAATACACTTGGTTGTCCTTTGAGGGATCCAATACGTAAACGTCAGGGACAGCAAAGGCTCGCAATAAGACAAACCACACCTCAAAGGCAACTCGTGAATCGAGGGCGATGTAGACAGGACGGAAAATGGATAGGTGCGTTGATGTTGGTGCGTAGATGGGGAAAATGGCGATGCAATAGTCGTCGTCGAGCACTGACTTGTCCAACTGTTGGATGGCGCAGCGACTGAGCTGAGCAAGCTCAATGACTGATAAAATTGTGACATCGTTCTCCGTCATGAGCTTGAATTCACCATTTCCTTGCAAAATGCAGGAGACACGGCGCCATGATGTCTGTATGGATCTGAGGTCACGCGTGGAAGGCCGCTTCACAATGGCGCGTGGTGATGTAGCGGCGCCCTTGTCCCACAGCATGACCTTGCCGACCTTGATGATGGCTCCTTCTTTGACCTTTGCCGCCGACGCCCGGCGTTTACTAGAGTCAATGGTGGACGAGCTCGTGCTACGGCTATTTGGCGGCTTGGAAGTGGCTGGAGGGGCGGCCACGACGCCGGGGCTCAGACGTAGCTGCTGCCAGCAGAGAAGTGCGGCGAGCCACAAATCAAATTCGGTGGCCACAAGAGGCCGAAAGATGATCTCTGTTGTCGCTTGGGCATTGGCAAGCTCCAAGCACCTGCCGTCTTTATCGGGCCGGACTGCGGGCACAACACGGCAGCCGCGAAGGTCGGCCACCAATGCCATATGGAACGGACCATGGTCACCGGCGTCGAACATGAGGCTGCCCTTCTCTTCTTCAATATACGACATGCCCTGGTGCCACGACTCCTCTCCCAGGTTCCGGTATTCAATTTCACCGCGCATCCTTCCACAAAGATTTTTCATGAGCATGAGAACTTTGTTGGCATTGTCGGTCGGGATTGGTAGTGGCAATGAATCGACGGATGGTGGTGGTGAAATGAGGGGCGAGGTTGGACGAGACGTGGATCTCTTTATGAGCCGCCTACTAGAGGACTTTTTGTCCCTTGACGAAGTGACCGAGGGGGCAGAGGACACGAAACCTGTCCCGCCGATAGATGAGACGCTGCCGGCGGACGAGGACGCCGTGATGCGGCCAAAGGGAGCTGACGTCGGTGTGGCCTGGGTCTCAGAGGATCTGGTGGCGGCGATGTGGGGATAGCTGAGCAGCGACTCAAGCGGGGGTCCTTGCAGCGAGGACGTCGAGCGAAAGGTGCTATCGACCGTGCCTGACGAAGAGAATGAGCCAACCCTATTCCTGCTCTCGGGAGAGGCGCTGGAGACAAGGGGTTCGCGAAATAAAGAAACACCATCCATGGTGTGCGTCCGAGGACGCAATACGGCGGGCCGGGACGGGGGACTGGACTCAGAAATGGTGCTGTCAAAGGGGCTAGCCATGGTGTCGCTGAAAACAACACCCTGTCGACGACTGGTTGTGCTGCCATGGTGGGACAGAGCTCTTGGTGAGCCCTGTGGCGACATGGATCCAAATACGCGTGGTGGTAGGGGAGGTACTGTGGACGAAGAGATGCCGGAATAGGCGTTGGCCGCATCCAACAGGTCTTGTGTGACGATTGTGCTGTGGTCGAGGGGTTCAGGTGTGACAGCTCGAATCGTAGGCTGCATGGCGGGTACCGAGGCAGGGGGTGCTGGGTCGCTCGGTGCTGTGGAGGTGTTGGTATTGATATCAGTTGTCTGGGAGGAGACGGATGGCAGCGGAAATGTGGCGCTCTCGCTCATGCGTGCAGGTGTTAATGGCGACTCTGGCAATGAAGGAAGATGAGGAGCGCGAGACGACGTCTGGGATATCTGCGATCCTTGAGACACATGAGGTACTGTCCCATGGTCGAGCTGAGGGGCAAACTGTGGGTTCGGAGAGGTGAGGTGTTCGGGCAAGCTCACGGGCCGATCCCTGTCACGGCCTCGGTCACGATCCCGTTCGCGGTCACGACCGAATGAGGACCGCCCTTCCATTGTGGGCGGCCACGTTCTTCAGGATCTGTGGTAGGTCGAGTTAGTGTTAGCAATGCTTCTGCATTGTGCAGAAGCATAGCAGAGCTGCAATCGACCAGGCGATGTGCTGAGGAAGCTAACGCTTGGTGGTCGGAGGCTCCCGGTCGATCACCTTTGTACGTTGCGGTCCATTTGGTTGAATACATCAATGGCCGATTATGAGGCGCGGCGAGCTGGCCTGGTGTTCCGCCAGCGAGTGACGCAAAGTGAATAGTTGAAAACTGTGCGCAAGTGTCAACCGGAGCAGCTCACGTCCGGGACTTTGTCAAACCAAATTCTTTGCGCTGCGCATGGTAGGTCAAGGAAGTCAGATAGGGCGTCCGTTGGTCCGTTACCATTCTCGAGCCAGAGCAGCGTGCGGTGAGCGGGGATGAGGAACAGCTGCACGGATGTTGTTGATATGCAACAGTAAATGAGAGCCAGAAATGACAGAAGAGAGAGGAATGCAAATATACTCGGACAACAAGGGGAATAGCGAGATGGCGCGACGGAAGAGGAATGAAAGACGCGGAAGACAATCAAAGCGAGGGAGAACGAAAGACAAAGCGGCGACCGCGGGGAAGGTTGCTTTGTGTGGGTATGGACGACAATTGAGGAGTCTGAGAGGAGCGAGAAGAGTTTAGAGGCTCCACTTGCGAGGCCTGCGGTGTCCGTAGACTAGTGCGAAGAGAGCACAAGCTTAGGACACAATGTCGATGGGGAACCCGCGTATGTCGTAGCTTCAGCAGCCGTGGTGGTCTAAAGGCTATCCAAATCACAGGCAAATAATTTCGTGGTTGCCGGTGCGTTGCAAGATAAGCTCGTTCCTGTGATGGGGCTGAGATGTCCTTGATTGCGCAGCTGATGATGACTAGCAGCCCTTGACGTTGTGCCCATACAGCGCGAGCAGCGTGCTCTTCCTTGGCCAGGTGCAGTATCAGCGGAATTGCAGGAGGAGGTTAAGAGTGCACCAAAGCGACGAATATGGTCGAGAGGGGAGGCCAGTGGACTAGCGAAGCGAAGATGGCGTCGATGATCTCCAAGACGGCGCTGGACTCGAAAAGACAATTCGCCCGTACTTTGTGGGCGAGAGGGTGCTTGGGGGCGTATAACGGTGCAGCGCTGTGGCGCTCTTGGTGGGATGGAGTCGTCCTATGCGGCGTTGTCGAGACGATGTTTTAAAGGGGAATGTTGATAGAAGAGCTAGAATCAGGTGAAGACGCAGAAATGCACTACGACAAGGATATCAAACTGGGCGAGGAAAGACCAGTGGGCGAACCGCAAGTACGGAGCATCGTCTGTTCTAAAACAGGCAAGCAGGGACTGGACACGGGGAAAGAACAACCAGCCGAAAATGAGGGACTGATGCAGGGAAGGTGCAATAAAGGCCATTGCAGTGGATTAAAGAAGGAGGTCACATTCCGTCGCATCTCGTCCGTTCGTCTTCACTTCCTTTCTACTAGCCGTCTCCGCCGTCATCACTGACGACACAGTAATGCTACGGACATAATCAAGCGACGCGCAAACGTGCCATGTTTCAATGTCAGTACGGCGTACATGGAAAGCATGCTTACCAACATCTGGGCCGACCGACGTCCCCTCCGCAGAAAAGAAATCAGAGTACGGGAGAGTGTCCCAATTCAGATCTTTTATTTCTTCTATCTTCCTCTGTTTATTCTCTCTTCCTTATTTTCGCTCCATCTCACAAATCCTCCGCCCTCTACGACCGTACGGCCAAGTGCCACGGCATCCATCTCTTGCTACCTATTTACTCTCCTCGAAACGGAAGAACTCACACATAACCACAACAATCCGAGTTCGATTGTGGAGAAACGGCCAAGGCCAGTGGGCCCTTTGTCAGGGACGGACGGCCTGAAGATCGGCAACGCTTATTCTGTAATGGGGGTGGTCCTTTCGGCGCGGCGAAGCCACAATGCGCATTCCTCCTCTTTTACTAGAAAGCTGCTGTTCCTGCTCTATCGTATCTCACCCATATTCGAAATGTAATTATTACAGGGGTTGACCACGATAGGTGGCCCTTTGGTCTGGCTCTAGGCCTGGTCGAGCCTGGCCTGTCTTCTATCCCAGTCAGCCGAACGCCAGCGTGTATGTATGTTGGAAAGGAGTGCCGCATTTTGGGAAAGCATGCCTTTGGGAACAGGGAGGGAGATGCAAAGAGAGTTGGATGATTTGATAGGCGGTTTGGAGAGGAGGAGGGACGAAGGGAGGAGGCAAGGGAGAAGAACAATTAAGGAACACCTTGAGAACAATGAAGAACACAGGGCCTACAGCCAACCATTGCGACGAGGATAACCGACTTACGATATATTACCGTTGCATTTCTTTCGAAGCCAACAGACACTATCGAATCCACGTAGAAGTCAAAGCACCAACTCAAAATAACAATACACCAATGTGACCTAGCTCTTTCTGTCCGAAGTCGATGGGTACATAGGTGATATTATGACACGGTGCTTTGGGAGAGGGCAAAGCATCCCCCAGACCCCCTTCTTGAGTCGACTAAGAACGCCACGGATTCTCACTGGCCGCCCCCAACGACATACACTATCTAGACCGGACAGATTCGACCGGACTGATCACAGCCACTCGGTCATCATTGTGCTCATACTTCGTAGAATGCGACCGCTAGGGGTACCGGGTTTTGGCATGGGGATCGCAGGGATGTTTGTGTCAGACTGCGGAGTATTATCTATGGTGTGCGGATTGCTGCTTCATGGAAATTCAAGTGCGAAACGACCGACTAACGAGTCGTCCACATCGGCAAATGGGAAAGAAAACGAGAAGAAGTGGCGCAAGGACCGAATAGCATCCTGCATTTGCATGGAACGAGATCATGATTCTATGATAATATATCGCCACCCCACCATTCCCAAGGTGGTGATGCCGAAGAGAATCATCTGGTCAGATACGACATGAAGGAGCATCTCAACCGTAAACAGCGGCATTCTCCGGCCCAAAATAACGCAGTAATGGCCGCAAGAGGCGCTGGATCACACTTGTGGTTCTTGGCCGGCTGGTAAGCCAGGGAGGCCAGGAGGTCACACCAGGCCATGTGCTCTGAGCCGCATGTCATCTGTAGACGTGATTTGTATGCAGGAACCAGGCACCGGCTAATTCCAGACCGTGATGGGAGACCATGGCACCGCTCGGACTTCCCAAAATTGCGCGTCGTAAGACACGACCGTTTTAAGGGTGTGGTGGACTGCTTTCTATCAAAATGTAGCCAGTCGCAGACGTCAACCATTGCAACATCCACAGGGTCAACTACGATGCAGTGTTGACAACTTCTACAAGGCTGTTGAGACTACTAGAGCAAATCTTCAGGGCCAGACGGTTGAATTTACGGCAGGAATCCTGCCAGCCTGCTAAGCTGCCTCCCAAGAGGAAGGAGCCGGCCTGCCGGTAAAGCACGGCCGCTGATATCCGCTGACACTTTGTGGAAGACAAATGTGACAAAAACCCGAAATTGCGTGTCGTGTAGATAATTCCGGACAAATGCGAGGGCATGACATCTGCGATCAACGGCAATCAACATGAGGAATAAAACATGCAGGTGAAAAGATGTGGGGAAATTCATTTTTGAGGACGGCCTGATAGTTGTCTAGACAGACTTAACAGTGTGTAATATAATGAATATAATTAGCACTGTAAAGGACACTGTATTACGTAAACTTTCGAATGTGGCGGTTGCGCCCTGCGCCACAATAATATTTTCTTCCCTCCCACTCCCCTCTTTTTTCTTTGGGGCTGCCGGAACGCACAAACTTTTTTTAGTTCGGAAAAATTAGATACTGTGTGCGAAAAAAACCCTCTATGTCCAGCATCAGTAGGCTTCTTTTGCACTCCCGCAAAATCGACACTTCACGACCATCACATCACACCCAACGACAACGACTCCAGCCGAGTAACAACCGCCAAGATGGTCAACATTCCGAGTAAGTAGTTGAAACGGCAATCCAAAGCACACGAGAAGGACGAAGGACAGAATATACAGCCAGCAAGCCGTCACCGAAACCGCCAACCCCGCCCAGTCGCGAATGAAACCATAATCGTCCAAGTCGAGGTTTTGTCAAACTACGATGCGTGGGACGGATAGCGGCGACGGTGACGGTAGTGCCGGTTGGCAATGCTGGCAACGGGAAGGAAGATCAAGGCTTTGAAGAGGTCGTGGCCATGACAATGTTGAAAGATTAGATTGCTAACTATGTTTCGTGTATAGAGACGAGAAAGACCTACTGTGCGTTCACATTCCCTTTTCGAACACCGACGACTGAATATGAACTCCCACCGTTCCCTCCCTCTCCCCTTCTCGACCGACAAATTGTTTATCGACAGAGAGATTTGGATATTAACCTGTGATTTTTCTTGTACAGGCAAGGGCAAGGAGTGCCGCAAGCACACCCAGCGTACGTATATTATGTTTTCCTAAGACGAAAGACACGCATCCCATCTGGCATAAGGAGGACACCGACGGCACACGACATCGGAGGACAGTCTGGCGGCGAGGACTTGAAGCGTCAAATGAGGGGCTCCCGCCACTGTTGATATCTTCAAGAGAACCCGACGACTCGACGTATGGACGACGATGGAAGCAAGCCCCACCGAGTCCTACCAAGTGCCGGATGGAAAGGGATGCAAGTCGACAACAGATAGCGGCATAGCGTCGGAAGGCTAACATAGAACAGACAAGGTGACCCAGTACAAGACGGGCAAGGCCAGCCTGTTCGCGCAGGGTAAGCGTCGTTACGACCGTAAGCAGTCTGGTTACGGTGGTCAGACGAAGCAGATTTTCCACAAAAAGGCGAAGACAACCAAGAAGATCGTGCTGCGTCTCGAGTGCACATCATGCAAGTCCAAGAAGCAGCTGCCGCTGAAGCGCACCAAGCACTTCGAGCTCGGGTACGTTCATACTCTTCGCCTCACTCATTTCGAGAACCGCTTCGCTAACAAACATTTCCAGTGGTGACAAGAAGACAAAGGGTGCCGCTCTGGTGTTCTAAACGGATCGCCTGCTGCCAACCTTTCTTGTTCTTTTGCATTTGTCTCCCTGCATTCACGCCTTTTTGCTTTTGTCTATTCCTCTTTTTTCTCCCGCCCGCCCTCTCTCGTGCGCGCCACAATAATGCGCGCACCCTGAGGAGATACTCGACAGCAGTAGAATTGCCTTTCTTCTTGCTTGTCACACATACACAAACTCTCCGCTTGCTCGCTCTTCCGATCCCGTAAACTCGCCCAGAACCGACCGAGTTTCACGAACCCTCGCCAATGACTCTTCAAGGTTACACACATTTCGGCAGAGGGCCGCGCAAATAAACCGAACGGGTTTACTCATGACAGCCTTCCTTTCTGTTTTCTTGCTATTGCATTCTTGCAACGGGGATGGGCATCATTGGTGTTCTTTTTCTTTTTTACGGGAGCACCCTTGGGGACACGAACATAGCCAAGCACAAAAAAAAATTGGTATGGGACAGGGTCGCGAGGATTTGGGATTTCGTGTGTCCGGTCTGTATCTTTTCTTCCCATTACAATTGTTTTGTTCTTTTGTAATGTACACGGGCTACGAAACATAAAAACAACCAAAAATAACAAAGACAGAAATAAAAACGAATAAAAACACTTGAAAATTTACGTACGTTTCTGCGACTGACGGTCCGATTGTCGCTTTTTTTTTTTTTTTTTTTTGACTAGACTCGCACTGCGTCTATCCTTCATAACTCTCTAGCTCCTCCGTCGATCTGTCTATTCCACCTCAGGGGTGTACGGTTTGGGGAAATAACTCGCATCTACCACGGTGGTAGTGCGGCCCTGGCTTCAGAAGCCCTGTCCGACCATGACGCTCCGGCCTCCGCCGTACCACAGAGCACCCGTCCGCGCATCAAGCCCGCGCTCCTGCCCGACCACCCACTCACCCACCAGCCGGCGGTGCGGGGGCGGCAGGTCAGGCTTCCGGTAGCCGCTCACTCCCGCGATATCGCTGTCCGTCTCCGACAGCTCCCACACCTTGTCCCATACCTCCTTCTCCAGCCACGCATTGATCTCGTCCAGCGTGTCCACCCACGCCTGGCGCGCCTCGGGCGTGGCATGATCGTCCTGTCCAATGAACCGACCCAGCGTAATATGCGCGCTGGGCACAACGTACCGCGATGCCACCTCGACCCCCGTGGCCTGGGCGCGGTCAAACAGGTCGCGCCGCAGATGGTGGTATGTGTAGGCATCGCCAACAGCATCAACAGCGGTGTTTTGCGCCGGCGGGATAGGCGCCGGCGAGGCCCTGGGTTCGCCGGCAGCCGGCACAAAGGACAACGCCACGGCGGACAGGTCGTACGAGAGCATGGGCTTGACGAGGCGCGCGCGGTGCGCATAGGGGTAGTTGACAATCGAAGCAATGCCCGACTCCGCGGTGAGGCTGCCGTCGTCCGCCGTCGCCTGCGTCATGGACTTGGCCATTTTGTCGACGACGGCAAACGCCTCCGCGGGCGTCTTGGAGTGGGTGATTTCGAGGGCCGTCATGTGCTGGCGGTTCGTGGGCATGAGCCACAGCCCACGGGGGCCGGCCTTCTGGAGGAGGCTCTGCACATGGGCGGTGAGCTGCAGGACGTGCTCTGGAGGGCGGGCCCAGAATACAAGGCCATGCCGCGGGTCGGCAAAGGAGGGATCAATGCTGGGGTTTTCGATGCGGATAAGGAACGGGTCGACCAGGACCTCTGTAAAGGCCGGATCCAGAAATTTTGCGCGCTGCTGCTGGTTGCGCAGCGTGCGGTGCGTCTCGTAGAGCTTCTGGATCTTGGCCGGGTCGTTGTCGCAGGCGTTGATGAGGGCTACGTAGGGATTTTCCCCGGGTTGGATGACGATGCCCGATAGGTCCTGGAGCTGGTTTCTTGCGTCGGTTGGGACAAGAGCGGCCATTGTGAGCAGGTTCAAGTCGGCGGTAGACTCTTACAAGGAAGCTATGCTCATATATGTATCGTCGCGGAGACAGTGCTGTTGTCGTAGTTCACGAGGGGAAGAAGCAATTGTCACAATGGTTCTAAGCTTCACGAGCAGAACCACAGTTCATAGCGTCTTGAATTCGCGACTGTCTGCATACTTGTATATTTCTTTTATCCAATTCATATTTTCTCCGTCTTCTTACTTTTTTTTCTCATACATGCGGCTCGTGTCGTGTCACACCCAAGAGAAAAAGAGAAAAAAAGAGCGATACACATGCTAGAGCTTAGGGCCATGGCGCGCACGGCAGGGAGCCCCGCTTGCTGATCTCTGCTCCGGAGTGGTATCGGACTTGGAAGGAGACTTGAGGAAGGTTCAGAGCGAGACGACTGGATCCTGGTCAATGGCCCCAGAACGCCAACGTGCTGAAATCTCTCGCTGCGTTAGGCAGCTCCACTGTCGTGTTTGCACGCGTCCCACTACTGGGTTTCGTTTTAACGGTGAATTCTGGTGCCTTCGCAAACATTGTCTGCTGTTGATCAGATCTCATGGTCCTCAAAAGCTCAACAAAATGCAAAGGAGGGAAATGTCGATGTGAGAAATGAGCCCGGAGTTTTGAACAAATGGATTCGCGGCGTCCACGTCAACGGGACGATCGTACTGCTGTAAGCGGCATTCTTCATCAAAGGCTCCGTCTTATGAAAACCTCTTCGGCCTGGACTAAGAGTCATACCGCCGACGCTTCTTATTGGCTTTACCCATCTCGGGGATACAATCTGGGGTACCTTCCTCCGTTTGTGCATGTTAACATGTCCCAAGCCACACCGGTGTCGGCAGGCATCATGGAGACCAAAAAAAAATCCTTTTTCAAGCGGTTTGTCTTAAGCTGCCAAGCGTCAAACCCTCTGCAACATCGATAGCCTTGCCTGCTCGTGGTCGCTAAGTGCCGTTTATTGTCAAGCCTCGCGCCCTTTCGTGATCCTTTCGATTTTCCCTGGCGTAATGTCCTTCGTAAGCGTGAATGGCGTGCATGGCTCGCAGATCGCTATAGTCGTATCGTTGTCGGCGCTGGCCACGCACCTCGTCACGCCTCGTCATCGACTTAGGCATCATCGGTTTAGGCCGCTTCAGCCGAGCGGGGACCGGTGCAGTGATGGCGACGGTAGCAGACGTGACCTGCAGTTGGGGACTGCTGCCTGGCACCACGTGGGGGGGTTGCAACGGCGAGTCTTGCAAGTTGCTGTGCTTATTTATCTTCCTCACCCGGCAGCTGATGCAAAGCAGTGCAACGAACGCGAGGACGACGACGGCGATGCACAGGAAGAAGAGAAGGAAGAGGACAGACGTTTCGTTGGGATGCGTATTCGGCGTAACAATGATGACATTATCACGGATGTCGAGCCGGTGAGAAAATTGGCCGATGCCTCCTCGCATCATCACGATTGTGTCGGTGAAGACAATCCCCAACACTTCCGAATGTTATGTCATGAGCAATACGTGGCCGGCGACGTGTGATGTATTTGCCTGGAGTCGATTCTGCTCATCGTCAGTAGGCATCTTCGAAAACGGTACAGGCAAAGAGCTTTCCAGGGGCTCACATGGAAAGGCATGTCGTCTTCGATCTATCGTGCTTGCGGGGAGTCGCAGAGACGCATGCAACTTGTCGTCTGGCCAGAGAGGCGAGCAACTTCATCTTCAAGTCAGTGTCTGACAGTTTCTTTCTCACGAAAGCACACAGTAGAGCTTCTTCTATCCGTTCCGGCAAGCCATCCTGCCCTTCAAACAAGACGTGATGCAGGGGCTTCCTCTTGCTGTCTCGAGGGGCATCCTTCATTCAATTCGGTTTGTTCTTTTAACCAGGTTGGTGTTGTTTCATTCGGATTGAATCGAACCGTTACGAATGAATACAGGACTACGACAATTCCTCTTGGATTTAGAATAGGGGCCTCATTCCCAGTAAGGTGGTCACATCATTTAGGAAAGAGTGACGATCATTCTTGCCTTGCTGCTCCCACATATAACCTTTTGCCCCATTACTGCGTTTGACACTTGATGCACTTTATTGCGGTAGGGGTTTGTCCTAAATAAGAATAATAACAAAAAAAACAGGAAAAACATTCGAGAATAACAAATAAAGACAGGTAGCACTCGTAGAAGGGTATTACTATATTATCTTTTAACAAATAATGACTTGATCAAATTTTTTTTTTTTTTTTTTCTCTTAAGGAAAGAGCGAGCCTCGGTAATTGCCTAAAACGGAGTTGTTTCCCAAGTAAGTGATTCTACTACTGAGTTGGGGCGACCACCGGTTGGTGCTTTTTCCGTGGCACCCGACGTTTCCCATCTAATTATTTCAAAGCGGGACGCAAACAACGCAGCCAGCACATAGGGTAGCCGGATATGTCGTATTGATCGACGACGGGAGAAGCATCGCCAAAAATTCGCATTTTGGCAGACTCAACGACATTTGGGACGAAACAGGCTACTTTTCTGGCACAAATTTGACAGAGGCTAATCTCGAAAGAACGGACGAAACGAGGCGACGCAGAAGACGAGACGAAACAATCCACGGGACGGAAACCGATTGAGAAATCCAGCAGCCTGGGTGCTCCAGCCGGGACGGCTAATACGTGCGACGTCATCTGTGTCTTGCCACCTCCCTCCACAGCATATCTTTCCCATGCCTGACAGGCTCGACGTTGCGGCGCTGCGGCTGGCCGTGCCCGCCGAGCCGCTGACGGCCGCCGCATTTGCGCCGTTTGGCGACGTTATTGAGAACCCGCGCCCTGACGTGCATCCGTCGCAGTTTGCGAAAGCGTTTGGATCCTCCGGCGCAGGCTATCTGCACCATCCCGTGTCCGCCAACCAGGGCTCTGCCATCAAGTACCAGCGCGTCTCTGGGCTCGCCGACCGCTATGCCTCGGGCAAGGCACCGAGCGGTATGCCATCCGAGCCTCTGGCCAGCATGTTTGTCTGCGGGGCCCGTACACTGCTGGAGGGCGGCCGGTTTCCCGTGACCATTCTGGAGCGCCACCCCTACACCACCCAGACCTTCGTGCCGCTGTCGCAGCACTCGGCCGCGGATACCCGCTACCTGGTGATTGTGGCGCCTACGTTGCCGGATGCGACCCGCAACAACCCGCCAGACGTCCGCGGCCTGCGTGCCTTTGTGGCTCGCGGCGACCAGGCCGTCACCTACGGCGCCGCGACATGGCATGCCCCCATGGCCGCGCTGGGCGCCGCCGGCACATCGCTGCCTTTCTTCGTCTTCCAGTTTGCCAACGGTGTGGGGCCCGAGGACTGCCAGGAGGTGGTGTTGGACAGCGGCGCGGCTGATGCCGAGGGAACGAGCTCAGTTGTAGTGCGCGTCCCGTCAACAGTCGCAGCTTTGTCTCCCTCCTCCTCCTCGTCATCATCATCACCCGGTCTCTGGTCGAAGCTATGAGCTCCCTCCCTCCCTCCCTCTATAGACGAGGAACGGGCTGATATTGCCTCCTGTGTTCTGAGGGGGGTGCCTTTCCTGGTTCCCGTTTCGTTGTCTCCTCTTTATTTACTTCAAGATCTAATTTGTGTATGAATGGGTAGCGAGCGTTTGGTGCACTGGGTTTGAACGAATCCAAAAATTCTGTGTAAAATACAGGATCGAGCGATCTGGAATTTCAGGGTCCAAGCCCACTTCACAGACTGAGTCGCATAGTGTTCACATCATGAGTTGTGCTGCTATATTTATGTTTATATTGCCTTCCCAGTAGCTTCGGAAGCGCTTTCCAGAATAGAGCAGGCCTGGAGGTGGAAAAGCTAGAATGGACGGACCGTATTCCGCACTGGAAGCGTAAATGCTGCATGGCAGGAGTCTAATGATAGCTTTCGTTGATCGACCTTTGCTTTTTTTCGATTCTCAATTCTGTACTGCCTTCCTCATTAGACATTAAGCTTCAAACAGGGTGACAAGTTTTCTAACAGCCTGCCTACGTCATTGTATGCTGGGCAAAGTAAATAAACGGCCATAAAATGGGGTAAGAATGGCCATAGGAAGAATTTGAGGTGAATTGGGCCAAAGGATGGAGCTGGGAAAGTAACCTGTAGGGAGACATGTGGATGTGTGTCTCCTCGGACTGTTTAAATTGAGAAGCTCTACAGTAGATAGGCAAGAATAAAAAATCCGGGGACACAAAAATGGGATATACCAGGGTAGCTTATTTTGACAACAGGAGGCAAATCTGGGGCCAATATCTTAGATTTGACCTGTCGACCAACAGATAGCATCCAGCGTCCAAGAAACAAAAAAAATGCAGAAGGCTGGTGAAGTTACTTGTTAGTGATTATTCTGTGTATTTTATACTTATATTTCGGCCTACCCCAACTCTAAGCACGGCGTGCATTTATTGACCGGGGGAGGTAAAGGATACGGTCATGTAAATACACAAGGCAAGCTTCATTATTATATTGATACTTCACACCTCACGCAGTTTTTTCGCTTGCACGTTTCTCTCCGAGAGTTAAACCTACCGTACTCCTGGTAAACGGTATTGTGTGTGATGCTGTTTGGGGGGTCGAGGAAGACGAGAACAAGTGGGACATACATGCAAACCACACTGTTAGTGAAACTAGACAGAGATGAGGCCACGATGACGATGATGACGACGACAGCAGCGAGGAAAATATAGCCAGAGACGGTAGTAAATTATGTCGATGTACACGGTACGGGGATATGGTCTACTCTTGTGAGGGATAACGAGAGAGGATACGAGGACAAACTCCGCCGTCATGTCCCGAATCCGATGAGAATCTAAAGAACATAAAAAAGATTAAATTCGGACGTATGTGCGTTGGAGAGAAAATGCCGCAAAAGTGGGAAAATAGGAGCCGTGCACGCCACAGAAACATGAGAAGTCTTTAGCGACGGACTTGGCGTGTTTTTGCATACGCGGATTGATCTAAATACAAAGTGGTAGATGCAAGGTGATTCCAACATGTTGGATAATAGATGGCCTGTTCGACCGACGAGCGAGAGTTGGAACGGCAGACAGAAACGGCAAGGGGGTGTGAACCCTGAACAAAATTTTGGTCCGGAAAGAACGATGCACTGTTATGTGGGAAGCGTGAGGTGGAACTTCTCATGAGGAAGGCGCGGAATGTGTGTCTGGACTTCCTCTCGTAGGTATTTTCGGCAGGAAGGGCTTCTTTGCCCAGAGGGAAGGTACGCTTGGTACCTGTTGCTCTCTGAGGGTCGCGCTTGCGACGCTGAAATTTTGTGTCTTTTGCCCCTATTTTGCAAATCCTCACCTTGTTTTGTTTCCTTTGTAAGGTCAACTTCTCTTAGCCAAAGAGCACATATCCAAAAAGTCGATTTTGCGATATTGGCAAGTAGTTTCTCGCTATCAAAAATCTCGGTCCCCTCAGCTTCGACCTCTTTTGCCAGAGAAATATCCTGACTCCCGTTTTTACCCACCTCCCATATCGCCTCTGTTTTCCTGGCACTTTGATAGGCTCGATTACATATACCTCGATTGATCCAAGTGTTAATCCTCCTATCCGTGTCGATACAGCCCGCCGGAGATTTCACCGTCTCAACTCTTTTGCCCGGATGGACGGGCCTGGCGGGCTGGACATCCTGGAGCAATCGTCCTTCAGGGCCATATCAACGATATTGAGACAGCGCCGCCTTTGGTCTCTTTATTTCTAGCTCTGTTGCGTCTAGATGTGCCAAGGGGGCGAGTGCAATCGTTCTGCTGGACAGCGTTGTCGAGGTCCTAAGTCTACCGTCATGGCCAGTCTGTGTCTCGACGGTGGACAACAGTCTAAAAGTCCAATTGTTCAGGCCACTTCCAGCGTCCCCATTGTAAGGTTTTGTTTTCTAAAAAAGAGAACACTCTGAATTGTTTACTGACTACTTGTCTGGCCCGAAGACCCGGTGGATTACGGCGTCCAACCTCATCTACGGTTTGGCAGAACTGGTACTAACACGAGCCGACCAGATTCCCACAGAAATACCCATCAAATCCCGTTTATGACCGTATTCTCAACACGGCACAGAAAACAAAGAGAGCAGACGTAAAAACAAGATTCCTGGACGGCTATCACACGGCTGCCAGGACGACAAGATAGGAACATCCAATATAGGTAAATACCTACAAATCTCTTCCATCGAACTGAGACGTAATGACTTGGCCGTGAAGAAATATGCTGACCACATTGAGAATAGCTTGTTGACAGTCCTGAAATTCTCAAAGGAAGAGGAACACAACGCGAGGTCCCAGGATGATCCTGCCAGGTACCCGAAATAGGCTCCCTCCACGAAAAGACAAGAAGCAAAGCAAAAGGCTGTAAACACAAATTACAACGAAGTAGCTATCCGGAGGCGTGTTAAGATCGTACCGGCTGCGATACACCCCCTTTACCGTCCACCAGCTCCTTTTCTTTCCTCACGCCCCCACCATCGTTGCAGTGTCTCTTCTACACCTCTTGTCGGATGTACGCGATGACACCCTATCTTGACACTGCGAATATCGACTGTGCGTTTTCACTCTGACTCTCGATCGCTGTCGCACACCCGAATCGCGAAGACGGCGGCCGGAGTTATTAAAAGACCACTCTCGGCAAAAATGAACTAGGATGTCCCTTGTTGGCAACGTGCCTTGTCCGTTCCTCAATTCTAGAGGAACACAAACATTGACACACGGGCTAGGCCAACGTCGTTCGTGGCGGGCTCTTCCCAAGCTCAAGAGTTCTGCTTACAGCGAGTGTTGGAAAAAAAAACCTCTGCCGATGAAGGTGTGTATGCTCATATCCCCATCGGACTTTTTTTGTGCATCGTTTCCCACACACCCGTCGGCTGCCGCTACACCCCGTCCTATGCGTGTACATAATGTATACCGTACAACCTAACAGTTGTGTGGCCTTATACGCCTGTGAATGCATCCATCAGTCTCTGGAGATGGTACTTGGCCAGGTCTGCGCGTTCTGCGTCATCAACCATCTTCTGCTGCCTTCTCTGTTTCGTTTCACTCTATTTGCGACCACGTTGAGAGATCTTGTTCACTAACCCTTCTTTTCGTCTTATGTTTCCGATATGAGGTCGCCTATTTTTGAACGGAACTGGGCATATTTCCCCTGGCGGTAGCCTTGGTTCCTGGTAACCGCATCTTCATAGCCTGAATCCAGCCCAATCTAGGGATCCGCATGAACCAGCCGGCTCTCAACATTCCTCGCCCAAAACTTATCCACTTTGATGTCCCCAAATACTAGCTACTTCCTCTCCTACCAAGGTTTTGCAGTTGCATCAAGATGTTAGGACGGCTTATCCTACTGAACGGCACGGTGTGAGATGCATTTCGATTGTAAGAAAAACAGCAAGAAAGGAACGAAACGAAACAGCATGCAAGAAATTAAACAAGACCGGCATCACACCCGTGTCGTATTATTATTGCATGTATATGTCGTCTCCGGCACCTCAAACGACCCATCGTCTTTGGCCTGTCCCATCTACCCGTCATCACGCCTCTTTCGTCTATTGTTCACCTCCGCCAGCCTTCTCCCTTTCAGCCATGGGCCATGCACTATATTGCTTTCTTCCCTAGGCCTATTTTCTTGGCTTGCAGAAAGTGTGTCCTGGCTCGGCGGGATCTAGGATGGGGAATACCAACGGATATTGATATTGACCTTCGATATGGTAAACACATCGCCCTTTCCACGTAATGGTACCTCGTTGTCAATCTTCTGCTTTGCTCTTGTCCGTCTCTTTGTCCGATCTCCTAGGTTTCTACTATTTAGGGCCGTCGAGGAAATATAGCATGTAGCCTTCCTCTCTTATTATCCCCATCACCCATAAAACCAACATTGCCCCTTGCTCTTCTTTCAGTTTCTTTCTTTTGTCTCCTTGCTCCCTTCGATGTCCAAGTAATCTCTGAAGCTGGTGATATCTGCGTCCGCCACCTGCGTTGTCTCTCTATCCCCGGCACTTTCACCCAAGTCATTCGTTTGAGACAATAAACCAAGAGACGAAACATCGACAATCTACAAGCTCTTCTTACATTACCCACAACATGGTTGCACAAATGAAGACGCTGCTGGCCGTGGCGGCCACGCTTCTCTCCTTGACGACCAGCGCTCTGGCCGACTGCTCGAGCTACGGAGTTGACTATGCAAATGGTGGCGCCTACTACATCGACGGCTCATCCAACCAGTACTTCAGCTTTATTACCATTTTCCAGGGCTGCAGCAAGGAAAGTATCAGCCCGATCCTCGTCGACACAGACAACAACCAGTACGCCTGCTCGGCAATCAGCACAACGCCAGCCGGTACGCAGCAGACATCGACATGGTAAGGCCTGCCTATTTGATATTAGAAGATTTTGTGCGCCCTGGCTAACAAACATCAGTGGCATCCCATTCTCGGCCATGAAGTCTGGCACATGGAAAATTATCGTGTCCGGTGACCAGATTGCCGTGCAGCGCACCATTACATTGACTGTTGGCGTGCCGCAGACATCGACTGTGATTGTGCGTTATTAATTGAATTGGAAAATCCGTGCCTTGGATATCGTAAACTGACCGTTTCTTGCAGGCTACACCGACGATTGTCCTTGGCATCACGACGACACCGCGTGCAAAGAGTGAGTTTTTCAAGATAGCTTTTATTCTATTATTTCCTGTTTAGCATACTAAACACAAAATTATAGCCATTGTCAACACGGTCGGCCAGACCCAGACACTCATTCTTGTCCCCCAGACCGTTACGGCCAATTGTAACAACAACAATGGCGTCACACAGACTATCACGAACTACCCGGCCGGCCGCACGCAGACCGTCACGACCACCATCACCCGAACGGCTACCAATGGCGTCACGACGAGCCAGTACCAGACTACCGTGACCACCGCTGCCTCATGCCACTACCCATCAAGTATGTTTATAGCACCTTCTTTATTCATGCTTTCGAGTACACGCTGACCTCTCCAGATAAGCGCGACGTGAACAGCATGCAGTCGGTCATGGCTACGACTGTCACCATCACCGAGACGACCCGCACCGTTACGCAAACGCGCGTGTCGACTGCACCAGTGCCTACCACTACCGAGGTCGTTTTCCGGACCATCACTGCTACAATCACGCCTTCCCCGTCGACGGTCTGCGCCAACGGCGGCAACGGCAGGCCAGGCGCGGTCGTCACGGTCACCCGCGGCGGCGGCAACGGCGGCGTTGCCACTCAGACCGACATTGTATACCAGACGACAAGGGTGCCGGGCACTGTCTGGGTTGGGTACGTCTCGTGTTTTCCGCCTTGCTTTTCCTTCACGCATCATCAAGCATTCCAACCCAAGCTAACAATTTGTAGTCAAACACAGTACAGCACTATTTCCAATGGTCCCAGTGCGACGGCTTGCTGGAGAGCTGGCGGCTGGTACGGCGCCTAAACTGGCCCGGAAAGATATCAGAGGTGGGGGTTATGAAAAGGGTATCCTTGTCGTCTTTTCTTCTCTTCTTTTACGAGTCACCTACTATTGCTAGTTTCTTCTCCGTTCACTTTGTCGACGTATCCAGAGCCGTATATTTCTAATGGAAATTGGGAGTCCAAAAGAATATTCGTTGGCGGGTGGGAGCTTGATGGCTTTTGGTATAAAAGCAGTAATTCGAATAAATGTATCACGGCCGATTTTGATGAATATTTGAAGGCCTGTAATGAATGTGCCCATGAGAACGACAATGTAGATTCCACTGTAGAACAAGTGACCTATGGTTGAATGAAAGGTCGTAAAAGAAGAAAAAAGGACAATGGCCGCAGCGGAGAGAAGAGGCTTAGGAAAAGGAAGTGCAAATGAGACAATGAGACAATAATATGGAACCAAAGCAAAGACCAAAATCGGATGTCAACCAAAACGCCGGCGTTGAAGACCGTTCACAAAATCAGGAAGTGGTAGAAACCAGAAGAAAAAGACAGAACCAAAAAAGAAGCGAAATGGGAAGAGGAGAGGAGTGTACAGAGAAAGGTAGGATAAAGGTGGTTTTGTAGAGTTTTGTATACATAGCGTACGTTTTTTGTTTTGTAACTTTTCTTCGAATGGTTCCCTCGGCCCAGTATGAATTTTTTAGATCATTTCGTCATGTTGAAAAGATTGGTATCGGCCCCTCTCGCACCCTTTTACTCCTTGGTCGACCAGGGCAGGGGGTAGGTCCCAACCCAGTCGGCAACCTCGCTGCGCAGCTGCAGGATCTCGGGCACACCATCGCCGTTGCCCAGGTGGTCCAGGAACACCCGCAGACGGCCAGCACCCTTCACGCCCTTCTCCTCGGCCTCCTTGCGGGCCGCCTTGTCCACGCGCACCGCAATCGTCACGGCGCGGTCGACAATGTCGGCCACCCGTGTAAAGTCGTGCTCGCTGAACCCGCGCGTTGTCATGGCAGGCGTGCCCATGCGCAGACCGCCGGGTGTCAGCGCCGAGCGGTCGCCCGGCACGGTGTTCTTGTTGGCAGCGACACCGACCAGCTCCAGTACGCGCTCGACGCGACCACCGTCAATGCCCTGCGGTTTGAGGTCGGCCAAAACCAGGTGGTTGTCGGTGCCGCCCGAGACGAGCGAGTAGCCGAGGCCACCCTTGTCCTTTGGTTCACCAAGGCGCTTAGCCAGCGCTTGGGCGTTGACAAGCACCTGTTCCTGGTAGGCACGGAACTCGGGGGTCTGGGCCTGCTTGAGGGCGACAGCGAGAGCGGCAATTGTGTGGTTGTGGGGACCGCCCTGGTGGCCGGGGAAGACGGACGCGTTGATGGGGTTCTCGAGGTTGTATAGCTCCTCCTCTTTGGTCTTGGCGTTGACACGACGCACGCCGCGACGGAAGAAGATCATGGCTCCGCGGGGGCCGCGAAGTGACTTGTGTGAGGTGGTGGTGACGATATCGGCGTAGGCAAAGGGGCTTGGGATGGACTTGGCGGCAATCATGCCGGACAGATGGGCAACATCGGCGAGCAGATAGGCATTGATCTTGTCGCAGACCTCACGCATGCGCTTGTAGTCGATGAAGCGGCTGTAGGCGCTGGCACCTGCAACAATGATCTTGGGCCGGTAGATGAGGGCCATCTCCTCCATCTTGTCATAGTCGATGTAGCCGGTGGACTCGTCGAGGCGGTATGGCAGGGTCTCAAAGTATTTCGAGATGAAGGAGATCTTCTTGGTCGGCGTCTGGTATCCGTGCGACAAGTGGCCGCCATGGGGGAGGTCGAGGCCCATGAGGCGGTCGTGGGTCTCCATGAGGGCGGAGTAGACGTACAGGTTTGCGGGAGCACCGGAGAGAGCTGCGACTATGTTAGACTGAAGCCTACGATGCGATCGCATTGTATATGGAAGTCCAACGTACCCTGTACGTTGACACCCCAATCCTTATCGGAGAGGCCAAATGTCTCCAGCGCGCGTTGTTGGCAGAGCCGCTCGGACTGGTCAATGAACTCGTTGCCGCCATAGTACCGAGCTCCGGGATAGCCTTCTGAGTACTTGTCTGTTGTCTGTTAGCTTATGTCCCCGTGCGCGGCGGTTGTTTCGTGCCTTCGCGAGTCCATTTTCCGAGGACAAGAGTAAACGCACTCTGCATGGGGCTGCCTAAGGCGTCCAGGACGGCCTGGGACGTGAAGTTCTCGGATGGTATCAGGTTGATGAACTGCTTCTGGCGCAATTTCTCCTAGACGGCTGTTAGAATACTGCCGGTTGGTATCGGCCGAATGGGTCGAGATACGGCGACCAGGACGGCATCACGCACCTTCTCGATAATCTCGTACATGGTCGGGTCGGCCTGTTGCAAGTGTGCTGCCAGAATCTGCGAATCATGTTAGTTACTTGGCCTGGCATTCATCGTGTCTTGTGTTTAAGTGTTATTCACCTTTTGCTGGCCGTCCTGGCTATGTGTCGACACCGTCCGGGTCCGTGTCCATGCGGCGGCAACCGGGGAAGCTGTGGCCGTCCATGGCCGGGTGGCCCGGGCAGCACGGGCGGTGCTCCGGAAGAGACGAAGAGACATGGCGGCGGCGTAGTGAGCTGGGCCGCGATTGTTGTCTTGTCCGGACGAGGGGACGCGGAGGAACGGACTAAGCGGCAAGCTTCAATTCGAGCTCTAATCTATGCTGGCGGTTCTTTTTGCTATGCTGTGGAGGCCCTGGTTTCTCAAGTTCAAGAAAACCAGAGACGTCGTTGACGGGGAACTGACGAGGTGGTGAGAAGTGGAAGAGAGAAAGCAGAAGAGTGGTCCGACACTTGAGCCGGCTTGCGTGACGATTTTGGTGCCGCGCACGGTATATATCTGGGTTTTACTTGGACTAGCTTCGAGCGGGGAAGGTACGCAGCGTTACGGATTGGCAAATAACACAAGGCAGGAGAAACCGTTGTGACTGTTTGCAAACACTACAACATACTAAAACAGAAGGTATTACGACGTACAGTTTGGCACATACAGACGGAAGGCGCCTGCGAACGGCTCGTGTCAATTCTGTAGCAGGTGTCAAAGAGGAAGGAGCCAGCGATACCAGCGATCAGTCCTATCGGAAGCCCCAATCTAGAGCCATGAAAGGCGTCTATGACGCTGGCCAGTGTCGGTGAGGTCACCTCCTCTTTTTCCCGTTCGTCTGCCGCCGGAACTTAGGACTTGCACCAGAAGGACCCGAATGCGCTTTATAGCGGCCTTCTAGGGGTGGCAGGCGGCGCTATTCTGGTGCTAGATGCAAATAAAATGGCCTTTTCTAGTAATTCTAGTGGCCGGCCCCGCTGTGGAACAGACCTGTGGACTGCTAGCCATTCTTGCTTATTTGGGCAATTTTGCCTGCTTCGGATTTTTCATCTGAAGACTGGGGCTGCCCCAGAAGGAAGGAGCAGATACACGTGACCCAAGCTCGGACTGCGGGTACAAATTTTTCTTGAGCCAGCCGAGGAAATTTCGACAGCTTCCCCTTTTTCTTCTCTTTTTCTCCCTAACAACTAAACTTGGGAGTGATGAGTCTGTTTCGTTTAAACGCCAGATCGTTTCCACACGGGGGCAACTTCGTGCCTGGGAGCATGCTGAAATGTCTTGGCACTTTCACCACCTTCGACAGGAACAATTTGAAACTTCTGACCCAACGTAAAGTTGTGACTCTCTTTTCTACTTTACTTGCTCTCTTCTTGATTTTTGCCCTTACATGTCGTGCAGTCTACCTCCTTGTCTCTGTTGACCAACATCTCAGCGAGTGCCGTTGTTTTCGTGTTTGTCTTGGTTGCGGTCTCGAGCTCTTGTCATTGTCGAGATTTATGTCGATATTTACATCACACGACACTTGAAGCCTCCTCCAGACCGGACTTACCTATTGTCGTTTCAGTTTATAGCTCGTACGACGCACCACATGTCGTATTGTAACGCATTGCGAAGGACGCACATCCTTTTGTTTTCAATTGTTTTTATTCGTTCAGACGATTTTTGTATCCGTTACCGCTTGCTATGCTCCTTGCCCGTTCTACTCTTTAACACCACGAACACGCAGTGTAGAACAAGGAGCACGACCTAGACGGCCTAAAATCCAGATGAAAATGGCAAAGACTCCGTATGCAAAATCCGCCTGTATTTTGGCCTGCGCTCCCGTCAAAGCGGAAAGCCCAAATGAGAAAAGCCATAACGGCATGAGAAGCTGGGAAAAGAAAGTGGGAGAAAAGACATCATCGAATGAGAGACAAAGAAGCAGCGAGATGAAAGAAGAGGCAACAGGCTTGGACATAAAAAGAAATAGGAGTGCACAACGCAGAGACGGCAGAGGGAAATCAGCGGACTGTAGGGGTCAGAAGCACAACAGAAGAAAAAAGATGATGAAAATGTCCTTTTTTAATTTTTGATGTTCCGCCCAAGTGGGTGTTGTTTTGTGTTGATCCGGAAAACTCCATTGTTTTTGTTTTCGCAAAAAAGATGCAGCCCTCTCGCTGTCCGGTCCCGGTTGCCGCCTCATCCTCATTCTTCCTGGCAGCTGCAGCCGACCGCCGCTGCCGTCGACGCCGTCCTTCACGCCCACTCCATTTTCATTTTCGTTTTTCAAATTCGCACTGCCTTACTCCTCGTCCTCGCCCAGAATCGCCTGCCGCTTGGCGGTCTGTCTCTCCAGCTTCCGCTCGCGTGCGGCCTTGGTCTTGGCGCGCTTGGCGTCCATCTCGTCCTTCAGCTGCTTCTCGCGGGCCTGCTCGGCCTTGGCGCGGTGAATCTGTGGAGGGGGTTAGTTGTGCTCGTGCACAGAAATATGGTATGCACATCGTTCGGATAGGTTTTGTGACGTACGTGCTCAACAAGCGCGCGCTTGTGCTTGAAGGTGTTACCCTTGGCCAGGTGGTACAGCTCGTGGTACAGGTGCTTGTCGATCTTGCCCGACGCGCGGTACTTAACTAGTAACCGGCGGAGGACACGGAGACGGCGCATCCAAAGGACCTGCCTATGGGGTTGTTAGAAGGCCATCACAAACCAGATACGAAAAGTTTTTGGATATTGCACTCCAATTGTCGGAAAGAAAATACGTACTCAGGCATACGGGCATCAGCGGTACCCTTCCGCTTACCGAAGCCACGGTGACGGCCGATGCGGCGGGCCAGGTTCAGCTCACGGGCACGCGACCGCGAGTGCATGGTCGCGGGCTTGCGGATGATCAGGCCATCGGAGACGAGCTTGCGGATGGTCATGCGGGAGTTGGCGTTGGAGATCTCCGAGACCTCGTTGGGGTCCAGCCAGATCTTGTTCTTGCCACAGCCCAGGACGGACGAGGCAAGACGCTTCTGAGTACGCAGGTTGACCCTGGGAGAAAAAAAAACACGTTAGCCACTGGTTGCTAACGTCAAAGAACTTGATCAAAGAGCAATTCGACGGTCGACGATGCATGCAAATGGCGGGCGAGCGGTCCGGTAGAGCGAATTCGGTTCCTTTATGGATGTCGTGTCTGTCTCTTGTCGGCCTGTTGTCCATGTCGTTCGATTGTTCGTCGATTCATTTCTCCTTCCGATAACGATAAATTCCCAATATTTCGTCTGTCTTTCGGTGGACGCCGTTGTCGTTGAGATGGCTGTTATTTCCGGGGAAATACTGTTGCCTCATCGCCCCATAACCCTGCAACGTATTCCCGATCATATCCTTCGTGATCTCGCCGCCGTCCGGACATCAAAAGTCGCCGATTCGCCGTTCCGCCGTCGAGGTCATAACGGAGCCGTTGCCATCAAATGCATCATCGCAATCGAATTATTCTGTTCTGCTAATGGTAATAAGCAAAACTCACATCTTGAATACTGTTCGGAGGTGGTCGTGGTGCGGTTGTCGATGTCGGATAAGGTTGCTGAAGTTGAAAGAAAGAGGTTTCAAAAAGCCACACACAAAGCGAAAAAACCTATCTCTGGAAAAAAAATTGGAAAAGAGGGAGGGGGTGCGCATGGCAGTAGGCCACACTAAATCCGGTTTGAGAGCACATTTCGTGTGCCGATTGTGTGGGCATAGACGGCGCTAGTATTCATTGGGCTAAAGGAAGGGCAACCCCAATCGCCCTATCGCTGCACGTGACGTCCTTTATTCGCAGACCGTGCGAAAACGACTCCGCACAGTAGCCATCCTCAACGAGCGGTTACTCCAAAGAACGTACCAAAGGTAACTTTGGAGGGGTAGCCCGACTAAGAGCGTCCAATCGATGTTTCCCTTTTCGTCGGTTAGAGCACTTCGTCATATCCTTTTTTATTTTGCTTGTGCCAACGTTGTTCCGAGCTCGCATCTCCTCTTTTGTCCCTTTCGCATCTTAACGACGACAAATTGAACAACACCTCCGACACCCTCCACCCTCCACCCTCCACAATCCCTCCCCCCACCGCATCACCTCACACACATCCCAATCGAGACACAATGGCCAGCCAAAGAATTGCCATCATCTCGGTCTATGACAAGACCGGGCTGTTGGACCTGGCCAAGGGCCTCATCAAGAACAATGTCCGCATCCTGGCTTCGGGCGGCACGTCCAAGATGATCCGCGAGTCGGGTTTCCCCGTCGAGTGAGTGCCGTGTTGTTGGTCAATTGCGGGGCTTGCGAGCTGCGGCGTCTCTGCGCAATGGCTGCAGTTGCGCTTGTTGTGGGCGTTCTGTTGTTGCTATCCGCCGGACAGCTCTACTAACAAACGTTTACGTCCTCTTCTCTAGGGACATCTCGTCCATCACCAAGGCCCCCGAGATGCTTGCGGGCCGCGTCAAGACGCTGCACCCCGCTGTCCACGCCGGTATCCTGGCGCGTGACCTGGCCTCCGACGAGAAGGATCTGGCTGAGCAGAACATCGAAAAGGTCGACTACGTCATCTGCAATCTGTATCCCTTCAAGGACACCGTCTCCAAGATCAACGTGACGGTACCCGAGGCCGTCGAGGAGATTGACATTGGTGGCGTCACCCTCATCCGCGCGGCAGCCAAGAACCACTCCCGTGTCACCATCCTCAGCGATCCCACCGACTACGCCGAATTCATCAGTGAGCTCGAGGCCGGCGAGGTTAAGGAGACCAGCCGCAAGCTGTACGCCCTCAAGGCGTTTGAACACACTGCCGACTACGACGCCGCCATCTCTGACTTCTTCCGCAAGCAGTACGCCGGCGACGGCTTCCAGCACTTGGCCCTGCGCTACGGTGCCAACCCCCACCAGAAGCCCGCTGCTGCCTACGTCAAGGAGGGTCGCCTGCCCTTCACTGTCTTGAGCGGCGCCCCCGGCTACATCAACCTGCTCGACGCCCTGAACGCCTGGCCCCTTGTCAAGGAGCTCAAGGAGGCGCTGGGTCTGCCGGCCGCGGCATCCTTCAAGCACGTGTCGCCCGCTGGTGCTGCGATTGGCACGCCCCTGAGCGCCGACGAGCGCAAGGTCTACATGGTCAACGACATTGCCGGCATCGAGACCTCGGCTCTGGCCCAGGCCTACGCCCGTGCGCGCGGTGCTGACCGCATGAGCAGCTTTGGCGACATGATCGCACTGAGCGACACGGTCGACGTGGCCACCGCCTCCATCATCGGCAAGGAGGTGTCGGACGGCGTGATCGCGCCCGGCTACGAGCCAGAGGCCCTGGCCATTCTGCAGAAGAAGAAGGGCGGCCGCTACCTGGTGCTGCAGATCGACCCCGAGTACTCGCCTCCCGCCCGCGAGACCCGCACGGTCTACGGTGTCACCCTGGCGCAGCACCGCAACGACGTCGTCATCTCGCCAAAGTCGTTCAGTACCATCATCACACCAAAAGACGCCGGGGCCCTGCCCGAGTCGGCCCTGCGCGATCTGACGGTTGCCACCATTGCGCTCAAGTACACCCAGAGCAACTCGGTGTGCTACGCCGCGCGCGGTCAGGTGGTCGGCCTCGGTGCTGGCCAGCAGTCGCGCATTCACTGCACGCGCCTGGCCGGTGACAAGGCCGACAACTGGTGGCTGCGCTTCCATCCGCGCGTGCTGGGCATCCAGTGGAAGAAGGGCACCAAGCGTCCGGATAGGAGCAACGCAATTGACCTGCTGGTCAGCGGCCAGCTGCCCAAGTCGGGCTCGGAGCGCGAGGCCTTTGAGGCTGTCTTTGAGACCGTCCCGGCCGCTTTTACCGATGCCGAGCGCGAGGAGTGGCTGGCCACTCTGACGGACGTTGCCGTCTCCAGTGATGCATTCGTATGTTTTCCTATTCTATGTTTTCCTTTGAAATATCGCCCACGTTTGTACCTTGCTGACATCACGACAGTTCCCCTTCATCGACAACGTCTACCGCGCAGCTCGGTCAGGAGTCAAGTACATTGCTGCGCCCGGCGGCAGCCAGAACGACCAACCCGTGTTCGACACGGCCGAGAAGCTGGGAATCACCTTTGTTGAGCAGAACATCCGCCTGTTCCATCATTAAAAATCACAAAAAAAAAGGCTGTTGCAGCGGGAGTGCGGCATGGGAGCTGCACTGGAATTTTTCGTTTTTAAACACAATTGTACAAACCACAGAAATGATCTCATTAAAGGAGGAATTACTTCAACATCTTCACCTGATACCCAGAAAAAAACATGCTAAAATAACCAAGTCATCGTATCAAATTATTATTATTCATAGGAAAGTCGCATATCAGCGCACGACTTACACAGACGCACAGATACGAGTTTTTTTTCTTTTCCTCCTTTGTTTGTGAAGCTGCTTCAGATTTGTATGTCGTAAAAAGCCAAGAGCAGCGTTGTCATAGTTCTGCCTCCTGGTGAAATGGCGGCCGCTCATTGGTAGGAATATGACGTAAGCTTCCAATGTCGCGGAAGGAGGGATGGAGTACTGTTGTTGCCTCGAATAAGTAGAGAGCTCTCGACGTCCTTCCTGATAGACAACACTGCAAGATCAAAGAATCAAACGTCCTTGAAACCGAGTGCATTTTTCTTACTGCGCGCAATTATGGATGTGCGTTGTCTCTCTGTCGACTCCCCTTGTCCCAGGACGTCCTACTAACATCGCTCTCATTATAGGCCGTTACTGCCTACAGCCTCGCGTCGCTGGGCTGGCTCAGTGCCCAAGCGCTGCCTCTCATTGTGTGGCCGTCGTTTGTAGTCTCGCTTGTGGTGACGCAAGGCCCGGTTCCTGGTAAGTTGCTTCCACTTCCCTCTACCTCCTTTTTTTTCTTTGCCGGCTCTTTTTGACGCCTTTCAGCCGTCGCCGTCTACTTTGCTCGCGCTCTTGGCCTCGGTCAGCTGGCCCTGGCCCTGCAGACACTGGTTCTCTCCGGCTTGCTCCCTCTGCACGCTGTGGACAACGACCACGGGTCTGCCTCACCCTACGCCTGGGCCGCCTTGTTTGTCACGACGCTCTACCACGGCGCGGCTGCCTTTTACAGCTACGGCTGCTATTACTACGACATCCACCCGACAGTCACGGCCTTCTTGGTGGGCTGCACGGGCAGCAGCATTCTAGCGGCCATTGGGGTGTGGTGTTTGCTCTTTGGCGAGGGCAGCCGGATCAGCAAGCGGACGGGGGCAGACAAGCGGACGAGTGGGTTCCCCTTTACGAACAAGGAGGCCGAGAAGCGCAAGGTGCGGTAGTGACGATCAAAGAAAAGAGAAGGACAGTAGAACAATAGAACAATAGGGCAAATAGGGCAAACGTGCATCCACTTTGCACGTTTGCGCAGGTTTGAAAGAGAGCCCGGAAACAACTGCTTTGTATTTTGCACACCGTTGGATATGACCTTTTGTACCTTCCCAAGTCTCTGGACCCAAGAAAGGATATCTACAAAAGTAAGTTTTAAAAGACATAACTGAATAGCAAAAACTCCTTAATAGTACAATATGAATACCGCCATGACCAAGAGGAACGAGGTGCCTGAAGACAAACAAGAAACGAACGAAATAAGCAAGACAAAAAGACAAAGCACCGTTGTAACTGATTCAAATGGCGTGCACCGTGACCAGGGGGAGCATATGCATATGGCCTCCGTGAACGTCGCTCAAACGTGGTGGATTACTAGTCACCATTCACAGCCAGCTCGTTCCGCAGCGACGATCCGCCAGCGACCGAAAACGATGTCGTCTCTGCAAAGGAGTAGTCGTCACGGGTGGCATCGGGGTCGAGCATGACACTCGGCACATCGTCATCCTCATCGTCGTCTCCATCGCCATCCCCGTCGCCATCCCCGTCGACATCTCCGTCGACATCATCGTTATCATTGTCGTCGTCGGCGCCCGAATCGTCATCGTCCTTGCCACCATCGCCGTCATTGTCATCATCGTCGGCATCACCACCGCGAATCAGGCCAGCCGCCTCCGCCGCAGCCTCCTCTTCTGCCTCCCTGGCGGCCTCTTCGGCAGCGCGCTTCGCCTCCTCGATGGCGAGCGTGGCTAGCACCGCCTTGCGCCGCTCGTACCAGTCCTTCTCGCTGAGGATAACTTGGTCTAGCAGCACCTGCTGCTCGAGCCAGGCGTTGTGCGCGGCAGCCTCCCATGCGGCGCACTCCTTGCGCAGCTCCTCGCTCTCGTCCTCGGCCCACTGCAGCTGCAGACGGCAAACGCCGTACAGCGCCTTGGGCGACAGCTCGAGCTCATGGGCGGTGAAGCCCTGGTCTTTGCCGAGCGCAGTGGTCTCGGCACCCGTGTAGTGGAACAGGCTGGGGTCGTCATAGGCGCTGCTGTCCACCGAGTCATCGTGGCCACCCGCATGGGAGAGGGGCGTCTTGATAATGATTTTGAGCTTGTTCGGACCGCCGGCCTTGCCGTTGGTTGTGGCGGCAGCCGGCGCTGCGACGCTGCCGTTGACGGCACTTCCGTTGGCACCACTGCCTGAGCGACCAGCAAACGGCACCCTCCGTTGTCCCGCCTCGTAATACCGCATCAAGTCAATCTCGTGCGCCGTCCGCATGTGCTTGTTAAGGGCATCCTGTCTCGCAAAGGCTAGGTCACATTCTGTGGAGGGTTAGAGGAGGACGAAGCAACGTGTGGGGAACAGTGGAAATGGCTTACCTGGAAGGAGACAGACGTGCGGCTTCTCGCGCGTGTGGCTACGCAGATGCGCCTTGAGCGCGTACGCACTGGCGTGTGACTTTCCTTTGCGCGGACATCCGATCCACTCGCACGTGTATCGTCGCTGCTTGCCCTCGACATGTTCGGCGTGCAAGTGCTCGACCAGCTTGTCCATATTGCCCAAGTCGCCCGTCTCGCAGCCGTCCCATGCGCACACGGTCACCTGCGGCTCGTTTATGGCATTGAGTCCGGCCGCGGGGTCCTCGTCTACAGCACCGCGTCGGAGGCCAAAGGATGAGGAAGTATGTGCTGATGGTTGGGCAATCTTTTTTGGCGGCGGCACGTCGCCGTCGGTGTCCTCGGACACGTCCGACATGGTGTCGAGAAGGTCGTCGATGGCGCCGTTGCGCCCATGGTGTGCGGTATTCGCACCCGCAGCGTTGCCATTGGCCGTGGTGCCGTTTGCTTTTCTGGCGATGCTGCTGCTCACGTTATCGTTGGATGTGTGCAGCACGGTCGCGTCTGGATCAGCCGCATCGGCCGCCTCCACTTCAGCGTCCACCTCAACGTCTACACCCGCTTCTTCTGTCGCCGGGTCCTTATCTGCGTCGGCCTCTACCTCGGCCTCTACCTCGTCACCGGCCTCTTGTTCAATCTCGACAGTGTCGTCATCGCCGTTCGCGTCGGGCAACGCGCTCGATCGCGACGACTTTCGCCGGATGGAACGGGACTCCTTCCTGCTCTTTACAGTATCGGCCGGCTCGTCCTTCATTTCCTCGTCTTCGGGCTCAGCGTCGGCTGCATCACGGGCGGCTGATGCACTACCCGGCGATGTCGGCACGGCGGCTCCGTTTGCTGCCTTGAGGCGCTTGGGCGGTTTGGAGACGACGTCGGTCGCGCTGTCGTCCTCGTAGTCGTGCATGGGCGATTCGGCCGATGGCGACGACCTGCGTGATGAGTGACGTTTGCCCATTGTCAATGGGATGTGTGAGACTGGATGTGAAGGGAGGAAAAAGGAGACAAAGTCGATCAAAGTTACGGGCAGTTGTCGGTCATTAATAGAGAGGTTGTCGAGGTGATGTTGGAAATAGCGAGAAATAGATCATGAGGTATTGGATGTTGCGATGGCGTTGAAGCCTCATCCGTCGCGTTGTGTGAATGCAGTTCGTCAATATGTGGGATAAGTTTAGAAATGGAAAATGAAAATGAAAGGTATGAGAATTTAGCAATGTCCTTTAGGAGGCTGATTGCGGCCTGTTGGCTGCGATGGTAGTCTCAAAATTGAGAAAGGGCGCAAAGGAGCATGGCGATTGGGAGCTTTTTGGCGCCATCAGCCCTTCACAATGCGAGCTTGTACACCTTCCTGCACGAGAAGGCGCCGCTTCGACCAGATTGAGCATTACCCATGTTCATCCGCCAGGGATACGGGATTAGTCAGAATCTAGACGTTTAAAGGAACTGCCAGCTGGTGCCAGCTGGTGCCAGCTGCACATGGACTATACAAAAAATGAGGAAACCAGTGGGCGGTATCACTCCGTAATTACAGGGGCTTCACAGGGGATGACCGCTGACGTCCAGGTCGTGCCCCTCCCCCACGCCGCCGTGCATTGAGGCCTAGCGAGCCAGCGAAGCTTCCTAGCAACGAGAGGGGCCTGGCCCAAAAACTTTTTGAGTAAACACAGCAAATAAATACTGCCAGGCACATTCCCCCTTGGAGCCCAGTTTGTCTCCATAGCCCAGCATTTTTGTTTCTCTGTTTCTTTCATATTTCAAATCAAAGACGGAACGACGTGCACATAGAGAACAATAGACTTCCAAAGCACTTATTTTACGCGAGACTCGACACATCCTGTCCCTTCCCTTTGCCACTCGCAACGAACAACACCCACATCAACGTCTACAACGATGGCGTCCAAGATATTCTCCCTCGAAGGCAAGGGCCTGAAGCTAGACACGGCGGCCGACATCGAGCCGCACATTGCGCCGCTGCGGGCAATGGACGATGTCGAGGAGGTGCGGCTGCTGGGGAACACGCTGGGCGTGGGTGCATGCCAGCTGCTGGGCGAGGTGCTGGCGACCAAGAAGACGCTGACCACGGCGAATCTGGCGGACATTTTCACGGGCCGGCTGCTCAACGAGATCCCTGAGGCGCTGTCGTCGCTGCTGACGGCACTGCTCAACCTGCCGAAGCTGGGCACGATCAACCTCAACGACAACGCCTTTGGCCTCAACACGCAGGCGCCGCTGGTGGCGTTCCTGGCGTCGCACGTGCCGCTGCAGCACCTGTACCTCAACAACAACGGCCTGGGCCCGCATGCGGGCATCCTGATTGCCGATGCTCTGAGCGCGCTGCACGCCAAGAAGGAGGAGGCACGCAAGGCGGAACCCAAGACAGAGGTGCCGGACCTGGAGACGGTCATTTGCGGCCGCAACCGGCTGGAGAACGGCAGCATGACGGCGTGGGCCAAGGCGTTCCAGCTGCACAGCAAAGTCAAGACGGTCAAGATGGTGCAGAACGGCATCCGCCAGGAGGGCATCAGCCACCTGCTGAGCGCGGGCCTGCATCACGCGACGACCATCCGCGTGCTGGACCTGCAGGACAACACGTTTACGCTGATGGGCGCCAAGGCACTGGCAGGCGTGGTGCCCCGGTGGACGGAGATTGAGGAGCTGGGCATTGGCGACTCGCTCCTGAGCGCCAAGGGCGGCGTGCTGCTGGCGGGCGCGCTCAACAAGGGCCAGAACAAGAAGCTGCAGATCCTGCGGCTGCAGTACAATGACATCACGGCAGCCGGGCTCAAGGCACTGTCAGATGCGGCCGGCAGCGGCGCGCTGCCGGTGCTGCAGAAGCTCGAGGTCAACGGAAACAAGTTCTCCGAGGATGACGAGGCGGTGGTCATGCTGCAGGAGCTGTTTGAGGCGCGCAAGGAGAAGCTTGGCGGCGACGTGGTGGACGAGGACGCATGGGGTCTGGACAGCCTGAGCGACCTGGAGGAATTGGACTCGGACGAAGAGGAGGAGGAGGAGGAGGAGGAAGAGGAGGAGGCCAAGGGCACGACGGCCGAGGAGCGCGCTGAGAAGCTGATCAAGGAGGCGGAAGAGGCGCAGGAGGAGCCTGTGGTGCAGGTCAAGGACAAGGATGTGGACGAGCTTGCCGACAAGCTGCAGAAGACGGACATTTAACGGCTCCTGGTGATCCTCACCCACATCTCATCCACTTCCCGCTCCCTGCCCTTGACACCTCACCAAGCCTCCCGAAGCATCACTCCCGCCTGTACATATTCCTCTTCCAGCCCTTCTTGCATTCCCGGTCATTTCCCTTGTCTCACTAGATTTCCCTTGTTTGTCGTTCGCGTCCCTCTATGCCCCTTCCCATACCCCATCCCCTTGCATTTATTCACAGCACGTAATACAATGAATACAGAAAGACCGTTCAATTTATATATTTATATATTCCTATATTACTTTGTCTACAATCACATGCCATACACGCATCAGACAAGGGCCCTTCCACTCGCTGGCAGAGCAAAGATAGCGCAAAGACGAGGCAACGGCAGCCGGCTTCCAGCGGCTTCTAGGAACCAACCCGGCTCGCCACTGCTGGTAAGTCATGTGGCCCCTGGTAACGTTCTTTGTGAAGTATTACTTGTTTCCCGTCGGACAGCTGCGATAAGTGTCACTGGTTTCGTGTGCGGCAGACGTGGCCTGTTGTTTTTGGTCTCAGAGTAGCCCATATTGGGCGTGTCACACCACTCTGCACCACTGAAAATATAGTACGATGCGGCTGCCCGTAGCGCGTCCGTCGGCTTTGGCACTAACAGGCTCAGTTCTTTCCCTTTTGGGGCCAATGTATCAGGTCTAACCACATCACGGACACAATACACAAACAGCCAAAGCCGATGACGCTGACTGTCGGACAACCAACCACCACTACCTTTTTCCTTTTCATCCCGCCAGAGATCGCCAGACAGCCTGCCTCGCTTGCTCCTCGGGCGACGGCTCTTTCAGAGTGATGTTTCCTGCCAACTGCTCGGGAAGCAAAAACAGCGGTGGCCTTATTTAACGGACAGGTGACCCTCGAAGCTCATCCCTTTGTGACATCCTTTTGTCTTCCAAAACAATAAAGAAATCAACGTTTCGCCGTTGCAGCTGTCCACTGTCCAGAGCGCCCCTGCAACCTCAATCGAACCAATTCCATTCTCCCCCCCCCCGAAACCACCTATATAGCATCCGTCCAGCAAAACCGCCACAATGCCCATCTCCGGCCTTTTCGGCTCGACCGAGGCCGTCATCGATTTTCTCTGGGACATTACTTTTCTCTTCTTCGTCATCCGCCTTTCGTTTGTCTATGCCGTGCTCTCGGCCGCCGCATCGGTCGCTGTGGCCTGCCTCGCTCATGCTGCCATTCTGCCGTTCGTTGCGGCCCGCCACAACGTCGGGGTTGGTGCCCTCGTCCACAAGGTCTTGGGCACGTCATCGACCACCAAAACTGCCCTTGTGGTCCTTGTTTCGGCCGTCCTATTTTCCGTCGTCGGCCTCTGTGGCCGCTTCATGATGGGCTACGCCAAGATTCCCCAGCTGCGCGGCTTCCGCATCCCCATTGGTGTCGCCGCCGCTGTCTATGTTGGCCTCGGCTGGCTCGCAGCGTCCGAGTTTGTGCCGGCGTGCCGCGGAATGACGGCGACCACCACTCCCAAAGGCCACGGCGTGGTCCCCGCCGACAACGCCCTGACTCTCGCGTCGTTCTGCCGGTCGACCCGCCTGCGGATCGGCGGCATTGCCTCCAACACCAGTGTCAGCGCATGCACCATTGTCGGTCTTGTCTTTGTCGCCGCCGTCGCGCTCGTGCCGTGGTTGTCCATGGCCTTGTTGGAACGGCCGAACCGCCACTACGGCCGCCACCGTCGTACCTCGTCCAACATTGGCTGGCTGCGTGCCATGAGTCCCTCGCCATCTGCGACGCCCGTCAACGAGAAGAGTTTGTCGTCACCACCCGAGCCGTCGTCGTCAACAGACGATTCTGAAGACCAGGCATCTCCAAAGAAGACGCGTACCACGAGGGCGACACGGACTCCCAAGAAGCGGTACTCGCTTAGGAACACCACGACCCGGCGGACAACGTGATCGTGAGAACTGTCCGTTGAGCAATAGTAAAGCTATAGAAAGGGCCATTGCGACTTGCGTACGATACAAAAATACGGGCGTTTATTTTTCTGTGATTTGGGTATTTTAAGAGATTATTTTACGATTTTTATCCACGTTTGTGTTATACGTTGAAAATCAACACAAGCGAGACTATTCTATGCAATAATTCATCTTTCTGACTAAGTACATCATGCATTATAATAAGTTAAAACGAAAACAATGAAATTGAAAGTCATCCAAAACCCCGGCTCCTCTTAAACAAATACGCATTATTCAACAGCATTAAGAAGTAGCCAGCACCGCCTTGTGCCATCTTCCATTCCCATGCTCAACTCGTTCTCATCATCCCTCATTTCCACGAGTTAAGCCCTGCCCACGGGTCGGCTGGAGCTTGCTGAGGCGGCGGCGCTTGCTGCTGGAACGACTGCTGGTATTGCTGCTGCTGAGACGGCAGCTGTTGTTGTTGCTGCTGCGAATAGTAGTCGGTCGGCTTGACATGATATGTCTGCTGCGGGCCCAATGGTGGCGGTGCACGGGGCGGCGGCGGCGGCACGAAACCAGCTGGCACAAAGCTGGACGGCGTGCTCGAGTGTGTTGTCGGCGGCTGGTTGGCTTGCTGATTGCCGTACGTGCTATACTGGTGGCTGCCGGGCTGCCCAAACGCCGTTTGTGTCGGTGGCGGCGACGCTGGCCCCCGCATCGCGTTCATGTTGAAGCTGGTCATCGTCGGCGGAGGCGACGCGGGGCCGGGAATGCGGCCGAGTGCGCTCGGGTTGTACGTCGCAGCCTGTTGGCCGAACTGGCTGGCGTATGGGGATGGCATGGAAGTCTGGTTGGGGGGCGGTGAGTTCGGGACTTGATACTGCCCCGTAAAGTTCGTCGCCGGGTACCGTGGCGCGTTGTTGTTAGACAAGTACAGTGGCATGGGCGTGGGCCGCCCAGACAGACCGCCCGAAGACGACGGTAGTGGCGGTGTCGATGATGCGCCATTGGCGGGTGGCTGAGGCTGCGATGAGGGTGTGGTCTCCACGGACATGCGCTCCATGAGCCCCCGTAGGCGTTCCCTCTCCAGCTCGGCCTGCTGGCCCTTGTTGGCAGCGCGGTCCTGCTCGATTTGGTTGAGCAGTTGTGCGCCCTCGGACCGACGGTTGTTCACAAACGTCTCCACGTTCTTCTCGAGGCTGTCAACCGTCTCCTTCATGTCCGCATACCACCGCTTGGCACCGTTCAAGCCTGCCTCCAAATCGAGGAACTCTTGGTATGCCCGCTTGTATTTGTTCACCACGGAAGCGCGCTGCCGTTGGACCGACTCGTACTTGCTCTGCTCCGAGCGGACGCGCTTGTCCTGCAGGAGCGTGTTGAATGCGGCCGTCAGCTCCTTCATGAGCGCTGCCTGCTTGTGGTTGGCCTGGACAAGTCGGTTTTGGTGTGTGCGGAACTTCTCCAGCTCCGACTTGAACAGTTGTGTCTCGTAGTTTGCAATTGACTTCTTGTTCAGAATCAATATCTGCGAGATATCGTCGTCGTGAATCTGTTTTGTCAGTGCATGCCCGCGTATTGATACCACGTAGCTATCGAGAGAAGAAAAACTTGGGCTTACCTTGTCTTTGAGATCTTTCAGCACCTGGTTGCGTTCCCGCTTGACAAGATTCAACTTTGACAGGATCTCATCCACTGTATTGATCTGGTCTGGTACGCTGGGGTGGCTGTCCTCAAAGTCGGTGTCTAGCAGGTTGCCTTCGCTGGGGCTCGTCGTCTGGCTGCCAGACTTGCCCCGTACCTTGGCCAAGGCTCTTTGGAACAGCGCGTCGACCTCGCCATGCTGGGCCGCTGTCCGCATCTCGTCGAATTCAGCACTGTTTTGGCGCAGCTTCGAGGCCAAAAGCCCGTCACTGGTCCCCGCCTCGTCCAGCGCGTCCCGGTAGTTTTTAATGTCCCCACGAAGTGTTGTCGTGAGCCGCGAGCTGGGCTGCTGGGTCCACTCGCTTTCGTACTTGGAGCGCATCTTCTCACAGACACTCTCCTCCATGTCGAGCTGCTTTGCATTTTTGTCCAGCGTGGCAATAATTGCCTCCCGCTGATGACGCAGGGGCTCGAAAATGGCCTCGGGGCTTTCGTGGTCGGCCACGTCAACACACCAGGTACGGAAGTCTTCGTCAGGGAGCACCTCTTGGTCAAACCCGCCTTTGAGAACCTGGAGGGCGCCTGGAAGACGAAGATAGTCAAGGCTGGCAGCCATCTCGCTGTTCGCAGTATCGACCCGTTCGGTTTCCGCGCGGAGAATTTTGGCCTTTTCTTCATCGTACAGACTTGCCGACTCGGTCACGGAAAGTGGGATGATCTTGGCAAAAAGGTCAGGTCCAGTGATGCGCTGAATGTCCTGGCCTGCGTACAGCTCGCTAACAGGTATTGGCTTGCAAGCAGGAAGCTTGGAAACGGGCGGGAGACTGGCTGTGTCGGGAACCGAGTCGTGGTAGATGAAGTCGTTGTCCTTGTTGAAGCCGCGCAGCTTCTCCTGGACCGTGGACAGATGCCGTTTGGTGATGTCGACGAGCAGTGTGCTGGTGTCGGCCCCCAAGTTTGCGCTTGAAGGCAAGGAACTAGGGAAGCTGGTCGCCAGCTTGGCTGCCTCCTTCCCGAGGGTCTCGGCGACTTGCAGCCGCGATACTGCGAGGCCATGGTTGTTTGCATCATCATCGGCGAGGCCCTGGAAGTACTGTGCCATTGAGCCCATAAGGCTCGCCTTGATCTATAGAGGAAGAATGGTCAGCCTCGATTTTGTACCAACCATAGGAGAACCGGCTCACGCAAAACATACCTGGACAAAATAGAGCCAGACTTTTTCGAAAATGGCTCTGTCGACGTTGGCTTGGACACCCTCGGCTGCTTGGGCATACAATGAGCTGGCATGGCTCGCGAGCTTCGCCAGCAGGCCGACCTTTTTCTGGTCGGCAATCTGCTTCTCTAGGAAGACCTCCTGGGCTTGGGCAAGGGTAATCGAGATGAGCGTCTTAACGGTCTCCCGACTCAGATCAGCCGACGGAGCATGGAGAAAGTTTTCATTGATATAGGTGAACATTCCAGCAGAGGCCTGAAAAGAGTGGTAGGCAGTCTTGAGACCGGACTCGTCGGAGCGGTTCTGGAGGGCGGCATTGCAGGACAGAACAGCGGAGATGTTGAAGATGATAGATGCCTTCTCGAACGCAAGCGAGAACTGCGACGTCGCCTTGTGTGTAAACGCATCAAACCTATAAGTTGGTGGGAGATGTCAATATGATGGCAATCTTTGGCATACCACGAGCTGGATCAGCCACTGTTCAATACGTACCATGTGAATGAGATCCGGATATGCTGTTCGTCAACAGGAAACCGAAGGTCAAGAAGCTCCAACTGCCCATAGTACCGGTAGAGCAAATCGCGCCCGGAGCTGCTATCCTTACCAGCACCGCGCATATCCTGGCGCAAACGGTTTAGAGTCGCACATTCTTCGGCATACCGTTCAGGGTCGTCGCCATATGTGTCACGGATATAGTTTTTCAGCGGCACAATCCAGTCGATCTCGTTGGTAGCCTTGAGCGGCACCGAGATCATAGGGGCTTGAACCATTGTTTCGGTCGCAAGAGAGCGCTTGCTCGGGGGCTATGTTATAGTTCAACAGCTCTTCTTCCTGATAGACGCTCGTAACAGAGGAACCAGGAGTGAGCCGCCGCAAAAGATTCGGCCCGGAAGGCGGTGCAACTGTCGTGTTGCTGTCACGCCTGACGTCCGAGTCCGGAAGGGACGGGTAGAGGTATTGATTCGCCAAAGGCCGGTATATCGAAACAGTGTTATGGAGCAGGTAGCAGATGCGTGATCGGCGGAGGTCGTAGCGAAACGTTGTCTCGTTGTATATGTGTCGTATGCTGTCGGGGTGTAGGATTCGAAATGCGGAACTGTAGAAAGCACCCTCTTCCTGACGTCGCTAACCGTTTAGGAAGCAAAAGGACCGGCTGAGCAATGCCAGTTCTGCGAAAAATACCGTGAACAGAATAAAAAAGACGGCCAGAACGAACCCGTGTTTGTCGAGAGCTGGCACAATAAGGTGACGAAGAGGTGGGAAATGCCCAGAACGTCAGCGGGCGGTGTCGGCGGGAGCTGTGCTGGCAATATTGGGCGCAAATGGCACAGGGCGGCAAAGCTCAGTCGTATGCGGCGCTGTCGATAGGGGCGCAATGCAAAGTGGAAGCTGGATCGACAAATATCACAAAATGGAGAATAACAAGAGACAAGAGATATTGGGGTCTTGAGGTTATTCAGGACAAGAGATGGGCAGTTGTGAATGATGGGCAATGGTTAATTAGCCGCCCAGGAATAATGGCTGTGAGGGAGGTGTTGGTAGTGCCTTCCCAAATCCAGGCCGTTGGCTGGCCTCTAGGTGCCAGAGCATAGGCGCAAAGGAGGGGGAGGGGCGGACAGATAGGGGATGCCGGGATTGAATGGGGAAAGTGGGCTGGGCCTGAGTCTGCCCGAAGGCCTCGTTCCGAGGAGGGAAAGTGTGCCACTGGCGGGTGCCTACCGTATTCGTCAGATACCTGGTTGCGACTCCCTCTTGTATTCCACACTTTGTGCGCCGTATTAGTGCCGCTCGACGACTCAGTTCCAACAGGCAAGAGCGGCCGTCTAGCGACCGAACGCTCTTAGCTTTTGAGCTTGCCGCTGGCGACCTGGGATGGTATCCTAACGTGCATCATGTCTGCTTAAGCACGACGCGACGGCGTGACGACGGGCAGCATCTCGCCGGACGACGACTTGTTGGATACTTTGAGGCATTGGTGCTTTGGCTGCTTTGCGTCTATGGTTAACAGCGATGGCATGCACAATGCGCGAGCGCAATACCGCGTCGAATCGGCGAGCCAGGACATTGGGCTCTCGAAAACACGCTTCATGGCACACTTCAGATCATCGCGGTAAAGAAAAGCCGCGAGGCAGCCACATCTCTTTGGCTAGAGCCGTTGGAATTGTCTACGTCAGATGCCGCATACCAACCAGGTAGCCTGACCAGCACGCCAAGGTGGGCAGCAGCCGTCCATGGCACGGGAGTTGGGAGGCTAAGGCGGCCGTTTCTGCGACCCGCGATCTCGAGCAGCGGCCGGGAAGCACCCGCCAAATCCAACTGTAGATGAGGGAGGGCAGCGGCGACAAACGCAAAGATAAAAGGTATTATGCTTTGCGTCCGCTCGAATCTGGAGGATTCGGATGATGAGCGGGGGGAGGAGGAACATCTCTCCGCTCCGTTCTCTGCTTTTGTTTACGGTAAAGAGTCGTGCCAGATGAATGTCACATCACGACACGGACCCTCGTCTATCGTCTGCCTGTGACGAGACATCAGTCAATTTGCAAAGCCCCAAGTTCACCAACGAGAACGCCGGGGCTACTGAAAGCTTATGCAGGTGATGGCCATTCAAAGCACTCTTCTAGGCCGTTAAGCGCCCCTGATTGGACACGCGCAAAGCAACCCTGGCCCCCAAGACCCTTTCCGAAGCGACGTGCGGGCGCCATAAGCGCCGGAGGATCCAGTATCTTACTTGGAACAAGTGTTGGGGGCCAAACCGTGCTTTCACCATAGTCGAGAGTTCTTTTGCCCTAGTTTTTTTTCTGCCAATGTCTGTTGTACAAAGTCATTACATGATTTGAGGTTACGCTACATTCTTGACACATCTCCAGCCGGCGTCTGTCACGGAGTTGATTTTCGGTGAGCAATATTGAGCGGTCCGTGTCCTAGATCGGCGTTCGAAAATGACACCGCCACAAAGGAGCCCATTGTGAACTTGTGTCCGCCATGTTTTTGATACTCATACCACATGTCATGAAGGGAACGCAAATAAATATAATTTGAAACTGCTGGCACAATGTAAAACTTAAAAAGAAATAAATACATAAATAACCCGGTGAAAACCACGACCAACACAATCCAACTTATCTTCAGGGCCACAACCTATTACCGGCCCTTTTCGATGCGCTCTAGTCTGTACCGGTTGGCACGCACCTGGTCGTCGACAGTGTCGCTCTGTAGCATTGTGTTAGCTGACTGAAAGCAATGTGCCGCAGAGAACAGCACTGGTGAGATGACATACCTTGGCAGCAATTCTGTCAATATGATCCAGATCCTCCGTGGCAAACTGGTTCATGGCCTTCGCCGTCATATTCAGCGTGCCAACAGCGCCTGACAGCAGGTCCATCTTCTGATTGATGGCCTGCTCTTTCTGGATGTCCTCCTCGTCATCGTCCTCGAGGTTGAACTTGCTCGAAATGCCCGACTTAGTTTGGCCAAGCCGGCGGTTCTGCTCTGCCGTCCGCTCCAGCTGCTCAAAGTTTTGCTCGGCATTGCGGTTGCTGAGGTATGCCAAGCGGCGCGTCTCCTCGCGCTGCTCCCGCTCGCTGCGGTGCTCGTCAATGGCCGCTTGCGCCTGCTGTGCCGCGCGCTGCTTGGACGTGAAGGGGTTGTTGACCTTGACGGCAAACATGCTGCGGTTGTAGTGCTTCAGCTCCGCTGCGCGGTGCTCGGCAATCTTGTTGTGGTTGGCCGCTTCGTCGAGGTTGTTCTCCACATTCAGCAGCCGCTCGCGCTGGTTGTACATGCGCGCCATTGTTCCCCGTGCCGTCTCAATACTCTGGTTGGCAATCATGAGCGAGCGGTCGAGACTCTGGTCTGTCTCGTTTCGCAGGTACCGCGTCTCCTGGTTCATGCGCTTGACATCTTCGTCCTCCTGCTCCTCGGCCGTCAGCTCGCGGTCTGCGCCGTAGCCGCCACTTTCCTCACCGCCACCAGCGCCGTAGCCGCCGCCATTGTCAGCGGGGTTCGGGTACTTGCTGGAGGCTTCCTGGCGGCGCTCGGCATATTTTTGTGGTGCGTCGCCAAAAAGAGCCTGGCGGTTCGAGTCGTCAGCCTCGTCGTCGGCGCCACCCATGCCGCCGTAGCCACCTCGTCGGGCACTGAGTCGGGCAGCACCACCACCACTGTAACCGCCTCCAGATCCAGGGCCATCGCTATCAGCTGTGCTTCTGTATGTTGGGGGCCGTCCAAGAGGGGGGCCGCCTCCATAGGACGAGTCGTTGTCGTATTTGTTGCTGCCATAACCACCCGATGCACCATAGCCGCCGGCGCTGTAGCCGTTGCTCTGCTGGCTAGGCGCGTTGTTCGGCGGAGGACCACCATACGGTGCCGGGCCATTGGCCGGTGGGCCACCGTAGCCTGCGGCCGAAGCGTAAGGGTTGGCGTTGGGGCTCGGGCCGCCACGAGGCGGCGGCGGGCCAGCATTTGATCTGGGACCAGGCCCGCTCGGCAGGCCACCACGTCCACCCCGGACTGGCAGGCCCATGCTTGCCTGCTGGCGTTGCAGAGATGACATTGGTGCGGCGTAAGGGTCAGGCTGTTGAGACTGCTGTGCGTACGGATTGTCGTCCTGCGTGTTGTTGCTGCCCTTCTTCCTGCTGAACAGACTAGCCTTCTTGCTGTCCTCGTCGTCTTTGGAAAACCCAAACCGAGGCATCGTGACGAGAGTGGAGGGACGACTCTGCCGAAAGGATGTCGATTCTTTATAGAGAAATTGTGTTCCGCTCGTCCAGAAGGATCTCCGGAAGAATAATGCGATTGAGCGCTGTTATGTGAGAGATGCGGGACGCAATGCAGGCGGGAGAGTCGCAGAGCCGTGTCGATGAGGAGGAAGAAAGACGGTGGATGGAGAGTAGCAATGTGTCTGACCTACGTTTCGCCACAGAAAAGGGTTTCGAAAGGGGACGGCCCAACAGTCGATGAGGCAGCTAAGGGGAGGCAGAGCAAAGCGCTTTTAGGGGTATTGCTTTAAGGGTGTTCTGGCTCCTCCCCACTCCGATTAGGCGGTGTCGATTTCACAGTGCAACTCAGCCCCCGCACCACGTTCCAAAAACAAGCAATGCCCAACGGCACTAGTTATAAAAATAGGAAGGAGGCCGCTAAACTTTTGCCCCAGGCGCATTCTGTTTCTGGACATAGGTCGTCATTACCTCGTCTGTGGCGGTGTTGAATCGCAGCTGCCTGCCTCGCTTGCTGTTGGGTCATCTTCAGCTGGTTGTCGTTTCCTAGTTTGGGGAGAATTCAGTACGAGGGAGGTAGAATGCTTTCAAATTTCGACTTTCAAAGTCTGGATTGGAAGGTGGAGCCCGATGACACTGGTCGGTTACCCACGACGAGCAGGGACCAAGCACGCTTTGCGGCCAAACTTGTTCAAAGGGGACATCGCTTTGGGGACTTCAAAACGTGCGCTGGAGAAGTGGTGACTCCCGAGGCTGCCAGGCCGACCCAGGACGCTGGTTGGCCTCGTTCGTTGTTTCCTTGCATCGTCGATGCGTGTTGCTTCTTTTCGTAGCCGCACAGAAAGAATCGGGAAGGAGTCACACCCCATTGCGATGATTGTGGCTTCCCTATTGGGGAGTCGTCCAATGTGGAGGGGCATCATGCGCCAACTATTCTACGCCGTGGGCCGTTCTGACACTAAAGTCTGGCGTCAATTGCTCATAACAACATCTTATTCTTCCTTTCTTCTCTACCTGTCCACCACCCATCCCCTGTCAATGCCTCGTTTTTAAAGTCATCTTGCAATGTTCGCCCATTGTCTGAGCAGTGCGTGAACCAGGAAACAGGTTTACTTTTATATATACATCCGCCCAGAGACCTCTGTCGAGCGCAGTCTGTGTCTTGACCACTCCAGACTCGCCAACATTCTCAAGCCAAAATGCTGCCTCAAATACCGCACATTGTCCAGCTCTCAGTCTCTTTGCTTTCTTTGCAGCATCACGTATTATTACCATTACCAAACTAAGCACAAAGCACTCCTCTTCCTCCATCATTATTGGGCGAGCGCACGTCGCCGTTTTTGGCCAACTGTGAAACGGAGGGCAGATGTCTGTCTTTACGTACGACCCGAACCCGCCTCGGGTATCGTCCCCATGGCTCCAAGCCGCCGATGTGGACGTGCCGAGCTCCTCGAGCCGTGGTCACCTGGCCGGGCATGACGAGACCCCGGGCGATGGACCTGTCGCACACAGCTTGCTCTCTGAATACGGGGTAACAAGACTGCCTCCTGAACCGCAAGAAGGGCCGGTCGAGTACAAGCTGCACCTGCTGCTGCGTCCGCGGCGGTCATACAAGTTTATCCCCCCGACCGCCTCTGCCGGCTCGCCAAAGGTCACTGCCGACCCCAAGTTTCTTCAAAAACGTCGCGTGGTTGGGTCGGCGACGGCAGGGCAGACTCGGCAAAGTCGTTGCGAGCATCTAATGACACAGCTCCTTTGGCGACTACGCCAGTCCTCGCCGTACCACGCATCTGTTGCGCAGCAGGACCCTGCTTTGCCGCTTCTACCGGAGGACTCGGCCATTGCGGAGATGCCTGTCACGCTTGGGAAGTTGGCGCCCGGCCTGGAGGAGTCTAGAGGTGCTCTTTACGAAATTGGTGTGGCCGACGATGGTGCGCTTGTGGGCATTACAAAAGACGAGCTGGACCAGAGTATTGCCACTTTGCGCTGGATGGCAGCCCACCTTGGTTGCGTTTCGAAGATTCTTCGCATTGTCGAAGTCGGCCAGTGCGAGTGGACCGAGGAGACGAACCCATCCGGAAATGGCACCGTAACACTCCGTGATCGTCTGTGGGTTGCGGAGGTGTTTGTCCAGCCACACATGAATTCGCAGGGAAACGGCAGTAATGGGGCTGAGGCAGGAACTATATCAACGTCTTATGGCGGCAGAGTGAACGATTTGTCCACTACTCTGGGGTCCACGACGGCCGACCAATTGCGGGTGACCTTGACCGGCCCGACAGGGTCTGGAAAATCCACGCTGCTCGGCACGCTCTCGACGGGAGCGCTCGACGACGGGCACGGCAAAAGTCGCTTGAATTCGCTCAAGCACCGCCATGAAATGGCCTCCGGCCTCACCAGCACTGTCACTCAAGAGCTCGTTGGCTACAGCGACGAAGTCATAGTCAACTATTCCAACCCCAACATCGAGTCTTGGATCGGCATTCACGACTACACCAAGAACGGCCGTCTCGTTTTCATATCCGACTCGGCCGGCCACCCTCGCTTTCGTAGAACGACGCTTCGTGGACTCATTGGGTGGTCACCGCACTGGACTCTTCTTTGCCTCAGCACTAACCCCGATGATGCTGATAGCGGTACTTCTGGTGACTGTGATACGGGGAGTGGCACATCAACACCACTGGAATCGGGTTCTGGAACGAATAGCGCCGCCCTAGCCAAAGCTCACCTCGACTTTTGTGTTAAACTTGGCCTGCCATTAGCCATCGTTTTGACAAAATCGGACCTGCTGAACAAGGAGTCGCTGAAGCGCACGCTGGCTCCTATCTGGACTGCTATCAAAAACGCAGGTCGCTTGCCGCAGCTGTTACAGTCGAAGCAAAAGGCGACTGAAAACACGCGCTCCGTTTCCTCGATCGATGCCGCAGCCATCGAGCGTGTTCTGACTCCCATGCGCGAGTCACAGGACTTCCGTACGGTTGTTCCTGTGATTTTGACGAGCTGTGTCAATGGAGATGGCATTGGGCTGATCCATGCCCTCCTTAAGTCCTTGCCGCTACCTCCTAAACCAACGTCAAACGACTACATTGGCAAGGCACTCAACCCTGAGCAACCTGAAGCGCTCTTCCATATCGAGGACCGCTTCAAGAGCCCTGTGTCTTATGCTACCGCCAGCCTTGCAGAGTCAGCCGATTCGGGCCACGTACTTTCCGGATACCTGCGCTTCGGCAAGTTATCCGTCGGCGACCTTGTGGTAATCGGGCCCTTCCCATCCGACGAGGATGGGACAGGATCTGGTCTGGATGATGACAGGACTGCGTCCCCGAGCCACAACAGCCTGTCATCCTCACACCCGTCGTCGTCTGAACTGGCGCGTATCGCCGCCCGCAATGCCATTTCGGCGTCGGCTCTGAAGGGGGAGTGGCATGAAGCCCGCATAGAGACGATTCGCAACCTCCGCCTCCCTGTCCAGACTCTGGATGCCGATCAAGTCGGCACCATTGGCCTGGTCATACTTCCGCCGACCCAAACCAAACATGGTAGCTTTGCTGACGGCAGTGACGAAGTACATATTTCCACTGCTGCCCTCAAACCACGGCGTGGTATGGTTGTTGCGGTGCCCAACAAGCACATGCTGAAGAGTGGACTTCAGCTCCAAGCAGCCAGTGGACTCACAGCCTTTTTTGAGGACGTCAATATTGGCCGTCTGAGTATTGGCACACCCGTCACATATTATGTGGCAAGTGTACGCGCCCAGGGTCGCGTGGCCAAGGTCTGGAGCTCCACACCCGCCGATGACCTCGGAAAAATGGAGGCGACTGATGATGGCGTCTTTGATTCGTTTGAGCATGGCGATGAGGATGAGAAATGGGGCAGCCGGGCCGCCCCATCGAATCATGGCTACAGCGTCCGCCTTGAGCTGCTATATGGACGAGAATGGATCGAGCTCGGGTCCCAGGTTGTGATTCTCGAAGGTGCCAGCAAAGAAGGATCCGTGCTGGATGGCTTTGTTGGAAAAGTAGTCGAAATTATGGATTGAGCGGACATGTGTTGAGTGGTTCACATACTTTGATTTTCCGTTTGTTTGTTTTCTGTTGTTTTTTGCATCTTCCCTTTGGACAATTTGTTTCCGTATGGCTTTGCGAACTTCTTCCGTAGCCTACTTATCATCGTTTTTTTCATATATGCTCTTGGCTGAAGGTAGCAAATATTGCATCGCCAAGCAAGACGCACCAATTTAAGCAGGAGATAATAATATCAGATGTGTATCAATAGTACTTTTTGTATTTGTGTCATTTGAAAACAATACCATCCGAAAATTAACGCCGTAACAAATGATCGCTCTCTCGTATGTGGCCTTCACCGGCCCTCCTTCCCTTCCTTTCAGCTGTTGTCGGTTATGCTCTGACGAGGCCAAAAAACAGCGTCCACGTCAAGATATAACCCGCCAGTCCATTCACTAGTCCGCCCGTCCAGAACTCGAACGGGCCCCGGAAAAATGCACTCGTGTCGAGGGTGTTGACAGGCTTGCCGGCCCTTCGCAGCTCCAGCGATGCCGACATGACGCGGAAAACGAAGAAGAAGGCCGTCGTGATAAGCGAAAAGACAATGTAGAAGAGAAAGCCGTTGTAGGACTCGAGGCCGAGGATGCCCGCGCCGACACCGAAGAGCGAGGCCGTCAGAGACTGGACATTGATAAGGGTCTGTGTGCAGTTAGTGTCGAGTGCCCATTTATCAGGCTCGTTTTCGCGTCTACTTTCCTCGTCCTTGCTTACCCGAGAATTGTGCAAAATCGACTCTTGGACCAGAGGCTGGATCTGGAAATCGCGTTCGGTCGGCATCGTGGGATGTGTTGTGCGATGCAGCTGTGTGTTGTGGGGTTTGGTTTGGGGGATTGGGCGTGCGGCTTGGATGACTTGTCGTTGTGTTTCTCGATGCCCCCTTTCGTGGATCTGAACAGGCTACATAGACGTCCTCTGAGCTTCTAATGTGGCAGCCAGTTTGCGCTGATCTCCGATTGGTCAGACCTGAAGCCCGCCTTTTAATGCCCGATTCAGGACTAGCGTTCCTTCCTCTTGGAGTTTTGTTTCAATCGCTGGAAAATGCCAACAGGGGGCGCTTGCCCTGTCATTCTAGCACTTCAGGAGGCAGGCACGGCGTCCAATTTGACGGGGCTTGCGCTGATGAAAGAAGGCACATGGCAGAACTATTCTAATGCTGGGGTGTGACGTTCTCGGCGACAGCGTGCGCAGCGCGGTGGGTCAACCCCTGTAAACCTTGGGCAAACAAGGCCCTTCCTCTCTTGTAGCTTCATTTTGGCGATGTTGTTCATTTCCCACAAAAACAACGCGGCGGATGCGGTAAAATAGCAGGAGAATAGTAGAGAGTAATATTATTCTTCAAGCCCAAATGGGAAAGAGGAATCTGTGACACCAAAACAACGGGAAAGTGCGACCAACCTGTGTGTCTTTCCTTCCCGGTCAGCTTCTATCTCTGCCGCGCCTTCTCATTTTATCCTTTGTCCACCGAACACGCAGCACCTTCGTGCTTCCCCTACGCTGTCGAAAACAACCACCACGCTCCGCACGCCGACGAACCCACATGTTTTGTTTTGGCTACACCCTCTCCTCTCCTACTTCTCCTCTTCGTGGTGTCTCTCGCGACACCACCTGCGACCTTCAATACCACCGCACACCTCCCATTCAACGTCACGCCTACGCAGTCACGACATTTCTCGCCTCCGTTGCCGCCGAGCCAAACCGTCATATACCACCGCCGTAGCTTCCAACGCCCTTTTCGCCCTTCCCCTTCTCTTTCGTCCAAGAGGCGGCGCCAACTGTGTCTATTCTACGACTTCTCCGCGTTCGGTCGAGCCTCTTTGTCGCCACTTTCTCTCCTGCCGCCTACGCTACTAGCAAACACCTCAAGTTGGTATCGCGTGCGCTGCTTGCTGCTAGCAGATGATGCGCCCGCCATCCACAACCAGCCGACTCCATGGAGACTGTGGTATTTGACCAGACGCCGCTCGCCGAGTATCTGAGAGGTACGATACTATTGATCTTTTTAATTCTATATAATTTGCGTTCTCGTTTGTCGGATCTGTTTCGATAAACTGTAGATGTCGCGGAAAACGCCCATGTCAACCTTTGATATGCGCCGACAAATCCCACGTGCTAACCGAATACCTGTGGTTGTAGGCGAGGGCGGAAACGAACCCACCACATGGGTCCCGGCCATCACCCGCTCATCGTCCACCGCGGACCTATCTGCTGGCGACGACGTTGACGCTGACGACACACCGGGCTCCCCGTTTCCTGTGACGCCTACACCCGACCAGAAGCACCAGTCCCACCAACAACAGCCACGGCAGCGGATAGAGACCAAAGACGACAACCAGAATGTCGTACACACTCCGCCACCGAGCCCACCCTCTCCTATATTTGCACCGGTCGGCCGGCCGATGGTTAGAAAACGCTTCCGCAACAAGATCCCAAACCCGCTGCGTGTCGACGTTCGGCGCAACACATCTCTCTCTTCCTCCCTCAACAACCGCTACTCTGTATGTGCTACGCGTTATGACCCTGTCAAAATCCAGTTCCATATCCGTGTATGCTAATCACGTTCGCGTTTGTCCGCAGAGAGCCGTCGCGTCAACAATAAGCCGTGTTGATAACGCACAGTTCATCGAAAAATTCCGATATACAATCATTACCTCCCACCTCCTCGGCGCTGCTACTCTCGGCCAGCATCAACAGCCCACACGACCCGGAAGCAGCAGTGGCGATTTCAGCGGCGATCCAGACGACAGGGCGACTCTGCCTGCCCAAGATAATCTTGATGTGCGGTTGCCAACCGCGACTGGTATTGTAGTGGCCGTGACAAGCGCGTTTGGCCTTTCGTGGGCAGTCCGTTGGGTGTACCTCGGCGGCATTGCGCACCTGACGAAAAAGCGTTTTGTTTTTGGCTTGGTGTTTGTTGCTACAGCCGTGTTTGTTGGCCATGCATACATACGCCAGCAATGGCTTCGCTACATCAGACAGTCGGCTCTGGTAGAAGTTCGGTCCTTTGTCGCAAAGTCGCACGACTTTGACAGCGCTGCCAGTGCTTCAATCGCGTTTATCAAGGAGGTGGAGCTTGTTTCGCGGGGATACAGGATGTAAGTGTGTTTTGCGTGTTTCAGTCGGAATACTGCACCCCGGCCTCCGCGTTCCGATGGACAGGTTGCTATGAAGGATTTCTGTTAACCCCCATTCCACAGAAGCGCACCATTACCGCCCATCAGCCGCATGGATGACAGAAGTCAGTCGAGGCGTTGCATGCGCTTGCGCAAGGTGGTCCGCAGCTCCCTTGTCGACGCCTTGCCCAAGTACATCCAGTCGGCCGGGGTCATGAAAGGCTTTGCAGAGCAAACGGAACTTGAAATGCACTACCACATTCATGACATCACTGATTTCGACATCTCCGATGCTATGCAAGGCTTTTCCGAGGCCGAGTTTGATGATGCGGACTCAATTCGAACATTGACCGTTTTAACCTCGCGATTTCACACAATTCGGAAGCTGTTCCTGTGCGCGCTCCTGGCACTGGAGGCACGTGGCGACGAGTCCGATTATCTGCGCTGGACCACCGCCGTAGAGGGACTTCGCACATTGAACGAGGTGACAATTTCCGGCTACCAACGAATGCGCTCGATTCTTGGCGAGGCAGAGACGTTTCCGCACATCGCCACTCCGACGGCACCGTTGTCCCCAGGTCGTGAACGATGGCGCTCGCAGCTGGGCAAGCTCAACTCGTTGTCGACCGGCATCCGGGGCCTGCAAGCCAAGCTGGCATTGCTTCGCGAAGAGTCAGATCGGTCGCTCAATGAAGCCGATGATATCACACAGCTAGGGCCCAACTTGTTAGCCCAGTATGATTCCATCGGGCAAGATTTGAAGTTGCTCACCCAGGCTTGGGAGGAAGGCAGATCGGCACTGGCGTCGGGTATCGACCGTAACGAGAAGAGGCTTTCGTCAATCAGTGGTCTCCTTTCCCCGACAGCGTCCCTAAGTGGACTCACCACAGTCGGCGAGGACAGCATCGACAGTGGTGGAGGAACAGCCGAAGATGCTCTGCGAGCGCTGACTGGCGGTTCACCCCTTGGCGGTAGCACAGTTGGCGACCCGGACGAAGAGGTCGTGTTCGAGGCTGTGTCCTTGCCACCCTCCTCACGGCGCCGAAGCATGCTCACTCGTGAAGAGCGCATCGCCAAGATGAAAGAAGACCGCGAGAAGCGGGCTGAAGCACGCGAGCAGGCAGACGCCAATCGGGGCATGCTTCGCGAGCTGGAGATGGTGATCAACTTACGACCGAAGGGTGGCCGCGACAGCACCGGGCCAATGCCCAAGTCTGACGTCGACCGAAATTCGCTATGATGATACTTTTCATTTGAATTTCTTCTAATTTCTTTCTTCTCCCTGTTGCATTCTGTGTTGTTTTATCTTCTCTTCCCCTGTTCATATTATGGCCTTTGCTACATACTCTTGGTCGTTACTACCTGTTTCTATTATTACTATTGCATGGCGCCTGGATACATACTGCAGTTTCAAAGGATCGAACCAGACGGCATGGAAACGTTTCTATCTTCACTGGCAGCCTACTCAGTACCGTCTTTGTACATTTGCATCATCTTGTCTTACATTTTACCACCGGGAGTTTAAGAACATGAACATTTGAACTATCATCTGCAAACTAACCAGACCTAGACAGCAATACATAACGGCGAAATTTCGACATGCAAACCGTAACTAGTTGTCCTCGTTTGTTACTTTTTTCTTTTTAGTGCTTCTGTTGTCCTCTCCTGTATTTGAATAATATGCTGGTTTGGTGAAGCTCGTTTTTAAGCATCATCAGCCAATCACAGTTGAAGGTCTTACCTGCCCTAGCAAGAGATGACCAACCCAAGCCACGGCCAACTGCTCTCAGCGCTCAGCGTGCCTGGCGTCTGCCAGCGCGTCTTCACGTGGGGCAAAAAGTGCTTTAGTTGTCAACACAGAGAAGGAGCTGCCCCGCGCCAGGGCGGGTTCAATTAAACTGGTCGACGCGTCGATTCCTGACCAAACGCGAAACTGGAAAGCAGGAGCGTGTCGTGTGCCTTGGCTCGCCTTTTCCTTTTCTCGTTCACGCGCCTTCCTTTTCTTTTGTAGGCGCATTGTGTCGTCACTTTTCGTATTTCCCTCTTCTTTTGCTCTCTCTTCTTTTGTCTTTTCCCTCTCCGTCAATCTCTAATTTCTCACTTTTCCCACCTCTTCGTCTCAACGCCCGACCTTGACGACTGCATCAGACGAATCGTGCATAGCCAGACCGCCTCGACCATTTTAAATCGTCCTCGTAATCCCCGCGATTTTCCCCTCGTCTCCCTCCCCCCCTCAACAACCAACCTTTTCACATCTTCACCCTCCAAAACGCCGCCATGTTAGAAGCAAGACTAGAGCAGGCGTCGATCCTGAAGAAGGTTTGTTTTGCTCGTTGCCTACGAAACTATCGGATGCAGATTGCGTCCCTCAAGGTCCCTCAGTATTGACCAACTCTTCTCGTGCAGGTGGTCGACGCCATCAAGGACCTCGTCCAGGACTGCAACTTTGACTGCAATGACTCGGGTATGGCGCTGCAGGCCATGGACAACAGCCATGTCGCGCTGGTGTCCATGCTGCTCAAGGCGGAGGGTTTCGCGCCGTACCGGTGCGACCGCAACGTCGCTCTCGGCGTCAACCTGACGTCCCTCACCAAGGTGCTGCGCGCGGCACAGAACGAAGACATCCTCACGCTCAAGGCCGAGGATGCGCCCGACTCGCTCAACCTCGTGTTTGAGAGCTCCGAGAACGACCGCATCAGCGAGTACGACCTCAAGCTCATGGACATTGACCAGGAGCACCTGGGCATCCCCGAGACCGAGTACGCGGCGACGATCACCATGCCCAGCGCCGAGTTCCGTCGCATCTGCACGGACCTCATGGCCATGTCGGAGTCGGTGACGATCGAGGCGACCAAGGACGGCATCAAGTTTGCTAGCAATGGCGACATTGGCAGCGGCAGTGTCACCCTGCGCAGCCACACCAACGTGGAGAAGCCGGCCGAGAACATTGACATTGAGCTCAGCGACCCGGTGTCGCTGACCTTTTCGCTCAAGTACCTGGTTAACTTCTGCAAGGCCGCCAGTTTGTCGAGCCAGGTCAAGATCTGCCTCTCGAACGAGGTGCCTCTGCTGGTCGAGTACATCCTGACGGGCAGCAGCTACCTGCGGTTCTACCTGGCACCAAAGGTAACACAACTTTCTTCTTCTTCCCCTTCAACTCTTCTCTCGGAAACATTGTCTAACGTGCATAGATTGGCGACGACGAGTAAACGACTGACTTTAAAACGACGAGAATGTGTCGGCACGACGAACATGGGAAATATGGGTTTGGTTTACCCAGTGCGTGTGGCAGGACGTGACTTTCAGGGGCGTGTAACTAACTATATGAATGGACGGCGAGGTGACTTAAACGACTATCGACGCTCCCTTTCTTTATTTTTTTTTTTTTTTCTCGTTGACAATGCAACTGCTCCAAAAAATATGCTTGAAGTTGTGCCGTTCTTACCTCTTGTCGTTATGCCTTCCAACGTACCCCCCACGTTGCTGATCAATTCAGCACAAGGAAGGAAAAGAGGAATCTGCGGTCGTTCTACATACGAAGAGCAAGTCGAAACGACACGCCGAGCAGTTATTTAGCAGTTATGAGGTGCATAGAGTCCAATCCAAAGGTCGCAATTACAGGTGCGATATACCGAATAAAAATATCTGCGGAGATCGGCCTCGCCCGCGGGGTAGGCCCAGGCTCTCTCGATGGGTTTCAAATTAGACTGCCGTTTTAAGTCTCCTGCAACCGCAAAACCACAGCGCCTGTGGGATTCGGTGCTTCCTATTCAGGCAAGAGTAGCCAGAGTCTGCAAAGCCTTTTGCAATGGCCAAAAGGAAGGAGCCTGGAATCGAGACTTGGCCAGAAGAAGAAAGAGCATTTTTACAAGTACTGCGGCGGTGGTGGATCCTGCCGCCTATTTTGCCTCTTTTTTAGCTCGTCTTTCTTCGTTTTCATGGTGACAATTCCTTCGTAATGACTCGGCGCCAGCGCCAACGGACACTATCTCCTTTCTGGGAGATTCTCTTCTGTCCGTTTTTAGGTCATACCATTTTTGCACGCATTGTCTCGTGCCAGGGCAGTCCAATCTTCACGAGAAGGAGCGACTGTCGTTGACACATCTTTTCTGCATCCTACCACCGCTCCTTCTACTCTGTCAGTTTGTCGTGAGACTCGACCCTACGCTCCTTCCGTGTATTTCCATTTGTCACGGTGCCGATGATAGCCCCTCCGAAGCGCTTTCTCCAATTTTCTCGGGGCGGTTGCCAAGCCTAACCGTACTTGCGCCTTCATCCTCTTTCTCCCCAGACGCCTTTTTTTTTTTTTTTTTCCTTCCTCGACAAATTCTCCTTGTTTACAATCCCGCCGCTGCGCTCTGCCCGACTTGTGAACGCCTGGCCCCCAATTCTCGAACTGCGTCTCGTGTGATTAGTTTGCGCCGAACCCCTCAGTTGCGTCACCTCCCGCCGGCCAGCCTTGCGCACGACCCCCAACACAAACGCCTTTGGACGCTTGCCGAGTAAGAGTCACCACTTCCGGGGCCTCTTTGTGCAACTTTCGCACCTCGCGTCCCACTCTCGTCGTTCTCTACTCTTCTCGGCCGCAGTACCCGCTGATCTTACGCCGGCACGCCCCCGTCCCCGTCCTTTCTGTCCGATCTTTTCGTCCCGGCCAGAGCCACGAGCGATGTCAGCCGAGCCGCCAGTGCCCGAGACACGGGTCTTGGCCATTGCTAGCCATGTAAGAGGGACCCTTGTCTCGCAAATGGATCGAATGCCGTTTTCCACCGGTCCCGGTTCTAACTGTTGCTTCCTAGGTTGTGTCTGGGTAAGCTCCTGTCCACGTGCAGAAATAACAAAGCCTGGTATTTTGTTTTCCTTAAATGCTTTGCTGACAGAACGGTGCCTGCTCTCATGTAGCCATGTGGGCAACAAAATTGCCGTTTTTGCTATGCAGTCTTTAGGGTGTGACGTTGCTGCGTTAAACACCGTCCAGTTCAGTCCGTCTCTCCCCTGTCGTTCACGACAAAAACGCTTCGGCTCCGCGAGTCTCGACTCTCCCCATGACTAACAACGCGGCACTTCTGCCTCTGGCCGAACAGGCAACCACACAGGATACAAACAATGGAGAGGAACACGCACATCAGCAGAGGAGATATGGGACATCTTCGAGGGACTGAAGCAGTCGTATCTGGACAACTTTGATATGATGTTGTCCGGGTACGTGCCAGGGGCCGCAGCGGTCCAGGCAGTGGGCCGCATTGCCGAAGAGCTGCGCAACCGGAAAATGGCCAACCCAGGCGACTTTTTTTGGGTGCTCGACCCAGTCATGGGGGACAACGGCAAGCTGTACGTGGCCGACGACGTTGCACCGGCGTACAAGAAGCTGCTCAGCCATGCCGACCTGATCCTGCCGAACCAATTTGAAGCAGAGTAAGTCGGCCGTGGAAAAGAATATCTGGCTCTAATTTGGTTCTTCTGGGCAAAGCGCTAATGCAGTACAGGCTCTTGTCTGGTGTCAAGATCGAGAACATGGAGACGCTCGAGCGGGCCATCCAGGTGCTCCACGAGCAGTTCCAGGTACCACACATTGTGATCACGTCCGTGTCACTCAGCCACCCGAACCACCCGCCGTCGTCACTCTCCGTCATCGGCTCGTCCCGCACGTCCAGGGGCCAGGCACGCACGTTCAAGATTGTGTTCCCCAGCATCGACTGCTACTTTAGCGGCACGGGTGATATGTTTGGCGCACTCATGGTTGTGCGTATGCGCGAAGCCGTTACGAACGCACCCGACGCCGCCACTCTTTTGCAGCGCCGCGCCTGGTTGAGCGATGATAGCGTGGACGCCATTGACCTGCCGCTGGCACGTGCAGCAGAGAAGGTGCTGGCCAGCATGCACGAGGTGCTCACGAAGACGTGCGACGGTCTGGAGGTGCAGATGCAGGCTGCCGAGGCGACGCTTGACCGCCACGGCGTGACAGGCGATGCGGAGCGCGCCAAGGCGCTGCACTTACTCAAGTCGGGGGCGGCTGAGCTGCGGCTGCCGCGCAACGTCAACTCGCTGCGGTCGCCCACCGTATCCTTCCACGCCGTGAAGATGCAAGAGTAGATGAGCAAGATAGAGGTACAGAGAGTGAGAGTATACATTAAAACAGAATACGGAGTCTACCTGGCTACGTCTTGGGTCGCATATTAGACACATTGGGGAGGCATGGTTTTTTATTTTGTTTTTTCAACTTTCAGCTTTAGACAGCATAATCACTTTCAACAATAAAGGAAGCTGAGTACAAAATCCTCGTGTCGTTTATATTTATCTCGTTTATCAATATATATATATCTCATCCGATACGCAACGGCTACCTGCTAGCCAGCTTCATAATGTTTCTGGTTCACCCCAAGGGGAAAGCTACGAGCATATCCTTGCCCGGATCGTCATTCCCTACGCTCCGTTTTGAAAAAAGAAAAGTAAAACTCCGAAGCAAAGCACTCTGGCGCGTTGCATACCCAGTGTATCGTGTAATGGCGACAAGGTTGGACAGCATTTTGCTTACGCAGAGCCCTCCGTCGGAGCCGGGACTGGTGCAGCGGCCAGGGCGGCAGCGGCCGGAGCAGTCGCAGTAGGAGCACCAGCACCAAACCCACCTGTGCTGCCAAAGCCGCCAGCACCCCGAACGCTCTCATCCAGCTGCGCCACCTCGACCACGTCGGGAGTCACAATCCGCTCCAGCACCAGCTGGGCCACGCGGTCGCCCGCGGCTACTGCAAAGTCCGTCTCGTTGTGGTTAAAGAGCAGCACGCGAACATGGCCCCGGTAGTCGGCGTCAATCACGCCCGCACCTGTGTCGATAAAGTGCTTGGCGGCCAGCCCCGAGCGGGGCGCGATGCGGCCGTAGGTGCCGGCGGGGACCGCCATGGCAATGTCCGTGTCCACAAGGGCCTTGCCGCGGGCGGGGATGACGCAGGCGCGGGCAGCGTATAGGTCGTAGCCAGCAGCAAAGGCGCTGCCACGGGTCGGCAGCTTGGCGTCGGCAGAGAGCTTCTGGATGGCGAGGGCGGGAACAGGAGCCGGAGCCAAAGCGGCGGCGAGCGACTGAGGTTGTTCCGTCTGCTGGGCCATGCTGTCGGTCTTGACACGCTTTGCTGGTGGGGAGGTAGGCGGGGAGTTGGCAAGGAGGGGAACGACGGGCGAGGACGGAGCAGCAGCAACTGGGGCGTCGGTGGTCATTCTTCGTAGGCGAGGTAGGTGGTAGTGCAGGTTGGGGTGGGAGAGAGTTCGTGAGAGATGCTGATGTTGAGGCGAGGATGGTAAGGATTGGTTTGAGAGTAATGAGCGTAGGCAAACGAATGGAAAGCTAGCAAAGCTATATTTTGAAGCCGGGCGAGGAAGGCGCAGAAACATTGAGAAAGGAAGGTGCAAGAGAGGTTGCTGAAGCTGAGGGGAGAGTGGACGACGCGTCGCGGAGGTCCAGCTGGACGCGTTAAGTGGATTTTGTTGGCATGTGGGGCTGTAAGGAGAGGGAGCCCATTGGCCAATGGCGGAAAGAACGATTGACAGGGACTCGACGAAGGAAAGGCGAGGAAGTCGTCAATGTTTGATGATCTATGACTACCTTCACCTCATGCGAGTCAAGCAACCCTTACCATGCTACATGAATGAATGCAAGGAGGTTCCAGCCAGACATCAACATCATCTGGACCGGGGCCCATCTACTCCGTATTTCGTGTACTCGTTTGCACCCCAAACTCGGGTTAAAGAACTGAGATATGGAACTGCTCCTAGCTCTGATTTTTATAAAAGTACGACGTATATATCCATGTATATGGATGTCAAGACTCCAGCTTACCATGTTGTCGTCGATTTTGTTTAATGAGAGTCCCCAACAATGGAAGCTTGGCTCTATGGTTGCAAAATGATACAGCGTGGCAGAATCCGCAGAGGCCAGCCCTAGCTACATAGGTTTAGGGCAGTTTTGTTACCCTATACTTTAACGGCCGTTTCCTCTAGTTGGAGCTGGCAGTTGCGTCATACATCATGAGACTCCTTGTGTTGTCCCTTTGCCATTGTGCCACGCCATTATTTACGCCATTAGGCCATCATCAAACGTCTGAAGCACGCCCTGGCCGCCGTCTGTAGCATCTAAACAGGGAAAAGTTGGAAAACGTATGGACCTGCCATCCAGAAGTATGGATAGGCAAGTCAAGGTGTCGTGGTGTAACTTTGCTCCATCAGAAACGGCCGTTAAGACCCGGCCACAGATCGGTTGTCCATGAAATTCGGTCGAAATCCGGAATGGCTTGTCGAGCTGTTTCCATTTAAAATGAGAAGGATGGAGATGCTCTGCACGCGACCCAGATTCTTCATCCTGCCTACGTCCTCCTCGTCAAAGAAACCATCAAACGAGAGAGGTATAGCGGCCCATGGCCAATTTGCGGGGTAGACGAGATGCAACCTAGACCTGCATACCAGTCCATGAAAACCAGTAGAGATAGTAATACAATATACGATGTCTTCATCGAGTGCTACCAGCCAGCCTCAGCGAAGCTCTCTAACATCCTTCACCACGTCGAGAGCACCATCCAATCCGACATGATAAAACGACTTCCTTGTTCGTTCCTCATCGAAAAAGAGGCGAGAGCGAGTGGACATCACCTTAGACCAAAGAAAACGACGGAATGCTCTAGGCCTTTGCCTCTCTAGAAGCTACTTCCCTCCCGTTCCCCTCGTCGAGTACACGCGACCACCAGCTGCTTTCAGTGTCGGAGCTTCTGTACGCTCCTTCGCCCTTTGTTGTCCACTGGTCACCCTCCATCAGGAATTTTGAGGCACACCTTTATAGTTATGGCGTAGCTGCTCTGATCCCGACGGCCCTAATTGGTCGGTGAGGTCATATGGTCTGCTGATCAGCACTCCCAGAGATGGTAGAGCATAACAGTATTCACGCAAGGCAGGTTCCTATCTGCTAACGTCCGCTTTTGATGACAATTCAGGCAAAGTCAGACGTTGTTAGCCTTTTGTAAAGTGGTGCCTCGACACATTTCTTCTGCGCTACTGGGCCTCTTTCGCCTTCTGCTGTCCAAGGCCAAGAAAGGGCCCTGTTCTGTCGTGGGCAGATGTGACCACTAACAAATAACGAATAAAAGAATAATGGTCCGCCTTTCCTTGTCTTTGTCTGATACATATAGAAGGGCGGCCCCTCGTTTTTGACATCTTCCTCCCTTGCTCTCTTTATTATTTCCCTCTCACTAACCTGTCTTTGCGTTGACAAAAAACCACCATCTCAGTCGAGACATTATATCCTCTACATCATCCTCACTTATCCCACAAAACAGTCCAGCTCATTATCCAAATATCGTCATGGACTCTCCAGGGGGCAACGCCGCTCGCCAGCAGCGAGCCGATTCGACCGGCTCGACCGGTTCCAGTGGCTCCATGGGCCGTCGTGTACGTCTGACGCACCGTACCAGAAGGGCAAGCAAGCCAGCAAGCTAATACAATGTAGAAGTCGTCCAGCCTTTTCTCCTCCCTGGAGCAGCAGAAGCGCTCCAACGATCCCGAGCAAGTAGCCCGCCGGGCCAGCATGCACGACCAAAAGCCGGCGCCGGGCATGATTGGCAAGTGGTGGAGCAGCTATGTTCACGGAACGGGGCAGAAGTAAATAAGTTGGGGGTGGCTGGATATTTCGCCAATCAAGCAAATATATGATGAACAGGGTGGTGCGGTATACTATTATGACGTCTATTTTATTCATTTTTATGTTTTTGTAGGTCTGAGTTCAATATAGTTTCTATCGTCATTTGATTCATTTCATTCGTTTACAGTCTAGTCATGATCAACTCCAGAAAGGCCATAACCAAAATAGAAGGCAAAGTCTAAACCCACTGTGTAAACCGAGCATTAAAAAAAATGAAAAAAAAAATGAAGTAACAAAGCCTAGCCTCGCATATACTACCCAAAATCGATGCAGAGATCACGCATGGATTGAGGAAGAAACGAAGAGGAAAGTGATACTCGAATAGAGCATAAGGGTGTTAAGTCATAAATGCCTTGGCATATAAATTAGTGGCACCCAGGATTAAAAACCTACCAAGATTGAATGCCCACTTCCACCAGGCTTCCTGGACTGAATAGTGTATACGCCCGAGGATTGTGACGGGGAGGATACGAGTTTGACGTAAGGGCCACGAGTGATATGCAGAATCACTACGATATCACACGCATGTAAAAACAAATACACACGACAGTACATATACAAGTCGCCGGAGATTAGGAAGTAACAAGGCTTAGGCGGGAAATGCAATGGACGGAAAAGCAAGGTTGGTCGGTAAGGTGCGAACAGTGCATATGAAAGATGTTGGATTGGCAAAAGTCAAAAGGCAAACAAAAACTCCCCTTTTTTCGTGTTCCTCCCGTCGCCCAATACCTGTTGTGTCTCATACCGCAAAACCAAAGAAAGGATGAAGGCAAAAAATAAAGACAGTCTCAGTACGATAAAGTGGAAAAGAGCTTCCGTCACGTTCATCAAACGCGGCTAAACAAATCACAAGCCAATGAACGAAAACAGGAATGGTAGAAACGGGTTGAAGAAGAGACAACGTGATAAAAATAAGAGGCAGGACAGAAACCAGGTGAGATAGACAAAGATGGAACTCGGCCATTCCGTCAGTCCAAAACGCCACCGGAAAGGAGAGGAGCAAAAACAATAGCTGTAGTGTATTGGAAGCAGTGTCGTGAAGAGAGGAGAGGCACATACATGCGGCCATCGCCGGAATCGCCGACGATAATCGCACTGATCTTACGCACGGTGCTTCTCGCTTTCTGTTTACATGGTTAGCACTTGTTCCAGGGTAAAAGGGTGTAGGAAAGTGAAAAATCATCGTACCCAGACGAGAGTACAGCATGTAAAGGGCCATGCGGTTGCACTCCTCGGTACCTGAGATGGTCACGAGGCGCTCGTTGCTGTTATCCTGGGGCTCATTGATCTTGATCATACTGCCCGAGATCTGGCGGATCTCGTTGATCTTCTGGCCGCCCTTGCCAATGATCGCACCGACCATGTCGTTAGGAATGAAAATCTGCTGCGTCAAGGGTGCGCCAGGCATGCCACCAGCAGGGCCGGCCGGGCCGCCGCTGTGCATGGGCTGTCCGCCGTGGGGACCGTGCGCCGGGTGGCCGCCGTGGTGCGGTGCAGCGTGGTGCGGCGGTACCTGAGCACCATAACCACCCGCACCACCTTGGGCGCCGTACATGGGCACTACCGGGCCGGGGCCGCCGTGGGCCGTGGGAGCACCGTACGGTGCGCCGTACGGTTGGGGAGGCATGTGCGACCGAGCATCCGGCCGGCGACCGCTCGCGTTGTTGTTGGTGTAGTTTTCCGGGCGGCCGTAGTTGCCAGTGGCAGCCTGCGGCATGTACGGGGCAACCTGCATGCCGCCAGGGACCAGGCCAACAGGCCCACCACCACGGGCAGCATAGGCAGAAGCAGCCGGGCCTCCGAAGCGCTCGTTGAGCTGCTCCAACAAAGTGCTGCCCACGTAGTAGGTCGCAATGTGGACAGCGTCCGCAACGCCCATAACAACAAGCGAACGCTCCGACGAAAGCGGCAGGCAGGAATCTGAGGCGTTCAGCCGAGCACCAGAGGCTTCCTGGATCTCCTTGATACGGGAACCGCCCTTGCCAATGATGGAACCTATCAGAATGTGCGGGATCAAAAGACGCAGTGGGTACGTCTTTGAGTGAGCATTAGACGGCTCGCCCAGCGGCTCGTTGTTTAGAGTCCGGATGATGAGACCGAAGGCCTAGAGAAGAGTCAGTCAGTGTGAATACCATGCCAGAATCCGAAAGACGGGACAAACCTTGGCAACCGCGTCGACGACGCCGCTCACTGTGAGGATGCGCTCAACGGCGCCTTTCTGGTAGTCGCTGACGGTGCACTTCGCATTCGACATCTGGCGAATCTTGGACACGTTTTCACCACCCTTGCCGATAATAGTAGCAGCCTCCGGGCTAGAGATAACGGCACGAATGTGGATCCAAGCCGTCTCGTCATGGGCGTTAGCCGAGCTGCCCTGGGCCGGCGCAGAGTTATTGGCAGTGCTTGAGGCAGACTTGGCTTCAGCGCCGTCGGGGGTGCTGGCTGCATCCTGATCGTCCTTGGTGCTGTCCTTCTTGTCGCCATTGGTCTTGCCATTGCCGTTGGACTCGCGGGACGAGATGGGAACCGGGGGAATGGACGGGAGGCCGTTGCTTTCCTTAATTTCGCCCTCGTTACGGACCACCTTGTCCAGCGCAGGGCGCTTGGCGTCGGGCTGATCGCCGGTGCGGGACGGAGAAGACACCTCCTCGAGGGGGCGCTTGGTCGAAGTCGGCGGCGGAGAAGTCGACATTGCGAAAGGTGTGTCGAGAGTGGTTCGGGTGAATTAAAAGTGCAGAAGCCGTCGTACTTTTGAAAAATCACGTAGCCAAGAAGAGCTTAAACCTTGGCTCTTCTCTCCGGGATGACTTCTCTTGGTCAAGAGAAAACAGTTAAAATGGTCAAACTTTTTTTATTCGTGCCTATCTACACCTCGAAAGGTTTTCAGCAAGGAAAACTGTGCAGGTGTAGTGGCGGATCGGGGCCGGATGGGACACTCTTGGATCTGGCTGGGCAGTAAAGGTGTGCAGGAAGCTGTGCAGGAAGCTGTGCAGGCCGGGCGGTGTTTAAAAAAACGAAGTGAAGCAACAGTCGTGTGCGCGAGAGGCAAGGATGTGCTTGAAGATCTGTTGCTACTTGGGACCGAACGACGGGTGGACGTTGAAAGTTGAACGGTAGGCGGTGGGCGTGGTTGATGAACGGATCGTCTGCAATGAAGTGATCGGAAGGACAAAGCTCTCTCGTGGTGCGGGAGAGGTGCAATGAGCAGAGGATAGAGAGTGAGAGTGAGATTGAGAGTGCTCAAGGAAGGCGGCGATAGAGAAGAGGACAGAGATGGACGAGGCGATGGGCTCGTGCGGTGACGGAGGTCGAGAAATACTTGGAGGAAGAGACGAGGCAAAAAACGGGCAGCGGGAGGAGCTGTAGGGACCTCGTTTTCTCAAACCTAACGGGGATGAAGGGTGAGAGCGCAGCAACCGGTTGGGGTAAACAAACCACCTGCGCGTTTCCGTTTCGACACTTGACTCTGCGAAAGCTGAGAAGATCCTGAGAACAGGAAACCCAGAGAACCTACGATCGAAAGAGGATCACGGGATGTTCGTTGGGTTCGGGATGGGGGTTTTGGATTTTGCTGTGCGCAGGCGGGTGGGCGACCGACTAAAGACCTACTTCTGCGACCGAAGATCGAAGGCGGGATGGCGATGGGGAGAAGAAGATGGAACGGCTGAAAAAGAAGATGGAACAAAAGGGGATGAAGCTGAGAGATGTTCGAGGAATGGTAATGCTCCAGAGGGCTACTTTGACGTGGAAAGTAGGAGGACAGGCGTCAAAAACCCAAACAAGGGGGCGGAGGAAAATGGGAAAGAACGTAAAACAAGGGCACGGTGCTGATCAAAAAAAGGGTGGAAGGTGCCATGCAAGGGATGGCGGTGGGCAAGAGCTGTATGCGGCTGTCTCGAGATGAGATCTGGACACGGGAGGAAAGAGGCAAAAAGGGAGGGAGAAGAAAGGAGCGGGGAAGGGCAAAGGCGTGTGCAGACGCAACTGCCTGGAAGATTGGGCAGCGCACAGCGCACAAACCCTGTGGCGCTCGTGCCTTTTCCCAGCTCCAGAGCTGGTTCTCGGCCCTTAATGCATTTTCAGCCAATCAAGTAGGCTTGGTCGACCCGCTTCGGGAAAACAGTGCTATTTGAGCTCATCAGTGTGGTAATTAACACTGTTAGCACTGTGTACTTAGTAAGAGATGTTCGTGCGTTAGCATGTGCCATATATTTTGCACTGAATCCTTAACAGGAAGCGACGTACAGTTAGGGTGACTACCCACGACGCGTTTCAAATTCGCTGCAGCAGGCGCGCCTTCGAAGGCTAGTCAAAGCAGGAGCAATCCAAGCGCCGCGGGCGTCGTTGGAAGGCACAACGTTACAGAGTACTCCGTATGTCGTACTAAGGATGATATTGGATATTGCAACAAAAGTTGTACTCCATTGTGACGAAAACTCGCGGACGGCACCAAGGTACGCAAAAGACACGCCAACAAACGCAAGAGATACATCAAACATTACCGTTGCACCATTGACGTGATACGCTTGTTTACGGTACTTCAACACTGCGTCGCACTGCGTCTCGTCGAGCAGTAAATATTGCCTTCATTCTTTTGCGTTTACCAGTTGTCTGTGCAACGTGAGCCCGGCCCCTGTTCTTCCCAACCCCGTGTTCTGCCCGCCTCTGACATATCTTGCAGATCGTCAGGGTCGTCCTAGGTAGACACTTCTAGGAAGGAGGGCTAGGCGCTGCTGCATGACTACAGGGCCTCGGCCTCGTGATTGTCTTCTCGAACCGTATCACATCCTTCTTTGTCCGTGCACATAAATTGCGAACGAGGCCAGGGGAGATGGAGGAGACGCCACGACCTATCACGCAAGATGATTTGCATGCAACATATGTCGAGCGGTCCATCCGGGAGCTCCAGCGTGCGGTCCAGGAGGAAGAGGGTGTTCTTGCCGAGGTATGTCGAGTTGTTATGTATTTTTAATTCTGTGCCACCCACCGTCACCTTTCTAGTCGATATTGACATGCATTCTAGCTGCGGCGGAGTGTTGCGGGTGCTGCGCCGCTGACATCGGCCACGGCATCGCTCTCGATTATGACTTCGGCATACGATGCGGCTGCACGGTCAGACCCGTTCTTACCGTTTGCAGACTCAGTCTTGCCGGCACTGTTAGCCATGCGCAAGACACATGGAGTCCTGGCCGAGTCACAATCTTACCTCGGCGGCGAGGGGGCAACGTCGTCTCCGGCCCTTGCCGAAGCTCAGAGGCGGCTGGCATTGGACAAGGCGCGAATCGCCGACCAGCGTGCGCTACAGACAGCCCTCGAAGAGCGCATCGTCGCCCTGCGTAGCGGTGTCGAGGCACGGAGCACCATGACGGCAGAGGAAAAGCGGCAGGAGGCGCTGGAGAAACTACGGTCAAAAATCAACGAGTACGACCGCGATACGGCTGCGCTGCTCAAATCGCTCAAGAAATTTATCCAGGAGCGGCTAGGCCCCATGCTCGCCGCCGAAGAGCTGGGCGGACCTGTCGTCGGCAGCATGGTAGATATCCAGACAGACGACCTTGCAGCCGGGTTCAGCTCGCAAGGTAAACTACGGAAACCACCGTCGGGCGACAAGGCCGGTAAGAACGGCAAGGGGCATAACGAGGACCGGCGACAACGGCGCATTGACGAAATCTGGGGCCCAAAAGGCGGGGCTGGTGGCGGCGGCAGTGACGAGGAGGGTGAGGGTGATGAGGGAGAAGACAGGAGCAACTGGGACGAGGCCACGGCGGCGGCGGCCGAGATGCAGGAGCTCACGGAGGAGCTCCTGAATGCATTAGCGGATGCAGGCGGTGACAGCTCGGCAGCCTATGTGACCATCCTTCGAGAGTCGGCCGCCGCGCGCTTCTTGGTCCGGTCCAAAGTGGCACAATTTCACCCGCGGGATGCCACAAAGCTGCGGCTGATTGATTTTGGTCGCGAGCTGGATGATTGACGAAGTTGTTGCCAGTGTGCGGAACGAGGGAGATAGATGAAAGATACCCGCAACGATGCGTTGCACCTCCTGTCGATCCAAACAACCCTATGTTTGTATGAACCAAACACGATTATCTGCAGGTTCAGGGATGGCCGGTCAATACTCCCCCCTTCTTGAAGGCCACAAGGAGACCCATGATGACAGTTCATGTACAGGGGCTGTTTCATCGCCTAGCTAACGTCGATTCTGCCGACATAGATGCTCCTGAAACTGGTGCATATGTCCCGCGATATCAATGTCGCAATGTAGATAGGCCAATAGTTCTGGGGAGACAGTGAGGCTCTACATACGCATCCAGGCCGCAGGAAAATCCCTTTCGACACGATGGACTTGATTAACGCTACATTACGGAACGCATTTACCATTTATGCAATATATAATATAAATTTACAGACACTTATCACATACTTGCTTCGACAAAAGCGCAGGTATAGTAACGGTGCTTTGATATTACATGATGATGGTCTATTTATGTTTGGATAGCCTTCCGTCTCTACTGTTGTTCTAGCCATGGCGAGCCATGATTTTTCCTTTGTTTAGTTTTGTTGGTTTACCTTTTTTTTAAAAAAAAAAATGGGCAGGGACTTATCTCATTGTTGTTGTTGATTTATATATTTGTTCATAATTATTTATTTTGTAGTTCTTTTTTATGCCCCCCCCCCAAAACCACAGAAAAAATTTAGTGACATTATAAAATTATTCAGAATTATTTATAATACCGTAAAACTATGAAGAGCAAATTATCAAGTAGGTTATCCTAACCTACCCCAAAGACAACACGACACATGATTTGATACTATTTTGATACCAGCCAGAGCACATTTTGAAAAAACACCGTATATCACGATACACCTCATACTAAAACCGGTGAGTCCCTATCACCATGAACAAAATCCAGCAGATTGCATGCATAGGGGCATGGATAATTCCAAGCTCGGACCATTCTCGAGGCGTCCCTTTAGTGTCGAGAACAAAAAGAAATAACGAAATGAGACGTAGCTAGTGAGGCACGCACGCCACCAAAAAAAAAAAATATAAAAAAATATAAAAAAAAGTCGCGAAAGCCATGTCGATATGACCTCGTATGGCATTGGAGTCGGATACTACTATCATTTGTGTTCACTAACGGCCATCTGCTTCATTTCTCGGCCGCCTGGGCATATCTCAGAGTGGTACTCGAGACATGAGCGCCATGTCGACAAAAGGAAATATACTGATTGTCCTTGACGGGGAATTTGGCAAGCAACATATATAAGCAGACCACGAAAGCCTCGAATCGACGACAAAATACTCGAAGAAATACAAGTCGTGATAGTCGTGACAGTCGGACAATAGTCTATTGGTTGTCACCGCTGTGTCAACCATCAGCAACGTGCAGACCGAAATCAATACCCCCAAAGACGTGACGTTGGTTTCGGTACCTTCGCCATACCTCTCTGGCTCGACGACATAAAGCATCGCCATGGGCCATGGACCTGCCTAGGCCAACCAAACGACAACGTGTATCTGTCCATAACCACGGGTTGCCAAAACAAGACGATTAACACCCAGCTGTACACGATGGCGAGGGCAATGATAATCAAACATGGCGCAAGAAGGGCAAGTGCTGACCGGATATGTGCGCTGCTGCAATACCGAGAAAAAAGAGATATTGCAGAAGAAAATCGGAACCCAAGCGCGGCCCAGTAGACTCGTGTTGGCATCAAGATCAGCGATGTTGAAGTGGTGTACTCAGCAACCACGTATACACATTCTCACGACAAAGACGGCCAAGCAACCCGACGACACAAATCAACAACCTGCCGAGAAGAAACTCCACCGCGAGAAAACTCTGTTCAGGTCGGCCTGACGATCTAGAGTCTTCTCACTCCGCAACCGAAAAACGAGACAAAGAAAAGTATGGACACTGGACCGGTATGCCAGTGCGTTTCCTCGACCAAGTCGGCGACCTATGGTTATACCATCGAAACAAGTCTGGACAGAGAACGGAGTACTGGCACTGCTCATAATATTTCCTTGGAGCCGGACCACCGAGATGCTCGATATTCGCTCTCTCAGCTCCATACTGGAATTTTTTCCATATTGCACAACAACGTCGGGATTTGTCAACAGCAGCATCGCGTGAATAACGGTCATCAAAATCGAGAAATATTGTGCGCAGCCGTTTCGATGATATGCCGTTCGCTCCTACGGCCCGACTCCCACTGGCTTTCTTTTGTTTGCTCGACCCCTTTCGCTGCTGTGTTTGCTTTGGTTTTTCGTCTTTGTGTTTATCCATTACACATCGCTCTGGATATGGCCTCTGCCAGCTTGACGATCCCTCCTGGCGCCATTCCGCGGCGCTTTGCTGTAATTACATCGTAGTCGAGCATCACCGGAAATCGACTACGCAGTGCCAGACGGCGTGCTTCGTGCCCGGTTTTTGGGCGTGTCAAGGTGTAAGTGACCGTTGGCACGCAATCCCGGTCATATCCCGCCGAATGATCATTAGTATGTCTGATCACTATGCGACTGGTCGACGTTTTGAGTTGCGATAGTCGGGCCTAACATAGTGGATTCGCATGCCACACGGTAATGTGGTAAGCTGGTGTTGGAAGAGCGTCGGAAATAGCCGTACGCATCGGGACACAAGGCTGTCGAGAATGAAGGGAATAGGTGAATCTTGCAGAGAGGTGAGACAACGACAGGGAGAAAGCAGATAGATGTCGATATGCCGTAGAGAAAAGTCTTGGCCTTAGCGTAAAAACTGGAGTGCTGTGATGCAACGCCAGAGCAAAAGCTAGTGTTATTGGGAGGACCTGAAAGAGGAGAAAAGGAGACGAGTCACAAGGGTGGTGTTTAGCGCCTTCCGCTACTGCAAGGTACAGCGCAAGGAGAAAGAGAAAAAAAAAAAAGAGAAAGAGAAGAAAAGAAAAAGAAAAAGAAAAAGAAAAAGAAAAAAATTGAAATGAGGGAAAGAGCGAAAGACGGCAAGAGGGAAAGAGCGAAGGACAGAGGAACGAAGGATCGCATGGCGTCCTCGCCCTCGTCAACAATTCTGCAATCTACCTCACCCAACATCTCTCACCATGGCCATAATTTCTCGACGCAGCCGACAGACGTACCAAATGGCGCCTTTGGCGCCATTTGGTAAAACCGGAATTGAAACTGCAGAGCGTGGCAATGCTGGCCCCTTTTCAATCTGCAAATCACTGTGTGGAAGCGCACACCGTCGTCCGAAATGACGACTTTCCATGTTGCAGGCAAGAATCAAGGAAACCAGAAACAGCATGGGCAACGGAGTCTGCGTCCCATCCGTGCGGTCAGACGGCAGGTCAACAGAGGCACAGCGATGATGTAACCGCGAACGGCCTACCTGGTTGTTCTTCACCTTGTTAGGGCACTTTGCTCCCTCCCGGTCAGGGTGAGACATGATGAAATGGCGACGATCCTTATTCAGACTGCATTCCCGGAGAACTGTTGCATGTCGCCTGTTGTCCACCTGCAACTGACAGTTACTGCTAGTGACTGTCAAGGACGGTCGCTAAATAATATCCGACGGATAGGCCTGCTGGTCTGTCACGCCCAAAGAAGCTTATCCGTCGAAAGCATGTAGGTCCAAGTTAGTGCTTTAGCAGATGTGGAGTGCTGTTGACAAGGCTCCGCGGACCTGGGATCTGACAGGTGTCGTCTCTCCATACCGGAGGATGATGTGCCTCCTGATAGAATTAGTGGGCCTGGCCGTGATCGACGGCGCCGACGCGGATCTCATCCAAGGGCGGGCAGAGGGGAGGCACGAAAAAGGAAAAAGGAGAAACCACAAGAACAGACAACTACAAAAAAAAAAAAAAAACTAAACAGCATCAAGAAAAGAGAAGCAGAACCAAGTAATTATTGCGTCAAGGCACATATCACCGGGAGATCCAGCGTTCACAGAAATTCCAAATGCTCACGGCCGGAAAAAAGAAATAAAAAAGGGTCATGAAAACAGTGTTAAAGTGAAGCATACAAAGTACATGCAGAGACAAACAACTCCGTCGGCAAAACCACGCAGCGGCGGCGGAGAACACCACCAGCCGTGATGCAGCAGCGATTCCAACGCCGGAGGAACCCCTTACCAAGGCCACAATCTTTGTCGACCCACGCTGCTCTGTGAATTCCTGAGCCTCGTTGGTGCATCCTCGTCTCTCTGTGTGTGTCTGTGTGGTTCCCTCTCTGCCATCGGCCCCTGCTTGTTTCCCTCAATTTCCCTGTTCTTGTTCTGTAACTTGGCCCTCAAGGGATACGATCTCGTCGTTCGCAATACTTCCACCAAGACAAAAAGACCCAGCAAGGTAGCCTGGCACTGACACACATCAAAGGGGGGGAGATCACTGGTCGTCATGGCCGTCCAGTTCGATGTCCCTCTTCCATTTCGTGGAATTCTTTGTCTGAACTTGGTCCATTCCACCATCAACCGCCGATCCGTTTTTTACATCGCCGCTCCACTGCAGAAGAAGAACAACATGGAGGTAACGAAAGTGACAGCAACTACCGGCATGGTATGAACGGATGGTTGCCCCCGTCTATCAGAATACATCACTCATGTCCACTTTGACTCTAGGATTGTTTTGCTCGCACGTTCGTCGTCCGATGCACATCGCTTCTTTGTCTCTCGTTGTTAGTGCTGTGAGATGTATACGCATTCTCAGATATCCGGCTGGAGAGAGTCGGTCATAACAAAACAGATATGCATTCCGAATTAGAGCTGTGGTTTATGGGAGCATGGTGTGAATCTGGATATCAAGCACGTTTTTTTTTGTATCCCTCCAGTACAACTTCTCCTGGTTTAAGTGCAATATCTATCCTTGTACCTTGTCGAAGGGGGGGGGGGGGGGAGGTCTTGTCTGAACTCCCAAGGTTTACCCCATTACATCACACCATTTTCCACATCCTATGCATAAGTGCCGCCTGGCATGAAGGGCTGTCCAGTTCCGTCAGCTTGAGTCCACTTCGAGAACCGGTAGAGCTGCCGCTCTATGCTGAGCTGAAATTACCTACATGCCCGGCAAATCGAAACAAGGCACCGTTCGCCTGGACGAGGGAATGGGTTTCTCTCCACGCAGACCGGAAATTCTGGCTACTTGACCCTGACTGACTCCTTGACCCTGACAGAGCACGCCGACCCATGTTCCCACTCGCCGGAGTTGGTCCTGTCTAAGAAAGGGGGGAGTGATGGCTCTCATTCTTTGCGCACCTGGCGTAGCAACCAGGTGGGATGTGCGGGATCTTGTGGGATATTGGATTGTCGGTCTGTTTGATGATTATCGCTCGTGGACCGTTTCCCGCAGCACGCCTGGCTTTGATCCAGTCCTGCCTCCCGAGTATATAACAATGACTCCCTCGACTGGTTAATCCGGACTCATTTTTCTTTTTCTCTCATCCTCATCAAACATTCACTCTTTCAGACAAGCTTCTTTACAGAACTACCACACTCGCTTCAATTCCTTTCTCTACACTTCTTTTATTCTACTTCTTCAAAGTACCACCTATTCACAATGAAGTTCTCTACCATTGCTGGCATTGCTGCTTTCGCCTCTGGCGTCTGCGCTGCTCCCCAGATGAACGCCCGCGCGGTCGCTGTTGCACCGGTCACCAAGCGCGTTGACGTGTCTGGCGCCGTCGGTCAGTTGACGAGCCAGATTGGCAACGTCATCAGCGAGGCTGAGCACCTGACCGGCAAGGTCCAGACCGCCACCGCGGGTGATGTTAACCTGGTTAGCGACCTGACCAGCGGCCTGGTCAGCCTCAACGGCTCCCTCACGGGCATCGTCGGTCTGCTCAACGAGATTGGCCTTGGTGCTGCGGCCGCGTCGGCCGAGTCCACCGTCGCCTCGGCTGAGGTCGTTGCCGGTGGTCTCTTGGGTGTTGTTCTTGGCGCCGTCAGCACTGTCCTGAACACCGCTGGTGGTCTGCTGGGCGGTCTGACCGGTGCTGCTGGCGCTGTGACCGGTGCCGTTGGTGGTGTGACCGGCGGCGCTGGCGGTGTTGTCCCCGCCAACGCTGGCGGCTCTGGCACGACTGCGGTTACCTCTGCTCTGGGTGGCCTGACCAACGCCAGCGCCCTGACCGGCCTGCTCGGCGGCCTGCTCCTCGCTGTCGGTAACCTGCTTAGCAACCTGACCATCACCATCTCCACTGGCTCCCTGGGTGACCTGTCCCAGCTCGACAACCTGACTGGTGCCGCTGGCGGTCTGGCTGGTGCTGCCGGCAGTGTGGTTGGTGGTGTGACGGGTGGTGTTGACCCTGTCTCTGATCTGTCCGACACTCTTGAGGGCCTTGTCGTTGCCGCGGTCAGCCTTCTCGGCAACCTCCTCGGTGGCCTGTAAATGGCTACTTCTTCCGCTAGTCATACTCAATTACGAAGGACGACATCCAATCGCCGCGGCGTGATGCGGATTTATTGGTGACGGAAGATATGGTTGATGGTGGGCGGTTGCTTATTGGGTTATACCATGGAGTTCCGCGCACAATTGGGAAGGGGACTAATTTTGGAACTTTTCCATTATTTCTTTAATATTTGCAGCATTTACTTCAGTTCATGCCCTAGCAACTTATACTTTTTTTTCTTCTTTCTTTAGCAACCTTTTCAATGAATTACCTTATCTTGCTATTTTATGACCATTGATTGCATTGTTGTTCGCAGTTTATTTAATAGTAGGATTGTTTGTATGCATATTTGAAGTTGGTTGCGTTGTTTAATCGTATGTATGTAAGGACATCTGGAGAAAGAGAATAGAGTAAGAGGCAAAGGTTTGCTGACTGTTTCAGTCTGTGTGATGCAGGCACTGCTGATTATTTGTCTGTGATTTTCGTTTCGAGGCTGTTTTGTAGATCACTTCCGACTTACCGTGTCGTCTAGATAAGGACTTCCTTCACTGGCACCTGCACCTCGTCTGGTTGACAACCGGCACACTGCTCCAGTGATGAGCCGCAGTTGCAGTTCTGGTACTGTTCCAAACCGACTCCAGCGAGCACACTCGCATGAACCCAATGAGGCCGAGGTGGTGGCTTGCTGCCAATGACTTTAAGAACCTTAAGAACCACCGGCCGGGATGAGAGTACGTTGTCTCGAACGGAGTCATCCTTTGCGCTCGCCAATTGCCGCATCTTATCCGCGGCTTGCTCGAGACGCGCTTGGATAGAGTTCCACTGGGAATTTTGCCTCGGCAGTGTGGACGCCTTGACGATACGATTATCGATGGCAGCCCCGGCCTTGTTCATGTTAATAGTCTTAACACGGCCCTTCTTGACCTCGACAATCTCCATTTGGGTGACCCGTTTGATCTCGACCATCTCGACCTCGACAGCCTCTTCGAGCTTGACGATCTCTACCACATTGGTAACCTTTCCAACTGTCTCGCCACCCACCTCGTCGTCTTCGTCATCGTCCTCCTCGTCGTCACTCTCCTCAAAGACAGACATGTTGGGATAAAGCTCCTTCTCTTTGGTAGTTTCTCCCTCTTTGACTGCTTCCTCGTCGATTTTCTCTTCAAAGTCGTCAGGGCGCTCCACAATCTCTCGCTCAAAGTTGTTAAGAATCACATCGGTCCAGATGCCGCGCATGTCGGAAAGTTCGCCTTGCATTGCCTTGCGGATCTCAGCCGGCTTCGCCACGCGGCGTTCCTCTGGTGACAACATCTGATCACGAAACTCGGAAAGTGTCGTTCTCGCGCAATCGAGAGGGTTTTTATGCGGCTCCCAGCTCCCGAGACTGACGTCAGGCATGTAATTCAGAGAAAAGGTGGGATACTGTAGCGATGCTGATGGTGCCGGAAACGTACCCTCAAGGCACATCGTTGTGAAGGCGATGATCTTCCTCCTGTAGGATACGGGGTCCTTCTCGCAGCGAAGTGGAATTTGGCGGGTGCTGTGGCGTGATTGGACGGAGCGGATGAGAGCGTCGGCAACGTTGAAGATGGCGCCGGACGTGGCGCTGGGCGCGAATGAAGAATCAGGTGCAGATGAAGACGAGGAAGAAGAGGAAGGGGCAGGAGAGGTGACAGAAGAGGCTGTAGAGTGGGAAGATGGGGAAGGAGAAGAGCCGGTCTGCTCCCAAGGAAGGCAGTTCGCGACCTCCTGAAGCGACATGGCGAACAAGGAAGGAGCGAATGGATATACTTACCTGAACAGTAATCTTCTTTTTTCCAGTGATGGATCTCTCGACAATCTTCTTCCTTCAACAGCACAGAATTTGACGAGGCGAGACAATTGCGCTTCCGCCAGGGAAGCGCGTTTCCGAAAAGACAGAATGAAAGGAAAGAAAGAAAAATACAACCCACGGAAGAAAGTCGACGAAACAGAGGCAAGTGCCTGGCTTAGCGGTCGATATGGAAACTGTCGAGAGAAAAGCCAAAACATTCACCGACCACTGAACTGTCGATTTCTTCTTGGATAGACGCTGGGGAGATGAAGAGAAGCAGAGGATGGTCTGCCTGGCTGCACAGGCCCGGCACCTTTATAAGGCGGCTTCTGATGCATCGCGCACCGGCGATGTTCATGAACACAGCAAACAGGACAATGGTCCAGACAATGACATATGACAAGTTTACCACGGCGACTTTTTTAGGAAATTTCGTGAACGACGACAATGCACTGTGTTGCCGCCATTGTGTCGACGATAATAGACGCTGTTTCCGTGGTACAGTGCCTTTGTTGACAAACTAGCCCCTTTTGGCTGAGGTCCATTGACAGAGAAGACAAAGACGTGAACAACCACCGTCTGAGGTAAACAAACCACACGCGGAAATGGGAGAAAAGACACCAAAACAGAACGAAAAACTCGAAAAATGAATAGAAAGAAATGGCTTTTGACAGTCCTTTTATTTTATATATACATATATATATATATTTAATAAAAACACCACCCGGCCACAAATGAGGCTGACCTGGATGGAATATCGAACAGTACACAATCACTGGCCACTGTGAACATCTCGCCTGAGATGTTCAGATATTTCACATTGACAAGTCCAGTTCATGTTTGTCGCCGTGAACATAATACACTCGAAGTTGGCTTGCCAATATATATATAAAGATCCAAGCGCGCACTTCCTCTTGTGCGACTTGGAGCTTCAAACACAAACAACTAACCAAGAACTATTCTAGTGACAGCGTTTCCTTTCGCCTTGTCTTTATCCCAGAATAATTGTGAAGCAACTTTGATTTCACAATTTCTTGGGACCAACAGTTACATCCGGATTCCTAGACGAGGGGCTCAAGACGCTGCCACCACAAACAACCATCCAAGGTAAGATCTTATTCATCCTTATTCTTGTTCCTCAATCATGTGTCAAGGCGTGGTCTACGTTTACTCTTGCCGGCACCGGGATGTTGGCCAGCTTCATCTCTGCCACAAGGCACGTCACCCCACTAACTACTCCGGCTGCTGGCCGTCCATGGTGTACCTTTTCACCGGTGCTGTTCCGAAGCGGCAGTGTGAGAATACCAAGACGGTGCGTCAGTATCACGGTGAGCCATGCTGGACATGCCGCACAAACCTCTCGCGCCCGCCGGCAGCTGTTGCTCTGCCAAGGCCAGCTCACTTTCCCTCTCGTTCATATGAACCTGAACCTATGATGCGGATGGAGAAACCGAAGACCGCAACTACTAACACTCCTTCTACCACATCTTCTTCTACTCGTAGGCAACAGCCAAGGGCTCCCACCCTGCCTCCCCCTGTTGTCATCTCCCGGTCTTCGCCTCTGCTGCCGCCTTCACCCCCCCGCACTTCTCGGCCAACCAACGCCAGCGGCCGTGTGCGCATTTCTCCTGCGGCCGCTCGTTCTGGAATGGTTATGGCCTCTCCTGCTCCGTTTTCCCGCCCGCCGCGGATTTCTCCTAGCTCATCTTCGAGCCGCAGCCGAAAGTCCGGTGGCGACGCTCTTCTCCCTTTTCCCAACTCCCGTTCTAAGATGTCTCACCGTCGACTGGACCAACAGGCCGCTACGCTACTTGAGCCTCCGGCCTTGACTTCGACCCGCCCGGTCGGTTTGTCTCGCCCTCATGTTCGTCGGCCACCGACATCTACTGGGCCATACAAGAAGATTCCCTCTTCTTCTTCGTCGTCGTTGCCCGCTGGCAGAAGTCCCCCTCCGGCTCGCAAGCAACATAAAGCGAACATTGCTACACGCATGGCGGCTGCTTTGAGGACGCCTAAGAGCACGGAGTCGTTTGCTTGTGTGGATTCCCGTCGGGTCGAGCGTGACTGGGTTTGAGGTGTACGTTCCGGGTAACCGTCATTCGTTAGTGTCCCGTCCTTTTTGCTTGTCGTGTTTCTCCTGTCTTGTTTTAGGGGAGTCCTGTAAAGCGGCGTAGTGCATAGTTTAGAACTGTATTTGCGTTCAGCCTTGTGCTCCCCTGTACCGTAGTCTCCGCTCTCGACACGCTGGCTTCGTGTTGTTAGGTTTCGTACTTTGACAATTTCCCCTGTTCTCTTCTTTTTCTTTTTGTCTTTTCTGTTTGGTCTGCATTTGTAGCAATCACAACTATATAAAGGCGCGTGGAAAGCTACCGTATCTAGATTCCAAACGGTCAAAAAAAAGTAAAAAAAGTAAAAATAAAAAACGATAAAAACACATGTCCATTAACTAAATTTAAGCCTCTAAATTCCGTGATGGGGAGCGAGAACGTTATGTGCCTTTTTTGGCAGACCAACGGCCAACCTTAATGGAAGAGGCTGGACCAGTCGTAAATATTACTTTCCCTGGTGTTGCGCGCCTGATTCTGGACGCTTGTTTGGATGTAGTGGAGACCGTAAATGGTCGTCTCAATAAACTAGCACAACGTCGAGGCCGTATGCACAACATAGCATCGTCTAGGGTATGCTTGTAGTAGATCGACGTCGTCGACATCGCAGGTAGAGTCGTGTGATCAGCACACTGTCCTTGCTATTTCCCGTATGTGGTGGCGTTTTAATCGCCTGTATATGTGCATAAGTAAGTTGTGAATGGTGAGTATTGGGCTAGTCGTCGTAGCCTGCCCCATGGTGGTTACTGGACCTTGCCGTTCTTGTGATCTTTGGCCACAGCCTTGCTCGCCTGGAACTTAGCAATCTCCTTTTGCACCTCGCGCTCCACGCGGCCCTGCAGCTCCTGCCGATAGCCAAAGGCAAACAGCAGCTCCAGCCACACAAACAGCGGTGCCAGAAAGATGGCCTGGAACAGGTTGTCCAGTAGCGCGGGCGCCTGGCGCTCAAACTTCGCGTGGCCGATAAACTGCAAGATCCATGAAGCGATGTGTGTAGCTGCCGCGTAGGTCATGATGGCGTGGGCGTCAAAGTGAGAGAGGGCGTAGTTGCCGGCGGCCGCGCCGCCGAGGCAGAGAAGCGCGAGGGCCGTGCCGGCGACGGGTTCTAACAGAACATAGAGAGAACCCCAGGTGATGGCGGCGAGCGTGCCGAGGTTGAGGGGCAAGTTCGGAACCGTCAGCCAGGACGGTAGGGGAATGAGTGTGGGGGAATTGGAGGCCTAAGAGAGAGAGAGAGTGTGTGTGTGTGGTTAGGATCCGTGTTCCAGCGCATGCAGTCCGACAGCGTGCTTACCATCCAGAAGCCAGTAAAAAGAATCAATGGCACACAGATCATGTGGACGACGACATTGGTTTTGTTATGATGGTAGGTGCCATACTGTCCGAGCAAACATGATGTTAGTCGAGCTCTGAGGTTGAATGCCGAGCTACAGATACCCGTGAAAGAGTGTTAAGGGCCGACTTACAAAGACGAGGTGCTTTTCCAGGTCGAGAGACATCTTGGGCAAGCGGACCGGGCCAGGGTAGAGGTACACGGAGGAACGGGTAACAGACAGTCAGGTCTGGAATCACGCGAGGAGTCGAAGGCGCGCAGGAGCTCACAACGATAGTGGACGAGGGGCAAACGAAGAAGAAGACAGGTCGAGCTCCTTCTCTACGCTGCTGAATCCATCCGAGTTGGATAGCGCAGCGCAAGACCAAACACAGGCCCGGTGAAGAGCGAGCAGTGGACAGGGCGATGGAATAAAAGTATAGCGTGGCCTACCGGTATTACTGAAGAACACGAAACGTCTAGCGTTCTCAAGAGGACGCCCCTTTCATCATAGTAGAGCGGGCTGACGCGTCGAATGCGCTGCAGTGGATGAAGAGAGCGTTTTTGGCTCGATGTGCTTGGCGTAGCTTTGCGTTTGCTCGCGTTCGTTGAGGAACGAGGCACAAAACGTGGCTGCGAATTGCAGAGTGCCACAGGAAGGTGGGATGCGCATGCAGTTACGGGACGCCGGAAGATGGGGCAGGAGGGCTTGCATGGACATGGCAAGAGGATTGTTCGGCGGTGCCTTCCCTGATGGGACCATAGCGGCCGCCTGATTGGCATTGGCGGCTGGTCTCCCTTGCTGTTGGGCCTTTCATGTGCTTCTCAGCTTTCGGGCGCGCGCCACTGGGCGCTGATCAGAAGGGTTGGACAGGGAAGCTACGACATTGGCGCTAGGTACATTTTACTGCACGTGACATCTCTGAACGCGTTGCCCGTCGCACGCTCCGCGGGCTCGCAGAAAACAGGCAGCTTCCTTGCAGCTTCCTTGCAGCTTCCGTGCAGGACAGACGACATACCAACGTCGAAGCATACCTTTGACGACGGCCAAGGCCACGAAAGACGGCAAGGATTCCAGTCTGAAGTGAACCTGAGGGAACTATAACAGCCCCTGCACGTACACTAAATTACGCCCGACCCGCAGCCATTAATGTGGCCCTGTTGAGCCCAACGTGCCTCGATCTCGACGACAAACTTATCGATACTATAGACGTCGCGGAGACTGTCCTCGAGCGGAGCGGACACGATGATTCATCCGTCGCGGATGGCGTATGTGGAGGACGCCGAGGAGGAGGGCCGGCCAAGGGGCATTGACCTGGCGAGCATTCGTATGTAACCCCTGCCTTGTTTCCAGTCTGACCATGTATCCTCAGTGTGCTAACATCTCTCCGACAGCCCTTGAACATGACTACGATATGCCAATGACGGCCTCGGGCATGCCGGCCGAGAAGGCATCGGAGCTCCTCGCACAGCTGGCCCGGAAAAAGATCGCGGCAACGGTGTCTGTTCCAAAGGAGGACGCAAAAGTGCGCGAGAAGCTCATCGAGATCGGCGAGCCCATTATTTACTTTGGCGAGACGAACCAGGAACGAAAAGCACGACTGCGGGACTTGCTGGCAGGCATAATTGCCGACCGCAATGCGGCGGCCAAGGCGGCAGCGGGCGGCGGCCCTGGCGGTGAGGACGTGGACATGGACGACGCCCTGGGTAGCAGCGACTTGGACGACGAAGATGACGAGGACGATGAGGACGGGCCCCAGGAATTCTACACATCGGGCGGGCCCGACCTGCTGCAGGCGCGCCTGGACATCACGGCCTACTCCCTGCCTCGCACGCGTCGGCAGGTGGCCTTGCAGCGCGCCGAGTCGGCCATCCCGCTGCGCACGCACGTCAAGTTCCGCGACCAGGTCAAGAGCAAGCTGCGCGACTTTGAGCTGCAGGCCAGCCAGCCGATTGGCGACCGCAACGTTAGCATGACGCGCATCTCGCCGAGCGGGCAGTACGTGGCGGCCGGCAACTTTGGCGGCTCGCTGGGGCTGTACCGCGTGCCCGACCTGGAACACACGCGCAGCCTGCGCGGCCACACGAGCAAGATCAGCGGCCTGTCGTGGTTCCCCGGTGCGACGCTTTCCGAGTCCGGCGTGTCGGCCGCGGCGGTCAATCTGGCCTCCGGCGGCGCCGAGGGGCTCGTGAACCTGTGGTCGCTGGACCAGGATACGCCTGTGGCGACGCTGACAGGCCACGACCAGCGCGTGTGCCGCGTCGAATTCCACCCATCAGGCAAGTTCTTGGCGTCCGCGTCCGAGGATGCTACGTGGCGCCTGTGGGATGTACAGCGAGCGGGCGAGGAGGGACCACCTGGTGGCGGCACCGACGGCGGGCCAAGCAGCGCCCAAGTCTTACGCCAAGAGGGGCACTCGCGTGGTGTGTACGCGGTCAGCTTCAACACCGATGGGTCGCTGATTGCGAGTGCGGGCCTCGACAGCATCGGCCGGATCTGGGACCTGCGGTCTGGCCGCACGGCCATGATCCTAGATGGGCCCCTCGACGGCCATATCAAGCCCATCTACGGTCTGGACTGGGCCGCCGATGGCCACCGGTTGCTGACTGCGTCGGCCGACGGCTGGATCAAGTGCTGGGACATTCGCAAGGTGCAGCGCACCGGCGGCATTGGCGCACACTCGAGCACCGTGTCTGACGTGCGGTGGTTCAAGGGACTGGACGATGGCCTTTTGGGCACGCCGCCCGGCACTGACCCGGAGACGGGTGTGCAGCAGCCCAAGGTATCTGGGACGTTCTTCGTGTCGGGCGGCTTCGACCAGAAAATCCAGATCTACTCGGCCGACGACTGGGCGCTGGTACAGACGCTCACCGGCCACACGGGCCCGGTATCGAGTGTGGACGTCAGCCGCGACGGCATGTGGATTGTGAGCGGTGGTCACGACAAGACAGTCAAGCTGTGGGGCCGCGATGACGGCTCGAGTCTTTACTCTACCTGATGCAATTGTAACCGACTGGCCGGATAGATAAAAAGAAACCCAAATACGATACCCATGATACTATGTGTTGTCCGCCTGTTGCCTGCCAAGTGAGTCTACAGTGTTATGAAACATGACGTGGAAAGAACAAGCGAATTTTTTTTATCCTCCTCTTTCTCATCGCGCCGGGTTCATGTTATTTTTTTTCTTCTTTTTCTTTTCTTTCTTTTCTTTCTTTTCTCTTTCTTTTCTTTTCTTTTTACTGGGTCCTTGGCTCTTGCCGTGCCGCAACAGAGCTGCCAGCCGCTAGCCTTACGGGCGGAATGTGCTCTCTCTACTTTACCTGACTCGCTGCTTCCGTCCAAATTACGCCTGCTATTTTTCAGCTAGCACCTAAAGTGGACCCGCTGCATTTTTCCTGGGGAATTTTCAAGGCTCCACCTTATTTTCCTCGGAGGGAAGTAGGCATACTTCTGTTCTCTCTCTTCTCACTTTCCTCCTCTCTTCCTCTCTTTTTGCTCTCCCTCTTGTCACCACATCATCATTTCGACAACCCCCAACAAATACGAACGATTTATTATTCGCCAAATTTCTCGCAAATGCCTAGTACACCGACACCAAACGTCCACTCTCCGTCTTTCTTCGCGTACCAGATGCGTGTGCCAAGTGCCCAGAACCTCCTTCGGAAACTGATTTCGGACGCACGTTGCGACGCCGAGCGCCGCCGGGGCGATACCCCTTGATCAAGAGGGTTTAGTTCCATCCGCGCGTCGTATAGGCGGAGTCCGTTTACGATATATCACGGCCCGGCAGGGAACATCGCCCTGCATCGTACCTGACACACCCCAGTACACCCCTACGCAACACCCGCACTTCTGTTCATCCGCAGCAATGGAGGCTGCATCCCCGGCACTGACCACGGTCCGTGGCTTCCACGGCACGCCCGTCACCTCCGGCGATGAAGATAGCGACTACGGCGCCGCTCGTCATAGCAACGGAAACACGCCAAATGGCAGCGGAAATGGCGCGGGCAAGGGCTCACGGCGCGGCCGCAAGAAGCCCATGGTCGTCCTCGATGACGTCGTGAGTGCCAACTGCAGCCCTGTGCTGCGGCCTGCAGGATCTGGATCGCCTGCCATGAGCGGCATCGCTAAGCTGCGCATGCAGTTGGAGCCGCTTAGCCTCGACAACTCCGCGGCGTCTTCGCGTGCCAGCTCCCCTGGCGGAAAAGGCCGCTCGCAGCTCCAGCCTCTGGCGCCCGTCACAACGGCATCGGTGACCGTGGCCTCGTCCGCAGTGACAGCTGCACGCATCGCATCGCCACTGTCTCCGACCAAGATACGCACTTTACACAAGCACCAGACGAGCCAGACGAGCCAGACCGGCCGTTCCGATTTCATGGTTAGGAATTACGACCAACGCCCAGACTCTTCTTCGTCCGCCAAGGCGACCAACTCCGACGCAAGCGGCGCGCAGACGGGCCAGAGCAGCCGTAGCACGAGCCACGATGGCGTGTCGAGCAACACGAGCGGCGACGAGACGGAGCCAGAGACGAGCGGCACGAGCTATGTGATTACGCTCAAGAACGATTTCATCAGCGAGAGCGTCCGGGACGAGCATGCCATGCCGACGAAGGATGCCAGTTCAGCCACCGCCGCCGCCGCCGCCGCCGCCGCCGTTGATAGTGGTGAGATCGAGGCGTCCATCTTTGGTGGCGATCTTGAGCCTGAGGACGTCCCAGCGACATTTGCCTCTACGAACACAGCGACGGCTCGTGATGGCAATGGAACAGTCGATGGTGCGCATGTGGCTGACAGCGGAAAGCCCAAGAAGATGACGGCAGACGACTTTGAGCCGCTGCGCTGCCTCGGCAAAGGTTCGTACGGCACCGTGGTGCTGGTCAAGCAGAACTCGACGGGTCGACTGTATGCGCAGAAGCAATTCAAGAAGGCGTCCCTTGTTGTGCACAAGAAGCTTGTGGAGCAGACGAAGACGGAGCGCCAGATTCTTGAGTCGGTCAACCGCCACCCGTTTGTCGTCAAGCTGTACTACGCATTTCAGGACCGCGAGAAGCTCTACCTTATCCTCGAGTACGGCCAGGGCGGCGAGTTGTTTACGCATCTGAGCTCTGAGCGCATGTTTAGCGAGTCGACGGCCGCCTTTTACATGGCCGAGATGGCCCTTGCCTTGTCGCACCTCCACGACACGCTGGGTGTGGTGTACCGCGACCTGAAGCCGGAGAACTGCCTGCTGGATGCTGAGGGTCACCTGCTGCTGACAGATTTTGGCCTGTCCAAGGTGGCTCTCCCCGGCCCCCGCAGCCGGGCGGGGTCGACGGCCACAGAAGCCTCGGACGATGCGTGTTGCAATTCCATTCTGGGCACCGTCGAGTACATGGCGCCAGAAGTTGTACAGGGCCAAAAGTACGGCCGCGCTGTTGACTGGTGGTCCTTTGGCGCGCTGGGCTTTGACCTCATGACGGGCAACCCTCCGTTCCGAGGCCGTAACAATGCCAAGATTCAGGAGAACATTGTCAAGCAAAAGGTTGTGCTACCGTATTTCCTGAGTCCGGACGCCAAGGACCTGCTCACGCGGCTGCTGCGCAAGGAGCCCCGCAAGCGTCTAGGTGCCAACATGCCCAAGGACCTCGACATTCTCAAGAAGCACCGTTTCTTCCGCAAGATCGACTGGGTGCGCCTGGCGGCGCGCGAGGTCGAGCCGCCCATCCAGCCGGTCATTACGGACCCGGAGCTTGCTGAGAACTTTTCGACAGAGTTTACGGACCTGTCCCTGAGCCCCTTGACGTCGCCGACGACGGGCCCCAACGGGCGCGACCCCGATCCCTACTTTAGCCCGTTGTCGGCGCGTCCGCGTGGCCGGAGCATTGCCGGCGGCGGACCCAGCGGCATGAGCTGCCGCGACGATCCGTTTGGTGGATTCAGCTTTGTTGCGAGCTCAAGCCTGCTCAACGAGAGCAACTTCCCTTCGTTTATGGAGTGAGGACAGGGGATCCTGACTTTGTTTTACGACATACATAGAATAGACTTTACAGGTCTAGAAGACGACAAAGACGGAAGATGAGAAGATGAAGGCTGGATAGATGTCTTTGGGGCGGAGGTGGTGGGGTGTGCTTTTTTTTTCACTCTATATCTCGGTATACGACGTTGCTTGGAGGGCTTTTGTTGCATTTTGATAGAATGCGCTGCGATAGGGCGGAGAGCTCGTCTATCACAGACCACAGCGTGCCTCTGATGTATCTACAGTTGTGTCGTACAGCGACACGAAAAGAAACGTGCTGGTCTGATTATACACAGCGAGACCACGCACAAGACAGCATAGCAAGGAGTTTTGCCGCTTGGGCCGTTGAATTGACCTTTTTTCTACTGTTTATTCACTGTGATGAAAATGATCATGATAATATTCTAGAAGGATAAGGACACAGATGGATGTCCTATTCTGGGAACGTCATTTGGCCTACAGGATAAAGTGTCCATGTTCTTTCAGTTGTATCAGACACGTACGACGCACGCTCTGCCCAAGCGCTCGGAGAACATACGTTTTAGACTTTTCGGGTTGGACAGGGGAACACCCCCAACTTGCAATTTATTGTTTGTAATCCCCTCTTGTGACGACTTGACGCCTCCAATTTTCAAAGGATCAAGAGCCGAGGGAGGCATCCCATGCAGGCCAAGTCATTACGCCCTAAGCCCAATCCCATTCTGGACCACGTCCCGGACTCAAGCCTAGCCCAATTCATGCAAGGTGTCTCGCGATCCCTGGTTCGGACAACGCCCAAGGTGCCGGTGCTACGGAATGCAATACAAATACACCATGGACACGTATGCGTCTGGGTATATGTCATACATTTTTTACATTTCAAGCCACCGTGGGTGTAGGTCGTACTGCAGAACGGGCGGAAGAAGGCATTGGTCAGAACGTATTAACGCACGGAATGTGTTCAGTAGAGGCTGACTAAATGAGGCGTTTCGCAATCCCTATTTTTGGCCGCGAAGTGGAAGCGGCTGAACTCCGTATTGTCTCTCCTGAAACCAGTCCTCTCTCACGCAGCGTTGTATGTTGGCGGCGTATTGCTTTCGTGTTTTTCGTGGTTTTGGTTATTTCCGTTTTGTCTGTGACTGCTCCTTTCCCTCGCTGACTAGCTGTGATTCGGACAAGATGCCCAGAATGGGGGAGTAATTTGACCTCGTGACACACCAAGGCTGGTCACCTTCTGCTTCATTCTTCCTGGTCGTCGCCCGTTGCTTCGCCTCATCCGAAACCAAGAAATCCACCCAAAATCGCGTTGGTGGAACACGCCGCACGGAGGATTTCCTGTCGTCTTCGTGCTAATTTCTCGCTTTGGCGTCCGTCCGGAGCAACCCCATTGCTCAGTGGCGCTTGGCGATCGCCCGTCAGCCGTGCGGCCTCATGAGTCTGTCCGCACCGGGTCTCTCTCCTCGACCCTTCATGCTGCCTTCTACCCTTTGTCACCGGCGCGGGCCATCTATCCAGCCTCCGTATCTAGAAGATCATTAATGAATGTCGTAGTCTTCCGTCTTCTTGTGGATCTCTGTCGCTCGACTGCAACGTAGACGCCCGAAAATACCGTCATTTTCAACTCACAGTTTTCCTCTTTTTGTTTCTCGCAATACTTCGTACAGACAGGCCTTGCTCAGATAGCCAAGCCTCAAGCCCACGGCGGCCAAGTCAATAAATGCAACCCCATCTCACTCCTCTCCCACGGTCCCACAGTTTCACGATGGGCTCTCCCGGTGGCGGTCTGGCCAGGCCAGTTCGATAAACGACATCCCTTATCTAGCGTATCGGCGCGTTGCGACTGCTAACGTTTTGGCGGCGCGTCGTAGAGTGACAAGCACTCCTGTTCACTTTTTGCAACATGCAGATTCGGAGTAATGGTAGTCAGGGTTGCCCTTCCCTTGTAAGTCGAAAGCGTTTAGACGTATTGCGCTTAGACCCAAACAAGCCAATGGACGCCATTGGCGCCTTCTCCTTTTCTCTTTGTGCGCACCTTCTTGTAAACATTGTTAGTTCCAACTTGCATCGTGCCTTCCATATTCCTTTGTTCCTCCTTCCTTTGTTTCATCCCAACCCCTTTTCTGTATCCTTCTGTCAATCGTTGTTGCCTTTGTTAAGAAGGTCACCAAAAATAAAAACATGACGTTTGCAGAAGGAGACGCTCAAAGTGGCAGATCCATTTCTTTCCGAGACAACTCGTTATCAGTCTGACGCCGTTGTTGTAGTGTTTTGGTCTCTCTCTTCTCTCCTCCCTCTCTCTTCTAATTCGTCCTCCTATTTTATGTCCTGTGATTGGGAATGTCCCGCACCGCATACCTGCGTGCCTGTGCAATGCGCCACTCCGCGCCGAGCACTGCAGATTTCATTTGTGTCGCGGACAATCTCGTCATCCTGTCCGCTCCTTTCGCCTGCATTCCTCGTTGATGGAACGACGCCATACAGAGGCGAGGACGCGCGTTTTGATCAACATCGGCCATTGTTTTTATGCTACTGATATTGCTCACGTTGCAGCATTATACCTTCTTGGCAGATCAAGAGTGCAAGCACCACGCATGCCGTTGAAACAGAATCTCGAATCCTGCCCTCTTGACTATTTCCTCTGGTACAGGCTACGCAACACAGTTGTATTACTGTCTTTGCGTCCTTCTCACTATCTCGCACGCCTTTCAGCCGACGGAACGTACCACGAAACCGCCCAGTATCTGTCGTCACTTGCTCGGCCCAAGTTGAAAAAATTCCTCACTCTGCAGGACGTCATCTGCAACTGATTGACCATCTTCCTTTGCAATCCGGACCACCGAGAGATCTCTAAAAATACGACAACACGACCGCCGTAAGACTTCGGCCCTTGTTACAATCTCGCGCCTTTGGGGGCAACGCCCGTCCGTAGCGCCTCTTTGCATCTTGCACATTGTATCCCACTCGCTAATCGCTCGACGAAAAGACGACCAGGAGTGCCGTGGTCCCGGAGACTGATCGGCCTGGTGCTGGACCGGCTGTTCTTGTTTGTCCGTTTTCAGATAGCCTTACGCACAGAGAGCCCATCCTGGCACACGGAATGGCACTGCACACATAACGCGCGGTATCATTGTGCTCGGCTCCTCTTGTTATCCCGGCGGGTACACAGACGTTGAGCTGCACCAGTTTGACGGCTTATTCATAATTCACATCTGGTTGGTACATTGACCCTTGTCTTGACCCTTGTCCAGCTTTTGTGGCTTCAATAATGTCTTGTTTTCTCCGCTCAACTTGTCCCCCATCTTTCCTTGTTATTATAACAACTCTTTGTCTCCCTCCTGTGATTCTGCAGGAAATTCTTTCATGCTGACCATTGCTAACCTACCAGCCGTCCCGGATATGTGATTTTGATTTGGCCATCTCTCAATCTCCTTGCACGCCTACTGGGTAATACGCCAAAACAACATCGGTCACTTTTACCGTTTAATTAACTGTCCCTCCTTTCTCATTGCCGGTCGACAGCGAATTCTCCCTTCGTGCATATTTATTTCCTTCAGAGCCTACGACATAACAACTCGGTTTCTTAGGTGCTCGATCTGTTTACTTTATAAACACAGCATTTGACCTTACAAGAACGCACATATACACACAAACAGACACAAACACAAGCGTTCCCACGAAACACAAACCAGACTTGCAGTTGCGCATACACAGTGTGTTGTGTTTCTCTCATCATTCCTTTGGTTTCCCAGGGTCTCTTATCTCGCGCTCGCTACTGGACGATTTAGTGGTGCCAAAAGACGAGCACATAAGTTGTATTTAAACACGGCAGCTCCTTGAAAATTCATCACACGCATTTCACCTGGACGTGTTCCTCATCTTTTTGTCCTTCACGCCCGTCCAAAAGTACCAAACACCAGCAACCGCGTCACATACTCGGATACACACAAGACCAAAGACACGCGGGGAAACATACACAATGACGAGTCAGACACATTTAAGACGTCGCTCGGCTCTGGTTGCGCTTCTTTGTAAGTGGAACAAAATAATGAAGTCGTCCACATTGGATACAGATACGATAGATACAAGTCAAAACAGCAAACTAACTATTAAATTTAGCCCTAGTCGCCGGTGCTCAAGCAGTCACTACATACTGCCCTTCCGGGGCCACAAACGTCTGCTATGGCATTGGCATACCGGAATCGACAGCCAGTAAGGGGACTGGTAACATCTACTTTAGCATCTCCGCGCCAACGTCGTACCAGTGGGTCGCCCTTGGTACAGGCACTATGATGTCCGGCTCCAACATGTTTGTCATGTACCAGGACGGCAAGGGCAACGTTACGATCTCGCCCCGTGCCGGCACATTTCACACACCGCCATCACAGGACACGAGCAGCAATGCTGCAAAACTCACCCTGCTAGCCGGCAGCGGCGTATCTGGTAACACTATGACCGCCAACGTCATGTGCTCTAACTGTGAATCATGGGGCTCCAGTGGGCAACTGTCCGTCACGAGTACCAATGCGCCATGGATAGGCGCCTGGCGCGCTGGCAGCTCCCTGGCCACAACAAACAAAAACGCTGCCCTCACCGTGCATGACAACACAGCCCAGTACAAGTTGGACTTGACAAAGGCCACCATCAACAGCGACAGCAACCCGTTTGTTTCTTCGAGCAGCGGCGGAAGTGGCAGTGGCACTGGAAGCGGTAGCGGTAGTGGTAGCGGCTCGGGTAGTGGCTCGGGTAGTGGAACGGGTGGTGGGACGGGCAGTGGAAACGGAGGCGGGAACAGTGGTGGTGGCTCCTCCTCCAACAATGGCGCCACGGAGGTCTCGTCGTCTGCCCCTAGCGCCGCGATCTTGACTGCGCATGCTGTCATCATGGCCCTGGTCATGGTCGTGCTCTATCCGTTGGGTTCGGCGCTCATGCCGCTCTTGGGGAAGTGGTTGTTGCACGGCGCCTGGCAGGGTATTGCCTACCTTTTGATGTGGGCTGGCTTTGCCCTGGGTATCATTGCAGCCCAGCAGAGAGGACTGGTGAGTTTTAATGCTGTGACCTTTTCCCATCCTGAAAAATGCGTACTGATTCTTTTCTACTCTCCTAGTTGCATGTCAGCGAAGCGCGCCCCCATACGGTCCTCGGGGCCGTTGTTGTTGCTACAATGGCATTCCAGCCAATGCTGGGCTTGCTGCACCACCGCCACTTTACCAAGAACCAGGGCCGGGGCGTTGTGGGCCACATTCACATCTGGCTAGGCCGTATTCTTATGATTATGGGCATCGTCAACGGCGGGTTAGGTTTGCAGCTGGCGATGGCATCCAAGTCCGTTATGATTGGCTACTCGGTGGCGGCCGGGGTCATTTTCCTCGCGTATGTGGCTGCAAAGGGTGTCGGTTCGTTCGTTTTGGCGCCTTCACGCGCCAAGAACGTCGACCGCGGTGTGCCTGTCTCTGGCAATGGCCGTCGCTATGAAGGACCCGAGCCGGATATGGCCTACCACCCGGACGGTGACTACCAGCAGCCGGCGCCGCAGCAACAAAACGATTGGCGGAACAAGGGTCCAGCAGCCGCTAGGAATGAGAGCAGTACCCACTACTCCCATGCGAGCAGTGCTGACAACAACGGCACGTCCGTGTCGCCATCGCTGCCGCCAATGCGTGCGCAGCAGCCAAACGCAGCTAGACGGCCAAATGAGGACAGAAATGGCGGCTACCGGAATCGCATGAGGAGAGAGGAGCAAAGGTATGCTTGATAATATCAGTGCAGACTGAAAGGCGGGTGGTATACGCCATGATTTGTAACTCGAGAAGGCGATGGGGGTACTCGGGAACGATACCCTTTAATTTTGTGCACCTCTAGAGTCACATATATATTTTATGTACATTGCAAACGAAGATTTTGGGATTATACTGCGCGTCAGGTCAACATGCAAAAGGGTTGCAGAAGTGTTGTAAAGCAAGGACGTGAGGATACGTCGACGTCAATAGCGTCTCGCTGTTTTGAATAAAAACACCACGTGACACATCACGAGCATTCACAGAAAACTGTGGTTGGACATTGGAATAGCCGAATTGTGGAGCCAGCTAACAGCTTTTACGAGGAGATAAAATCAACCACCCAGAAACTGGCCAAAACTGAGGCTGGGGCCCCTCGCAGAAAGAGTGGCTTGCGCGCGGTGCCAGTTTTTTTCACCTCGCTTTCCCGACCCAGCCAGTCCCCAATTCCTGCTTTTCCCTAACGCCTTTTTTCCCGCTCACCCATTCTCCTCTCTTTGCCCCAAGGATTCCGAGCAAAGAATCAAATCAAATCACCAACTTTTAACTTCTTCGCTCTACCTCACCGACTTACCTCACCACCCCCCACACCCCCCGACGACACTTCTCGGCATCAAACTTGTCGAGTTTTTCTTTTCGCCTTTTCGCTTTCTTCTTTTCTCACAGCATATTCACCATGCTTCAGTCTCTGGCTCGCGTTGCGGTAAGTTTTTCTGCTTCTCTTTTCCTGGCGGAGGTAAAAATCGCTCTTCTGTTTCGGCTTGCCGGTTTCCCCCTCTTCGATTACGCAACCACGACGGCACGACGACACGACGACATCACGACACGATGACACGAAAGACACCAACAATCGCGAAGACAACGAGTTTTGCGAGTCGAGGAAACGAAATCGCGCATCGGATTGGAGTTGATTTTGGACTGGGGAAATGGAAGTGGTTGCGATTTACTGGACTGGTTCGCTTTCTCCGAGCTTCCGAGCAAAAGGGTGAGCAGCCACGTTTTTGTTGCCATTGACAATGGAGCACACACACCCGCCTCCGACAACTCATCTCGAATGTTCGAAACGGCACGAGCGCCTTGAGCTTCGGGTAACCTGCTAAGGAACGGACGACAACGCTCAAGATTCGAGGAAAAGCCACCTGAGCGAAATGCGTTCGACCAAGCGTGCCGACAGCAGTCGACGGGAACGACGGAAGCGACGGAGGCAGCGAATCAAGAAGACGATGCGGTTGTAAAAGTTGGATTGGCATGCTTTCTAGGAAACAGTGATGGGAATATGCACTCGTCGCAGGGACGGTCATGCTGACGATAGTCTTTCTGCAGCCCCGCCGGGCATTTGCTGCCGTTACGCGGACAGCGATGACCACTCAAATGCGGACGTTCATTGTTCCCACAGTCTCTCGTCGTGGTAAGCACTCTTGCAGCTCAATACCAAAGGTACACGCGGTTCCTAGCCTCTGCTAACTCTTATCTTCCCTTCCAGCCGACTTTGTCCAGGAGCTCTATCTGAAGGAGCTCAAGGCCTACAAGGTCCCCGCCGTCAAGCCGGAGGACGCCCAGGGCCAGGTCTCCACCTTCTCCTTGCCCAGCGCCCCGCGGTCGCCTGAGGAGGCCGACCTCGCCAGCAGCCTGCAGGAGTACGAGTCGATGGCCGTTGAGGTCGAGGGCCAGGAGGTCGCCGCTGACGGCGAGGCATCGGCCGCTCCCGTTGAGGACTGGCTCGTCGAGGAGGAGGACGAGGATGACGCCCACCACTAAAGCGTCCGTCTTGTCTCCATTGCCTGCCCTTTAGCCAAGCCACATTCTCTTGCTTGAGCCAGAACGAAGAAAAAAGGATCGTTTCCGCCTACCCCCTCAACTTACCAACTCTCTAAGTTTTTTGTGAGAGATAATCAACAATACCGCGCTCTTTCTTCATCTATGGGCACATTCGAAACAACCAAACTTATAAAAAACAAACACAACGAGACCGGACCTAGGATACTCTTTGATAAATTTCAGGAACGGTTTGCGAGGAGGAGGAGAAGAATGAGGAACTAAAAAGGACATGTGTATTCACGGGCCTTTTTTGTGTGAGAATTAGAATGGTGGGTGGTTGGCATCTGACGCAAGCACATTTGAAAACAAAGACGACGCGAAGAATAATCATAAAAGTCATAGCGCAGAAAGAAACGCCCCCGTGTATAAATTTTATCATTTTTTTACTTTACACTTGTTCGTTTACCATTTGACTAGCGGTTGATGTGATGATGATCCTACGATGAATGTGATTTTGTAAAGAAACCCGACGCTGTGGTATTCTCCGTCTAAAAAAATTAAGCATTTTCGTTAATTCGACATCAGTGCCAATCTCTCTACACTCTGCTCATCTCCTGAAAGCATTTTTTGTTCTTACTCACTTTATATGTACTCAATTCAGGCTGGGCTGTGTACCTACACATCTTCGAATCTGAGAGATCAAGAACTTGAACGTCGCCAACACGGAATGGTGAATCGTCGTATTATTTAAATAAACGCAGGAAGATATTGTCGTGCTAATATAAATAATTCATTGACTAGACTCTCAATGCCTAATATCAAGTTACCTGTGATCATCTATGCATCAGTATGTTCCTATCATTATTAACCAGACATATTCCCTATCGTGTCTTTATCCCTCTCACCATCATTCTCCTTTCAATTTTGCTTCTTCCGCAACGCATGGCTTCCTCATCACTACCCGAAGAAAAGGTACTTCATAGCAAACACTATTTCGACACAAAACAAACAGGAACTGCACCGAAGAAGACACGAAAGACAGACTAGGCCAAGCAAAGGACAAATCAATTAGACAGTAATGTGAGCTAGGGGAAAATGAGGACAGTAATTACTCGGAAATATAAATAAGCAGAAAGGACAAGGCCAACCACAAGTAAATTATGTCGATAAATTATGATCCTAACCACCCAACCCTAAGCCCCCATAAAAACGCCATTGGACCGCCAACCCGGGCCGGTTTTTGCATTTGGTTTTTTTTTCAAAAAAAATCAAGATGGTTTCGTCTCCGAAGATGCCCCCCTCTTTGTGTGTATGTGTATAATGCACAGTACTGCAGATATATGGATCGAGGAAAGTAAAGACACATGTACAGTAAAAGTAAAAAAGTAGAAGACGTCCGCCTATCCCCATCCGTAAATGCAATACCGAAATACAATTCGAGCCAAAGACCATGTAGCGATCAATGGGCGGTAATTGGAAAATAGAAAGATAAGTGGCCACGTAAAATGTCGTCATATAGAAAAAAGAGAAAAGAAAAAGAAGGTGAGGGGCAATATATGGATGTCGGGTTATTATTTCGACAAAAGACATTTTTCTTCTTTTTTTGTAGGATTTTTGAGGGCTGGTGATCGGGAGGGTGGTAGATATTAGGCGGCAGTAAAAGGCGGCAATACCCAAAAAGAGCAGTATGGACACATTAGTGAGAGTTGGTTTCATAGAGCATAGACGGTGTAATGGAGCATGGAAATAGACTGGTCTGATAGGTTGCGAGATATGACTACATGTCAAAGTGAGTATCCCCAAACATGTGTTCGTCGTTTGTTGTCCGAACGATGCCGCTCATGCGGTTAGCATTTCTCGGATCGATGTCGTTGATATCGTCCCACTCGTCGTCCTTGTGACCACCATGTGAATTGTGGTACGAGTTGCCAGCATCGTGCATGTCATCGTCAAAATCGTCATTGTTGTACGACGGACGGCCCCTCATGTTGTCTTCTAGAGCGCTCTCATCCACAAACGTGAAGCCCTGGAAGTTCGCCTGCATCGACGGCGACAGCGGGGTGGATGTGGCGATACCACGGGCCAGAGCAGCGGCGCGCTCGTTAAGAGAGCCGCTCTTGTCCATGGCGTCGGTAAAGATGGGGTCAAAGTACGACACATCCGTGTCCGACTTCAATTTCGGCTTGAAAGGCGGCGTGATCAGCTTCTTCGACAGTGCGTCCCAGTCGATGTCCCGGAAGAAGGGGTGCTCCATCAATTCGGCGGCATCTTTGGTGGCACCAAGACGGTGTTTTGGGTTGCGGTTCAGCAAGCCCTTGACGAAACTCCGGCCCTCTGCCGAGAGAGTGTCCTTCGGGAACCGGACCTTGCCAAAAGCAATGTTCTTGTACATTTGCTGCGTATCCTCGGCATAGAAAGGGCTCCATCCACAACACATTTCGAACACGAGCACACCCAACGACCAAAAATCGACCATCTTCGTGTAGCCGGCCTCGTCCAGCAGGACTTCCGGTGCAAGGTACTCGGTCGTTCCGCAGAAGGTGTTGGTGGTGTCGTTCTTGGTCAGGTTGGCCTTCGACAGCCCAAAGTCGCACAGGGCAATGTGGCCATTGGCGTCCAGCAGAATGTTCTCCGGCTTAAGATCACGGTACACGATGTTGTTGTTGTGTAGATGCTCGATTGCCAGAATCAGCTCCGCAATGTAGAACTTGGCACGGCCCTCCTCGAAACGTCCCTCCTTTTGCAAGTGCCAGAAGAGCTCACCGCCGGACATATAGTCGGTGACCAGGTACAGGTCAGATGGCGTCTGGAACGAGAACTTGAGACCGACGATAAATGGCGAGTCCGACGTCGCAGTACGGACAAGAATGTTCCGCTCACCGACGGTGTGGGCAACCTCCTTCTTCTGTACAATCTTTTTCTTGGAGAGTACCTTCATCGCATAGATCCGGTGGGTGTCCTTCTTGCGAACCTGGTACACTTGACCAAACGTGCCTTTGCCGATCAAACGCAGGATCTCAAAGTCGTCCGGTCCGTAGTGCTTGCGCTCGGTCCGCTGGTAGAAAGCTTCGACATACACTTCGCCGGTGGGTGTGTTTTCGGCAATGGTATCAGCGTGACCGCGCAGAGGGAACCAGCCGCGGACAGGACCTTCCTTCTCCGAGCTGTTGGCCTGGAAGTCAACGTGGCCCAGGAATTCCTCGCCAGTTTGCGCATGATCGTAAACGGAGATATCAACCAGCATGTTGGAGTCGACAACATCACTAGCATAAAATGGTAAGTATTTCTAGTGAAACAAAACAAGAAGAACGGATGGAGGGCACCTACAAAACAGCTTCTGCGTCCCATTTGGGGTTTGTGAGCGACCGCCGCACGGTACGGTTTCGGAAAGCGCCATAGTCTGTGATGCTTGTGTTGCTGCTCTGCCGGCTCCGCATAGGAATCGCCATGGGGCGGCCACTATCGCTTGCTTGGCGCTGGATGGGGATGCTACTAATCGCCACACCGGGGAGCACCGCGTCCTCGCCGTCATCGGGGGAGCGGGGGCCGCCAGAAATCAGCTCGCTGCGCTGGAACACAGCAACAACATACGGGTCGCGTGTCCGCCGAAGACCCCGTGCCTCAGTGATTTTAATTGTGAGCTTGCCCTTGGGTGCGGGTGCTTGGGCACCTTGCGAGGTCGGAGTAATAGAGGCGGCGCGGCTCCGGCTGCTATCGTCACCATCTCGGCTCATGGTTGTTGCTGTACTCTCGTTGACAGACGTGGGCGCCGGGCTGGCTTGAGACTCGGTAGCGTGAGACTGAGCAGCAGATAACGACCGTGTCGGTGTGGACTGACCGCTCTTCAAACGTGTCATTGTTAGCTTTTTCAGTTGGCTCACAGACGCGGAACGCAAGACAGCAGCGGGCGCAGACGCGTCGGCCACTGGCGATCCAACAGCCGCTGGCGTATCCGGCGCCGTGGAGGCACGCGGACCGCCTGGGGTCACGGAGGGAGAGCGGGTAGACGCGGGGGTATTGGAGGAGGTGGAGGTGGAGGAAGGAGTAGCAAGGGACGGAATAGAAGGGATAGAAAAGTGATGAGCAAGCACACTGGACGGTGTGACAACGCCGGTCAAAGGTGTAGTAGACGACGAAGACTCCTGCCGGCCACGCGCCTCGAGCACATCGGACACGCTTTTCTTGTGGCTACGAAAAGTCCACGGGACGTCCCACGGATTGGAAATGGTGCTGCCCGCAGCACCCAGTGCCCCGGCGCCGTTTTTGGTAGAGACTGCTTCTGTGCCTTCCTTTGCTACCCCTGCCGCTCCTCCCCCGCTACCACCGCTTCCAGTCCCGACTGCGCCTCGTATGGACGCTGGCGGTGTCGGATATGGGTGCAACGATGAATGTGCGGCTGCTGCTAAGCTTTCTGAAGGCAGAGACTCGTCTCCGGTGGGCGCCGTTTGTTCTCGTGGCGGCTGTGGTTGCTGTAATGGCGGCGGATTTGGCAACGGTTCTGGATGCGGTTCGTCAAGTTGCCAGCTTTCGCTGTGGCTCTTGCTCTGGCTCTCTTCAAGTCCGGTTTTCGAATGTTGCTGTGTCATGGCGTCGGCCGGTATTAAGGGGGATGTCTCGGTATTGCGGGAGTAACTGGCGCTGGCGGTCTTGGAAAGTGATGGCCGTGGCCGAGACTCGGACGGTGCTGCTGTCACTATTGAAATTGTAATCGAATCCTCTGGTTGTGGCAGATTTGCCGTCGGCGATGGTGGTCGTTGCGGCTGTGTTTGTGACGGCGTCATGCTCGGCAAGACATCTTCGGCGGCTTTCGGCGCATAGGCAGATGCAGGTGTGGAGGTAGTGTTGGGGGTGGTTGCAGGAATTGCAAAATTGGCAGTGCTTGTGCTGGCAGTGCTGGCAGTGCTGGCAGTGCTGGGGGTGTTGGAAAAGGCAGAGGAAGGTCTCGAGGGTAGAGTGAAGTTGCCTGAGAGCAGGCGTTTAAAAGATGCAGGACGAACCTGATTGAAGTAGCTCATGATGCCTGGCAAACGTTTGTCGTGGAGGTCCGGTTGCGGTGTAGCCACACCGGAGCGGGGAGTGTCTGAGCCGATCTGATCCGTGCCGTCGTCGTCGGCCGCAGCAGACCTGCTGGATTCGTCAATTCCATTCGTTGGAGTCATGTTGGGCAGCAGGTACAGGTCGGAAAGTGCAAAAATAGAGAAACGGAACGAGAAAGAGAAATGGGTGATACAAAGAACTGGGGAATATAGAGGGAATACAAAGAAAGAAAGAAAAAGAGAAAAAAAAAAGGTCAAAGGACAAAAGTATAGGCACACAGCAGCGCGTGCCTATGTAGTAGTCATCGAAAGATGCTCGTCCGTTGAAATAAGGTTCGCGAGGCGTGTGAGGAAGGGAAAGAAACGATGTCAAGGTCAAAGTGGCCGACACGGGAAATGATGACGAGGTGAAAAATATCGAGAACGGCCAGAAATGCCCCAGGATGCAAAGAATGGGCAGAATGGACCAGAACAAGATGAATAACAGAGAAATAGGGAAAGAGGAGGCAGGCCGGGAACGCAAAAGACGTGAAATAATAGGAGGGAAAAAAACGGGAATACAAATGAAAAATAGCTCGGTTGGGAAGGAGTGGCCGAGTCAAGGAGGGGCAAAAAACGGCGACAAAAATGACGACTAAGAATTGGGTGGAGGACGACGGGTGTTGGGTGGAAAGGGCAAGCGCAGGCAAAGGAAGGTGCAGAGGACGGATACAAGGTTCGGGGTGTGATTTGCACGCTTGGAGAGGTAGCTCTTTCCTTCCACTTCGGCTCGACGACTGTGTATCGTGGCGGCCGCTAACAAAGGAAAGAGCAGCGCCCAGAAACACCAAAGGTTCAAATACGGGCAACATGTATTAGTGTGCCGCGTCTGCCCCCTTGGGCGGAAATCGCGATTCGCTCAGACAAGGGATTTTTTTAGCGGTTATCGAAAAGTGCCCGCTTGGGATCTGGGCTGAGCCTAGTGGAGCACCCGAAGGGCAAAGCAGAAGTGATTGGGGAAGGAACGAAGGGTGCTGTAATCACAGCTGGTGGCCACTGGCGTGAGGAGTAAGGTTCCCACGGAAAAGACGCAAGTGGGCCCTTGGCTCGTCGAGCTACTAAGAGGAGGGGCGTTCTGCGGACGACTGTCTATGACGCGAAGCGACAACGGAGCGGAGAGACAGTCGAGTTTGAAATTTGTGTGCAAGTCAAGGCAATGAGGACAAAGCAAGGCAGTCGAATGGGGAAAGAACACAAACAAAACAACCAATATCTATCAAAAAGGCAGAGCTTGTTGGATGGAGCAGAGGCCTGGCTGGGCAAGCTGAAGCTGATGAAGCTGATGAAGCTGATGAAGCTGTGCACCCTCGCCTGCATCTCGACGCCTCCCTTCGGCCTCGTCTCTCTTCTGGGGTTCTTTCGCTTCTCCCTGTGGCTTGCTTGGTGCTTCCATCTCTGTCTGGCCCTTGCCCCTTTCTGCCTGGACTGGTCTGCGACATACGGAGTATGGCTTGAGCGGGCGTCACATCTGATCCATGAAATGCTTGACGCATCCTCATGTGGGAAGCCCCCGGCCGTGCTGCTGAGAGTGGACAACCAGCTCCATCCAGTCAGCCAATTCCGCAACGCCCGCTTTTCCCACCAGCCCGTCAAACCTGACACAGGCCATGTGGCCGGATACATGGGATTGGGGTGGATTATGACAGACTTAAGCATGGCTGAAAGACGGAGGGATTGCAGTCGCCGATTGTTGTACAAGGCAAAAAAATCGAGACAAAAGGCAGGCAGGCGTGAGCAACTACTTGCGCCTTTCCGATTCACATGGGGCGACATGGGACATGGGACGGCACTTTACCACTTTACTCGCCTGCGACCCATAAAAAAAGCGAGTCCCGCAAAATCTCCAACTTTCGCAATCCCAATTGGCAATACGACCAACAATGAATCGTAATACTGGGTAACAGGGCGCAGTGGCGTGTTGAGAACAAAAAAAAAAAAAAAAAAAAAAAAAAAAAAAACGAAAAAAATGGGAGAGGCACAACATAATCATATGACCACAGCTTGCATGAGGTAAAAGAGACATAACCACGGCTCACATGATCCAAGAGGCAAACGGCAAATACACGTCACGGCATCCCAATGGTGACAGAGAGACGGACGATAGACGACGCAACAGACATCGGATAACGCAATGCTGGTATATGGACAACCGCGGTGGCGTGCGGTTCCACTTGTTCACTCGACCGCAGACGCACACGCCCCACGACACAAAACGAAATGTAGGCCTGGACATAATGTAGACGGCCCCGGCCTCTGGTCACAAGAGCGGATGGATGCTTTTGGGTTTCTCGTGTTCCGTTACAACAGGGGCGGGGTTTAGGGGATAGCAAAATAAAGGGGCAATACGAAGAACGGGAACGGCGAGACGAGCGGTCCCAAACTGGAAAAAAAAAAAAAAAACACATACCTCGACGACATCACGGCCTGGGTGGCCCGTCTCAGCAGGTCGTGGCTGTGGTTGTTGATGCCATGCGGGCCATGCGGGACGCCATGGATGTTGTTTTGGACAACGCCGTGTTCTGCGCCGTGGGCGCCCACTGTAGCACCCGTCATTTTGATGCAGATGGGGCGAAAGGATGCCAGACGTTCCGTCTCTCTCCAGCCGTTTCGCTGGTGTGGCCGCCGCAGTCTAACTTGTTGATTGTGTTTTAAATGCTCGTGAAATGGCCGGGCTTGTTTCGTCTGATTTCTCTTTCCCCAGGCGGCCTGACCCGGGGTTGGGTTCTGATCTAGAATCTAGGGTGTCTCGATCGGATGCTGGAGTCTCGTCGTACCGCTTTCGACAAGGCTGTTGGCTTCGTGTTGATGGCGATCAAACCAAACGGAGCCAAGGGCGTGGTCGACCTTAGGCCACGGAGTAATTCTTTGTTGACTCGGGCAGGCGAGATTCGGTTCGAGTTCTATCCTCCAGGTGGACGTTTGAGGATTGCGCGGCGTAGTTTGTTGTCGTCGTCTTGTCGTCGTGGTAAGTCGTTTCCTCGTGGAGAAGAAAAGAAAGGTGGCAACCGATATGCGAGCAGAACAGCAAGAGAAAAAACCTAGATAAGGGAACGAAGCAAAAGAAGGAAAGAGGGGTCAACAATGATAAAATGAGGCAAGAGCATCTCAGCGGGTACGTTTAGTTTTGCATACAGCAGCAGGGCTGGGACGGTGCTGTAGAAGGCAATGGCGACAGTCGTATGCGTTCTTGCTCGTGCTGCTTTTGGCGTCGACGCGCTCCGCAAGGCGAAAGGCGAAAAAGCGTGGCGGGGCAGTTGCAACTGCGTACGATAACCACCATAACCTGCTTGTCACAAAGCCTGGACGTATTACGAATTACAGCCCATATTACTCCGTATCCTACGTGGTATTATTGCCTGTGCGCTGGCCTTCTGCGCCTGGTCGACTGCACGTTCACCCATCGCCCACTGCCCTCGACGTAACGTTGACCAACCCACTGTTGTTTCTTGGGGATGCACTTCGCCTCCCATGCAGATGACAGGCAGACTCGGCGGGGTGCACCCGACCTGCTCCTTCCCCTCCTCCGCCCACTCGCCACTTCTCCATCCATTACATCGTCGAGGTGGGGGCATCGATATACAGCGCCTGCCTAGACGTATCTGGCGAGTGGCAGGGAAAGAATCGGCCCATGGACGAACTTGCTGGGCACTTCCTTATTTTGGCGATGGAGCTTCAGACCGTTCCGCAAATTGTGTAGGGCACTTTCCATTTTTGGTTTTTATGGCGTCCCGGCAGGTTTTTTTCCTAGAGAAGGCACTACGGTGGAAGAAAGAGCGACACGCGTGGCCAAAAAAAAAAGGCGCTCTTTCGGAGTCGGATACGGTACTGAAAAACAGCAAAATCCATTCCGATCCTTTCGCTTTCTATTCCTCCAAATTGTGCCGTCTTGAAGTTGTTTTTGGGTAAAGAAAGGTTGTGTGAGAACCTGTTTGGTGCTAAATGTGGCAGCCGCGCTTGGGTTCGTGATATCCCGCTATATTCGTTGCCGAAAGTTGCCATGTCTTAGCGTCGTATTAGTGCTCCGGTCTAGACCGTTAGGGGGTTTTGAAGAGTGGACGGCATAGAACTAGGATTGATGAGTAGAAAGGGAACTTTCCAGATTCAAGATGGGAGTTGTATGTGTAGATGAATATGATGAGGCCAAAACTCGGCGGTCACTCGCATGGAGAGTGCTTCATCGTTAAACAACAACTGACAAAATGGACAAAATGAGAGCCCCTTTGACAAGTCACATGCAGAAAATGCTCCCGGCAATGGTTGCGTCTCGTCCAGTTCCGTTGGTCGCTCTTTCCGGCAGCACGGCGCGGTATGGCACGCGTGGACCGCGGCCTGCAAAGAGCCTTGGTCCCATATCTGGGTTTTCTCACATTCCTCCTTGCTTTGCAACAAGCTCCATGCATCAGCCTCGATCTCTGCTACTTTGGGGCTATTTATGGATCTATTTCTCCTGCTCGGGAGATTTTCACGTTCTCTGTTTCGGGCCGCAAATAGATAAGACCAGAAACGAATCTTGTTTGCGAGAAAAGACGTACAGGCTGACGCGCGAGTGGACAAATATCCCTCTGCATCGTAAATCATAGAAAGAGGGTTACTTTCCCTTCCTCCTAAGTCCGCGTTCGTTCCGCGCACATGTCGCGGCCCAATCACCTGGCTGTCCTCCGATGTAGGTGTCTGTGTGTTCGTGGGTGGGATGAGCGATGGTCGTACCGGCTTCTCTCCCTCTCGCTCCTTTCCCGTCATACACACCACCTTTCGGGATCCCTTCCCTCCGCTTCCCACCAGCCCCATCCTCTTTTATTTTTAAAAGTCGTTCCTTCTTTCCAAACACGCAAGGCGAATAGCAGACACTGCGTATATTTGCCGCAAGCAATAAATGTGAAGTTTGGGCGGTCGTGATTCTCACTGAAAGGAAGAGGCACATTGTCGACAACGTATCCCGGTAATTTCCATATTTCGGGGTGGTCATGCACGCCACCATTGCCCGTGAATGTCTAGTTCTCTGCCCATATTTGATATCCAGGAAATAAACTAGCCATATTAGTGTACCATCTTCATATGTGTTTCTCTCTTGTAGGTCTGCAAACAAACTGGTCTTGATTGGTGTTTTGCCATGTGTCACCTCTGGCCCTCCATCCGGTTTATTTTCTCTGCCTGCATGCACGGTTTCTCAGTCAGAAAATAAACACACCAGAGAATGCGGATTCCCATGTCAAAAGTCGCACGTCTCTCGTTCCCTTCGTACTCCAGTTGATATTGAACTTGGTCTCCCAGCTCTTGTGTAGCATCTTGTTATCCGACGAATGTACAAGTACAGGTACAGGTAATGACACCGGTCGGCCTCCGGCCACCGTAACAGCACCCTCTCCCATATGATTTCAAAGGGTCTATGAGCCGTCGCCGGCCGGAAGGCTTTTCGTAGTTAATAAACATCGTACCGCACACGTTCAAAGTTAGTCACATGTCAAATGTAGAAGGTGGGTTATAAAATAAATATAATATCTTGTTTTCGCCATTCCTTGCCCTTTTTTTTTATATAGTTTTGAGCATATTGCAATGGCTTCACGGAAAAGACGTTCATAGTGTTTGTCATCATTTGCAAGGGACTTGATACATCCATCGTATGCGATGTCAATTATTCACAAATCAAATCGATACAGGTTGGCACACCTGAGTGAAATAGGGGGCTGACGTAGAAAAGTCCCAAAAGCAATCTATGTTTGGTAGTGAATAGGAAAGGAATCCAAGTCCCCCCCCACCCCAACGGTTTTTTTTTTTTTTTTTTTTAAAAAAAAGAAAAAAAGTGAATATTGCTGTGTAGTGAATGCGTGCTTGTCCCACCCAAATTTTCGTCTTCTCTGCCTCTTGTCCTCCTTCTATTTCTTCTGCTTCTTCATCTGGGCGGTCGCCGACTTGCCACACTCCTTTTGGGCACGCCGGTACCAGATCATCATTTCCGCATAGTCGGCTGGCGTCATCACCTGATGACGGAGGTGGTGGCGGACGGCCCGTAGGCGCAGATCGGACATGTAGGTGCGGGCAAGGTACCGCATAAAGGGCTCGCCGGTTTCCCGCATGTTGTCCATGCCCAGGTCGGCGCGCGTCTGGTAGAGCCGAGTCAAATACGCCTTGCGTCGGATCACATATTGTATTTTATGTCTCTTTTCGATTTCGTTCTGCTTCTGCCGATCCAACCATCTCTGCCGCCGCCTCTCCGCTGAGGCAGTCCACTTGGTACGCCAGGAGCCGATGGTAGCAATCTGGGCACGGTGGACATCGGACGCTGATGTATCAGTCTCGGATGTGCCACTGCAGGGATCCGCTTGGGCCTTGCCAGGCCTTGCGAGGCCAACGTATATCGTCTGGCCCATATTGGAGCTAATGTTCGGCTTCATTCCGCGGTTGTGAGCTGGTGATGCAGTTTTGGCGGGTAGCGATGCTGCGGGTTTTCTCCGGAGGATAGTTGATCGCCGCTTCGTTTTGGAAGGCGAGACTTTCATCGATATTTTCGTTTTGTGGAGATGAAAAGAGTCCTTTTGGCAGCTTTATATTGGTTCAGAGGTTGGGACATGTTCCCAAGACAACCATGATTAGGTAGAGGCGTTTGTTGACGAAAGTCGACGGTTGCTTTATGGTATAACCGGAGCAATACGAGTTGCAGCAAAGGAAAAAAAGTAAACAACCTGTACACCTACGATTATTTGCGACGCCATGGCATTATTTCGGTAAAAACATACTGTCCCGGCCGTTATCACATAATTGGGAACTACTAAGTAGAAGCTTTCGGCCGGTTGGTTTGCACGACTTCCGTATTTTGGAGTGCCGCGTTTTCGCGCCGTATATCAATCGTTTCGAACGGAAAATAGAGTGTTACAAACATAAAAGAATGATGAGAACAATGGAATCATGCTTCGTCAAAATACAGACCATCAGTGAGTCCATAATCCCCAGGAATAGTCGTTCCTAACCGATCACCGTCTACTTCTTCTCAATTAGCGCCCGCATGCGTGCCTCTGCGCCCTCGGGAAACGGCCGGCTATAGATTTTTTCCAAGGGCCGCACTGTCGTCAGAGGGTCGCCATAGTCGGCTAATAGAGGTCAGTACATATTAACTTAGGGGAGAAGGCGCGGATGGGCGGTAAGATGATCGTACATGCGTTGAAGCCTTGATCGGTGAGTCGTTGCTTGTATGCCTCGACCTCTTCGCGGTGCTTGGGGGTGTTCCACGTAGCTAAGGGGTTTGCCGCGCCGTTGGCTGGATCAGCCTGTGCCGTTCCTGGCGCAGCAGAAGAAGACGGCTGCGCGCCGGTCATGGTGACGTCCTGGTCCATCGTCCTTGAAGTTGGAGTGAGCGGGGAAGAAGCCAGTTTGATGAATCGAGACTCGTGCGTCACTGGTTGTTGCAAGTCAGTGACATATGTCCTTCTGTGTTGCAGTATCCACCAGTAGGAAAACGAACCAGGCTATGAAAGAGCTCTGCCGTCGATTGATTGTCTGCGTTAATTGTGGCTTGTATTTTGACCCTTCGTTGTTTGCTGTGACGTTGTGCTGAGAGACGTGCCTGCCTTCTTTATGTTGTCGTCTGTACGACATAAGGAATCTGAGGCTTAAGAAGTGGGGCCGTTGTAGTCAGCTTGGCTGGCCAATCGGACGCATCACACACCCAATTGAGCAGGAATGGAAGGAAGGCGCCCTCCGCAGCTTGCGGGCGGCACAGGTGCTTGCCATGCCGCTAAAATGGCAAGACCGGCCATTGAAAATGGGAAATTTACAAGTTCTAAAGAATTTCGCTCCCTCCACCAAGAATCGAACATGGCCATGACGAACGACCGAGACCAACGACTTTGATTTTGGAAAACAACCACACTCACGCTGTGGCGTACGGGCACGATACTCATTCTACCCTGCGGTCCGATTCACCCCGCACCTGACGATGGCCAAGAATACAGGCGTCCCCAGTGCCTGGGACGACGACTGGGAAGCACAAGCCGACAAAGCGATGGCCAAAGAGAACGCGCAGCAGGCGAAGAAACTCTTTGTCAAGGATGGTGCCGGTGGTCCATCTGGTCCACCAAGGGGCGCGGCAGCTGCGTCAGGCGAAGGAACTGCCGAAATGACCCGCGCTGAGCGGTTGGCGAAGCACGAGGAGGACAACCGGCGGCTGTGGAACTCGGCGTATGTATTGTTTCCTTGATGTTTTGCAGCGGTTTGCAGCGGAGAACACAAAGGTTACGTTGTTGCTAACGTTCTAGCGACAATCCGGAGGAGTTTCACTTTTTGTCGGCTGGAGCTGCGCCCGGCGGCGGTGCCCTGCTTTACGGCAGCAGCAACAACAGTGGAGCCAGTGCGCCCACAATCCTGCCTGCGGCCTCGGCATTTCGGCCGCAGATGACGGTCCTGAGCCGAAAACCGGCTCCACGGATGATTCGGCGGCGCGACCCTGTGACAGGCATCGAGGAGCTGACTGTTCGAGATGACGCAGGCGAGGCTGAGGCCGAGGCAGCTGCGGCGGCCCAACGTAACAAAGAAACGCCGGAACAGATACGGCAGCGGCAACAGCGTGAGAGAGAGGCTAAGCAGCGGAAGTACGACGAGGCGCGTGCCAAGATCTTTGGCGAGCCGCTCCCGGCAAGCAGCAATAAAGATAGCAATAAGGACAGCCACAGCAACAGCAACAGCATCAACACCACCGCCAATAACAGCAACAACAGCACATCTACCCCAGGGTCTTTGGCATCATCGCGGCAAACATCACCCGCGCCACGGTCGTCTGGAGGCAACAATGGTGGGAGCCATACACCACCTCACGCACAACAATCTGGTGGATACCGAGGCAAGGGACGTGGCCGAGGCCAAGGCGGTGCCTACCGCGGAGACAGATCAGGGGAAGGCAACGGCCGGGGCCATCACCAGCAGCACGACAACAGCTTCATTAGGCGGCAACCACAGCAACAGCAACAGCAACAACAACAGCAGCAGCAGCAGCAGCAGCAGCACCAAGTCGGCCAGAACTACCAAAACGGCGCAGCTTCGACGCAAAACACAGCACCATTCTCTTCTTCACCTTCGGCAACACCGCCTGGAACACGGGAGCTCTACGATCCAAACTACTCTCCAAAACCACAGAGCCAGAGGCGTTTGGGCGGCCAGGGCCACCACCAGCATGCAGGCGGTACGGGCAGTGGCAGCGGCAGCGATGTGACCGGTTCACCGTATCCGAGCCGGACGGGCACACCGCGCGAGGAAGAGTTTGTGGTCCGCGCACCACGAGGTCCCGATAGCAGCGGCCGTGGCGGCTTTGGGTTTGCTCGGCGAGGCGGTCTACAGAGCGATTGAACACACCACCCAGGCATAGCGAGAGGGTCTAAACGAAGTGATTAAAAGTAATGCAGGATCTCAATTTTGGGTATCATATCCTCTCTTTTTTTGCCTCCTCTTTGGCCAAATCGTGTATACCAAAACAGAAACATAAAACGCCAAGCTATGCATGCCACGCAAGACAAAACAAAAACCATTAAGCCATCACTCATTCACATTCTACTACCACCCACCACCAATCTTGCCAGCCAGCTGGACGACGTGCTCCGAGGCATCGCCGCCCTTTTTCTTGCTGCCGGGTGCAGTCGACTTGCCGACGTCGCTGACCACCTCACGGTACGTGGTGTAGGCGAGCTTGGCTAGGTCAATGCCCGTGATCTTCGCCCAGTGTGCCAGCACCGAGCGCACGTACGAGGGGCTAATGCCGTCGACAAGGTCGTTCGCTGTGACGGCATCGGCCTCTGCGGCCTCCTCCTCGTCTGAAAAGTATGCCTCGTCGATCTCGGCTAGCCATGCCTTTTGCTCCAGCGGGACCGGCTTGGGGGCGGGCTCGCTGCTGTCCTCTTCGGTGGAGAGGCCATTTGCCTGCCGCTTCCGCGCCACAACGACGTCGTCATCCACCTTGATCTGTCCGCCGCCGTTGGTGCAGCCGCCAGGGCAGGCCATGACCTCGACGTACGCGAAATCCAGCTCCGCCCCCGCACCGCTTGCACCACCGCGGCGTGCGCTGCCAATCGGCCGACCGCCGGGCAGCCGCGAGGGGCGTGCGGGCCGCAGCCGGCGCACCAGGTTTTGGATGTTGCGGAACCCGTAATAGCGCGCAGCTTTGAACAGCGGCGGTGCGCCGGTTGTGGGGTCGGCACCGGCTGCTGTGATGGCGTACTCGACGACGTCGACATTGCGGCCGCGGGTCGTCTGCAGCGTCGCGCCCGGGTTCTGGGCGAGCACCGACTGCAGGATAAAGTGGAGGTTGCCGCCAGAGCTGCCTGCCGCCGCCGGCGGGTGGCGGCGTTTTTGGGAGGTAGGCGACGAGGAGGAACTGAAGAGAAACTGGTCAAGCACGGGGTCGGGGAAGGGAATTCGGCCACGGCCGCTGTTGTTGCCGCCCGCCGGTGGGCTTGTTTTTGGTAGACTAAAGAAATCAATGCCGCGCGATTCGGCCAGCATCAATACCTCTTTGCTCGTAATCACACAGTCCACGTCGCGAATGCCCTTGGAGCCCTTGTGGCTCGCACGTTCGTCCCATGCGCCGTCCATGAGCTCTTCGCGGCTCGCCTCCAGTTTCTTGTCAAAGCACGGCATGACGGCCACGTGCCAGATGCGGTCGACCGGAATGCCCAGGGTGCGGCTCAGCGTCGTCTTGAGCAGCGTGCCCGTCAGTGCCTGCGGCGACTTGACCTTGGAGAGGTGGCCGAGCACGTGTGGATGTGTCTTTTCCGCGTAGCAGACCCAGCCGGGACACGACGCCGTCAGCAGCGGGCGGGCCGCGCCTCCTGCTGTGCCAGCGCTCTGCTGCGCCAGCACCTCGTCGGCGCCCAATACAAGCGTGGCGTCCCGCGCCGCGTTCGTGTCCACCACCCATGTAAAGCCGTTGTTGTACGCACCGCCCGACCGCAGACCACCGGGCCCAGACAGCAGGTGCTCCAGCATGTAGCCGGCCTGCTGCTCGGTCACGCCGGGCCCGCAGGTGGCTGCCAAGTTGGCGCGGGTCTGCGGGGAGACGCTAGCGACGTAGACGAGAGGCCCCGCTGGGTCGTCGAGGCCGTGAACCGCGGTGGGCGATGAAGAGGAGGCGATTTGCAGGCCCGGCGCGGCATCAAGGGCGCGCAGCACTTCGGCGTGGCTCTGCAAGCTGACGAGGACGGCCTCGGCGGACGTGACACAGCCCGAGCAGGCGAGGCAGTCGGTCAGCGAGATCTGGGCGGGCCCTGCGGCGGCGCCGTTGGTCGGGCCATCGTCACGAAAGACCTCGTGCTCGAGCGACGCCGACGCCGGCTGCGGCTCCGGAACGGTGGGAAGGGTCTCGACGGGCTTGATGCAGGCAACGCCGGGCGTAATGAAGTCGTTGAGGTCGTCGGCGGAGAGGATTGCACTCATTGTGCCGGTAGGTTGAGCAGAGGAGGAAGAGGGAGGGACGAGAAAAGAATAGACCGCTTGTCGGTCTCACGTCGAGGATGTTCCAATGTGGCGATGATGCAAAGGCTGATGTGGCTCTGTACGTCACGATGCAATTCAAGTGTGAAATGTGAGCTGCGAAATTGTGCGACGACTGGCCCGGTGCATTGCTCGAAAGGAGTGGTCGAGGATGAGCAAAGGATCCAGATGCTCTTACTGTTGCTGCTGCAGACCAAAGAAAAGGGTATGTCGTCGAATGGGCCTGCTTTGAAATCGAACGGGTTCCATTGAAACGGTTCAAGATGGATGGGCCGAAAGAAAAAAACGTTTAGTGACTGTTGCCCTGTTCTCTGCGAGTTTTTGGTATGAGGGCAGGAGGGGTTGCGAGATCGGCTCCTTCTTTTGTGGGCAGCCCGGGTGGCGGATTCAGATTTAGTGCGTTTGGACGTCGCCCCCATTGTGTCGCTCGTCAATTATCTGATCGCTGACTGGCTGGAATCCATCCACTAGCGCAGTTTGGCCCTTCCCCTTTCGTACTCCGCGTAACACGGTAATGGCTACACTGGTCACAGTTGCTGTTTTCGGACAATCCATCGCCCAGTGGCTATGATATTTTTGCTTGCATATAACGAGGTCGCTCTTACTTGAAATTGCTTGTATTTTCAGCTCCTTCCTATGATTTCCCATATGCATTAATACAGTAAAAGAATCCCGGTAAGATACATAAATATGGAACACCCAAAGCGAATGTCAAACCACTGAAGGTGCATCAGAGTAACTTTGAGAATGCAGACAATGTTCTGACAGACGCCACAGGACAATGCAACCCCGTATGAAGAATTAAATAACGTAGAAAAACAAAGCGGTACATGAGAAATAGAAGAAAAAAGATCAGATAGAAACGGCCCGCCAGGACGCCCGACAGGATCCATGGCCGTTGCTATGCTGCATGAAACAATGACAAAGAAAACAATATAACACCATGGTATATAGAAGTCGCACGTCTAATCGTGGCGGAATGTGCATTTGTCGCCTTTGGCACACTTGCCGCTGGCCCAGAAGACGCAGGCCTTGGTGCCAATGAGCGCCCGGTTGATGCCGCGCAGGTGGCTGGGCACGTTGGAGTCGCTGTCGCGGTCCCGCTTGTTATACGGGCCGCCACTAGCGTTGGAGTCTGCGTTGCCGCTGCCACTGTCGTTGCCGCCGTCACTGTCTTTGTAATGATAATTCCGTCTGCGGCCAGTAGTACTGCGGACACCACGCGAACGCTTATAGCTGTCACCGCCGTCCTGGTCAGCTTGGGATTCATTGTGGTGGCCGTGGTCCTGCTGTTGGCCACCGGAGGCCCACTGTGCAAGAGACAGCAGGTACGCCTGGTTCGCGTCGGCCGATCCAGCAGCCGGCTGTGCGCTTCCGGCACCGGCACCGGCACCGCCCATCATCGACGCCAGCAGTGCTTGCAGCTGCGCATCGTTCTGCGGGTCAGCGCCTGTGGGTGGAGCGCCAGATCCACCGCCCAGCGTCGTCAACAGTGCCTGTAGTTGAGCATTCGGGTCGCCTGCGCCGCCTGGGGCTGCTTGTTGCTGTTGCGCCTGCTGCTGGTAGTATGCGTTCATGTACTGTGCATAGGCGTTGGCATCCGTCGACTGTACAGCCGCCGGCTGCTGCTGTTGAGCGTAGTAGGCGGCCCATGCAGCGGCGGTATCCTGCTGTTGGCCAGCGGCTGTGGCAGCAGCCTGCGGTTGTTGTGTCTGTTCCTCTTTCGGCTGCGGCTGGACGGCATTGCGGCTCTGTGCTTCGGCTGCTTCAGCCTGCGTCCGTTCTCGCTGCTTTTCGCGGTTATAGCCCGTCCACCACTCCTTGATGCGCTCCGGGTCAACAATGTAAGCGGGCGGCTCGGTGGCCGGAAAGGCCTTGCCCTGGAGCTGCAGAAAGATGCTCTCCAGCGCCAGCACAGCTTTTTGGACGGTCGGATCTGAGTAATCTTGCCAGCGGTGCACCTTGGTGGTAGACGACAGGTCAAGCGTCGGCCGCCAGTTCTTGACAGCACCGGACGTAAGGAGGCGGACGACGTCGCCGCCCCGAGCACCCGTGAATGAAGTAATTGTGCCACCTGCCTTGGCACCGCCGACAGACTGAGGCTGTTGCGGCTGTTGCGGCTGTTGCGGCTGTTGCGGCTGCTGCTGCGGGTTCTTGGCGCTCTGCAGCCGCTGGATTGCGTTCCACGCAGCCCAATTGGCGCCATACTGGCGCTCCTCGTTCCAGCGAACCTGCACCTCTTGCAGTGCCTTGGACTCGGAGGCCGGGAACGCAATCCCGTTGACGGGATTGCTAGCCAGCTCAGTATGAGCGGCCGACGGTGACTTGGGCGTAGGCGGGATGTCAGAGTGGTCGGTGTAGATGGCCATGAGGACCGTGTTCTCGCGGTCGGCCATGGCCTTCCGCTCGGACGAATCGACAGGTAACTGGCCACCACGCGTGACATATGTCTCAGCGACCTTGTCGGCCGGCAGCGACGAAAAGTTGAGGGGCGACGCCTCAAACCACGGACGGTACGGCAGCTCGTCATCTTCATCGTCGTCGAGGTTCATGCCGTCGCCGCCGCCGTTGCCATCGTCGTCGTCCTCAGCACCTCCCCTCATTAGGCGGCGCTTCAGGGCCAGACCTTCGGACCGGTCGTCGCCGGCGTCACGGAGCAGGTACTTAGCTCTGCCCTCGTCTTCGCCCTCGTCTTTGGTGAAGATGCGGACCTGCGTCAGGTCGGTGCCTGTCCGCCACGTCACGCGCAGCTTGCGACGGCTCTCCTTGCGCAGGCGCTTGGCCTTTTGCTCGGGCGTCTCGCTGGGCGACGCGCTTTCGCTCGACGAGGAGTCCGGCGTGGGAGCGGCGGGCGAAGCATTTTTAATTTTGGGCTTGGAGATCTCGTCGAGAAGCAGGCCCAGCTTAGAAGATCCAGACGACGCCTGCTCGGCCTTGGCTGCGGCGGCGGCTTTCTTAGCGCGGGATGCGGCGGCTGCTGCCGCTATTGTACTGGCAGAATTGTTGGCGGCAATGGAAGACGGCGCCGCCTTGCTTGCAGGACCGGTCGTTGTGGGCGCATCTGTATCGCGCTTAGACGGAGAGCCACTTAACGACGTCTTTGCTGTATCCTTGCTGGACACGTCGGCCTTGCTGTCCGCTGCGGTTGATGATGCATCTGCCTTTGGAGCGGCCGGTTTCGTAGTAGCCGGACGTATCTTGCCGGGTAACAGTGATGTACCGGCCCATGGCTTGGCAGCCGCAGGCGTGGACGATGCTGCGCCTGAGGACGGGGTGACCTTGGCAACTGCTTGCGGTGCGCCTGAGGCAGAGTTGGTGGCTGGCTTCTTTGCAGGGCGTGAATCGGCCGACTCATCCTCGCGGGGGCGTTTTGAAGACGACGAATCAGATACGACTCTTGTAGGTCCAGTCTTGGACGCGGACGAGGCCGGTTTAGCGGCTGTCTTGGACGGAACGTCGTCTGCAACAACGATAGTGTCGTTCGCCGATGTTGCCGTATTCGCAGCAGCCGTGGCCGAGGCTGGCTTGGCGTGAATGGTTTTGGAGACAATTTCACCGACCAAGTCCTTCACCTCGGCGTCACCCTTGGTCATGAAGCGCTTTTGGATCTTGTCGAACTTGAGGCGCTGGTTCAGCATCTCGTCGGTAATCGTCGTGAATTGTGACATGAAGCGCAGCAACGTCTTGGTCAGCTTGCCGTTAAAGTCAGAGGCATTGACACAGTCGCGCAGGGCCGACACAAGGTTGGCGACGAGCGGGCCGTTGCCGCCCAGGTTCTCTAGCACCTGGTCGTGGCCCTTTTCATCCGCAGCGTCGACGGCACGATACAAAATCTCCTGCTTTGAAGCAAGGGTTTTCTTGATTTGTTCGACCGTCTCGTTTTTGCTGCCACCTTCTTCGGCCTTCTTGAGGCGCTCCTTGGTCTCCTTGATGCCGTCGTAGATACCCTTGATAAAGTCGCCGAAATTTTTGACGGCACGCTTGATAGTAGTGGGCGCGTTGTCGGCGACATGGACGAAGCCAATGGCGTCCCAAGCAGCCGCATCGGCCGGGTCTGTGGGCCGGGCCGCGCTGCGAACTTCCTCTTCCTCATCGGATTCGGACTCCTCGTCACTGCCGGGCGATTCCATAGCTGCCGGGCGGCCTTGAGCAATCGATTTGGTAGGCTTCTTAGGCGTGTCGCCGAGCGAGGCAAACTTGTACACCTTGGGCGGCAAGACTTTGCCTTGGCTCTTGAGCCGACTGCGCAGCTCGAGAACCAGCGCCTCCTTCTTCTCGGACGGCTGGGAGCCGACAAGGCGATCATATTCGGCAATGGTCTCGCAGGGCAGCGGGCCTTTGCGACCGGGGAAGTGCTTCGTGCCCAGGTCTTTGGACGGATCAGGCAGCACAGCCGGTTCGGTCGTGCTCAGTGGAGGCTCAATATGCACCACGTTTCCCAGCACCAAGAATGGCACGCCCGGGAAGAGCTGCTTACGCTCCTGAGTCTCTGCAGCACTGACAATGTGCTTAATCTCTTTGGGAAGGACATCGGACAGCTGTGGCTTTTTATACACGGCCTTTGCAGGTTTAACACGTGATGCAGCGGGAGCGGCACCTGGTATTGTCGGCACGGGTACCGGCGTGGCAGTTGGAATGGTGGGCACCGGGATGGCGGACGTGCTTTGTACGGGGGTGGACGACTGAGCCTTGCCGACGGTTTTAGCGGCCGCCACGGGTTTGGCAGACTGAGGGTAGGTCGGAGGCTGAATAGGCGAGACGATCGGAGGCGGGATTCTGGTCTGGGCTTGTTGCATTTGCTGTTGCTGTTGGATGCGAAGTTGCTGCTGCTGCATCTGCATCTGCTGGAATTGCCGCTGTTGCTCGAGCTGCTTCTGCTGCTGGGAGTTGTGTGTTTGTTGTGCCGGTTGATATTGCTGGACACGAAGCTGCTGACCTTGTTGCGGAGGTGATTGTCGGGCCTGCTGCGCCTGCTGCTGCTGCATGAATTGCTGCTGCTGTGGCTGTTGATCCTGCCACGCCTGCTCGCCTGCCAGATGCTGGTACGGTACCTGACCCGGTTGCTGTTGCTGTTGCTGTTGCTGTTGCTGGTGTTGCGCCCAACCGTTCGCTCCTGCCTCCAGAGGTGTCTGTTGTGGCATCTGCTGGGGTAGGTGCGACGGTTGCTGCTGCTGTTGCGGGTCAAGGTACATTTGTTGCTGATACAAATGTTCCGGCTGCGCCTGCAGTTGACCATCGGTTTGCGCCTGCTGCGCTGCTGCCTTCGCTTTTGTGGCTTTGGTGGCCTTGGGTTTCGTGACTTTTGTCGGTTTTGGCGTGGTGGTTGCTGTCGCTTTTGTCGCCTTCGTTGTTGCGGTAGGTGGGACCGGCGATGGGGTGGCTTGCTGCTGCTGCTGCTGCTGCTGCTGTTGGATCGGTTGCGGAACGGGTGTCATGTTCTGGGCGAATTGAAGGTGGTGTTGTTGTGGCTGCTGTTGCTGCAGCTGGGCCTGAACTGGCCAGTTCTGAGCCGGGTTCTGGTAACCGCTACCGGGTGCGGGAGAGTTGATGCCATGCGGGTGGCCAATCGTATCGGGGGTGAGGGTGGATTGTCGGGGCGGCGCAGGTGACAAGCTCGGTCGAGGTGCGGCGTTCGGTCCAGTCGCTACGGGTGGAGATGTGGCGTAGGGGTATCTGTTCACGTCAACCGGCTGTTGCTGTTGTTGCTGCTGGCGTTGTTTTTGGAGCGCCGCCTGCTGCTGGCGGAGTAGCTCTTGTTGTTGCCGTTGCTGCCACTGCTCGTTGCTGATCTGGCCAGATAGGTAGGTAGGCATGTTGCCCATGGCCTCAGCAGGGACAGCAAAGCCCTGGACAGCATCATACGACACGGGTGTGTGACCAACAAAGCCATGATTTTGGGATGAAGGGTCGAATGCATGCTTTTGTTGTTGCTGTTGCTGTTGCTGCTGCTGCGGCTGTTGTTGATGTTGGATGGCAAAGCCTGGTGTGGACCATTGCTGCTGTGTCGGCTGTTGATGCTCCTGCGAGTGCGGCTGGGCTCCGACGAGATTGGCATAGTCGTTCGGTAGCTGTTGGAAAGCATGATGCGAATCGCGGCCAAAGGTCTGAGGCACACCGCCGTCGGCCACGGCGCCAGATGGATCCGGCACCGAGGACCACGTCTCCATAGGGTGGTGCTGCAGGGCGTTCATATCTAAGAAGTCGTTGAGGTCGTCCCCGGCGGGCGGAAGGCCATAGCCGGTGCCGTCTTCATAGTCCAATGGCCAACCGGTGTGGCCATTGCCCTGCTGGGCCATGGTCGCCTTCGGTGGCTTTGGGCTGCGGATTTTCGTCTTTGGTGCTTGTTATCACCAGGACGGACAATTAAGCTATTCCACCTTTGCACAAGTTTCTCAGTGTATGCGGGCTCGCGTCGAACCTACGCGCTTTGCGCGCGGTGTCGTCTTACTTATTTGATTTCCTTTCCTTCCCTTGATTGTCGAGTTGTTATCTTGTTTTGTCAATTCCAGAAGACTGTTTAGAAAGGGAGGCGGAAGTTGGCCGACGGAGACGGGGAGAGCTTTCAAGAGGTTTGTCGGGTCACGTGCGCAATTTGGGAGGTGTTTTGTCGCGAAAGGCCGTGCACTGGAAACGCGACTGTTTTGGTTTGGAAGGAACGAAAAGAGACAGGCAGATCTGCGCTAGTCCAAAGGCGGACAAGGAAAAGACAGGTTGTGGCAAGGTGCCTGCAAGAACGTGCTGTGGAGAAAGTTTGATTAGCGGCAGGGAACGTTTGGCTGGCGGCTTTTATGGTTGGTGCAGGGCAAGAGCGCTGGAAGCAGCCCACTGGGCTAGTAAATGTGCGAAAAAAAGACAAGAAGAAAAGGAGATATCTCATCAAGTACAGAGAGACACAAAGCGACGCAGTCGGACAATTGCATCAGAAGAAGACAGACAGATAGACAGGGATAGAGAGCGAAAGCCGTAAAGAGCCATTGCCGGTTGGATTGTCGTCGTCGACCTCTGCTTGTTAACCGGATTTGGGTGGTGCAAGACACCTGGAACGGAAACACAAGGACAGCCAAGGAGGGAGCACGAGACGAAAAGTCCGAAAGGAAAGAGCGAACAATGAGGTCAAAGGGAGACTAGGAAGGGGCAGGAGGAGAAGGCTGCTGCCAATTGTGATAGTAGGACTGACAAGGCTGAGGAGACGAAAACGGACAAGGCAATGCCTGGCAGGGAACGGGAGTGCCGCCTCGCAGCGGTCGCTTCCTGACTTTCACCTCCCATGTCGCCTCGCCCACTTTTGCAGCCGTTTGTCCACCCTCCCGTCATTCTCACCATTCAGCAGCCTTCCCATCACCACTTCTCCATCTGCCTGCCTTTTGCTTAAACTCAGTCTTACTCCCCTGCACCGCAAAACGTGCAAGTGCGGGCGATAACAGGCCAGTCGTTTTCTTGGGCTGCAACTGCGGGCGGCTCCAGGTCCAGATCGGCCGCCGATTGCGGCGCGCCGTCCTGGCCCCCGTCTGTTCCTGCGTCGTGCCGGTGTTTGCCGTCGATTTTGGCTGCACCAAAATTGCACAATCGAGACACAAAAGGTGACCCAAAGGTTGCAGTCGAAGGTCAGCCCAGCTGCATCAGAATTGGCACACGCACGCTGTCGCCTTGCCTCTGTCTGTCCCTGCTGCGTCTGTAGCTTCTGCTGCTTCTGTCTTCTGATCTTTCTGTTCTCTGTTTTACCCAGAGGCATTTTCTGCTTTCCCTCCATCTTCCCCTTTCTCTTTTCCCATCTCATTCTTCGTGAGAAGAGCGCTGTTACTTTCGGCCTGAGAAGACAACGACGAAATCAAAAGGGGGTTTAAATACCCATTCGACCATCCAGCCTTTTCTGCTTAAAGTCATCTGTGAATTAAAATGATCGTTTTGCTTGCCTGATGTGTTGTTTACCGTCTGCTTTTTTCTTGTGTTCGACTTTCGGTCTCTCTCTCAACAGTGCCAAACTTCCCAATTAATCCAAGCCAGAAGCCAGGGGACAAGGGAGAGAAGAAAATGTGCAAGAAACAAACGGGAGAGATACAACGGCAAACTTTGGGAAAATTGAGGGAAGGATGTGTTGTCAAGACATTAGAAGGAACAGCAGTTTGACAGGTGGTGTGCGTGGGGGGTTAAGGGTCTTGGGGGCATTAAATTGGCACTAATAGTGGTTTGGCACATACCCTGAAGAAAACGCGGACTGGGCCCTGTTATGCAGCTCCGCGGTGCGCTTTTTGGTCACAAGGATTAGGGCGTTGTTGGGTGTTGGGCGGCTGGGGCGGAGGCTGGTGTGAGCGCTGAAGACTTGCAGAATTGGCCGGAGAGCTGAGCCCGCAAAACGCGTCAGAAACAAAGGCTAGTCTCCGTTTCAACACTGAAAATCGCTCTTTGGATCCTTCAGTGTCCTCTCTTGGGGCTTCAACAACACTCTGCCTCGTTTTGAACCTTGAACTCTTGTTTTGCTACGCAAGAGAAAGAACGAATTTATCGCCCCATGTTCGAATGGAAAGCAAGTAAAGCAAACACAAAGTAAAAATAAATAATAGAAAACGAGAAACAAACGCCACCAGACCCCGTCACTCGCGATACAGGGCGCTGGATTGGGCGACAAGAGAGGCCAAAACGGAGGCGATCATTCAGGAGAGTGTTGACGAGCGCGCGCGCATTACAAGATCAAAAATATCGGTAACAGACTTGATGGAGAAGATGGAATCAATGCGCTGGTTATGGCGATGATGACGATGGTGCCGATGATGAATCGTCGATGCTTGTCGTGACGCGCACACTGGAGAGGATGGATGTGGTAGAGTGAAGTTGTGGAAGAGGGAAAAAGAAAGGAGAGTTCTGGAGAGTGGAAGAGAGGGAGTGCTACAAACCAGGAGCGACTTGGGTGAGGAAGGCGCTAAGGGGATTTATTGGAGGACTGCATTGGCCATGTGCCAAGCCCATGTCCGTTTCGGGCTAAAGCGTGCTAGCGCATCGCAACCGCAATCGGATAATTTGGACGTACGACGTATGAAAATGGGAATCATCGTACCGAGTACGCACAATACAAAGTGGTACAACCCAAAGAACGTGATGGGAAGCGTGCACAAATATACATACCAACATAGAACCACTAGGGACACCCCTTTATTCTAACGATCAGAAGCAAGCCAAATATGAAGTTGGTGTCGTTTGACAATTTAGGACAAAATAGTAGGTCCAGTAACTACATATGTAGACTATGACATGAGAGAAGAAGAGAAAAGGGGAAGAAAAAAAAAAGAAAAAAAAATATCGAGCATAGAACAAACGGAAATGAGGACGAGGCCGATTTAAACAGAAACGAAATCAAACAAAAGCCAAAAAATGAAGACCAAAGACCCCATCAAGGACTCTTCTATTATCTTTTCCCCCCTTCTTCTCGTTCATTTGTTGGGTATTATTTTCGACAAATATGAAAAGGGCGGTGTGAAGAAGCACAGTGGAAATCGACAAAGAGGGACAAAATAGAGACGCCGGATGAACACTAGACCCAAATTAAAGAGACTCGCTCGCGCTCTCTTTGCGCTCATACGCCGCGGAACATGCGCACAATCAAGAACCAACAGGCACCGATAAATTTGAAAGCCGACAGCGCCGCAACCGAGTACAAAATGGCCGCCATGTAGATCGTGGCACGGGCCTCCTCGTCGGACGCACCCGGCACAATCTTCTCGAGACCGGCCGTGCTCAGAACTAGTGCCGCCAGCGCAAAGTTGGAGATGATCCAGACGACAACAACGACCGTGCGCACACCACGGTAGTAGTCCTGCTGCTTCTCGTCGAGCTGGGCGGCCGTCGGCGTCGACTTGACCTTGACCTCCTTGCGGCCAAAGACTTGCAGCTCGCGCTCGTACTGGGCGTTCAAGTCACCCTCGTCGGGCAGGTCCGTCTTGCCCTGGCCGTCCTTGGTGCTGACGGAGGGTAGGGCCTCGGCCTTGTCGTCACCCTTGGTACCCCAAGAAATATCATGGGTATTGCAGAAGGCGTACACGTTGAGAATATTGGTGAAGGTGGGCGTCAGCATGAGGTACTGGATGAGCGAGGTAAACATGTGCCACGGATCGAACATGAGCAGCGACGCAATCAGCCAGATACCGTAGGTGGACATTACGGAGAGGATCAGCGTAATGAAGACCTTGTTCTGGAACAACATCGCAATTGTGAACCCAGCCTGAATATCGGTCTGGATAGCCTTGACAGAGATGAAGATGGCAGCAAACAACAGGTAGATGTAGATGACGGCCCAGAAGATGGACATGACCAGGTAGTATGGACCAGAACCGGCAGGACGGTTGCCCATGGACAGCGTGAAACTGATAATGAGCGAGACTCCGTACAGCCACTCAAAGACAACGCCTAGGATTTTGCCGACGGTGCCCAGCAGGTCATCCGATGACAAACTGGACGTCAGAATCTTGAAGACGAGGAAGAAGTTGCCAATGGCAAACCAAGCGAAAATCATGTTGACCGTGTTAAACACAAACTCGATGAAGAACATGAGCTTGCGAAGGATGGAGTGGTCGGAGCGGAAGAACTGGTAGAAGTGGACAATGGCGTAGATTGCAGCGAAGAAGGAACCGTTCAGCCAACGACGACGCTGCAGAATCAGCTCGGAGATACCGTCGGGCACATCGGTCTCGCCCGTGGCCGACTTCACGTACTGCAAGATCCAGTGGCAGTTGCGCTTGGTGACGAGCTCGAAACACAGGATACGATCCTCGGCCAGGTACATGTTGGCTGTGAAGATACCGGCGCCGGCACCGTGCAACTTCTCACCGGCAAAGTACTTCTCCAGTGGACCCTGGCCGTTCTTGTCGTTTTGAAGAGCAACGTAACGGTAGGCAGAAAAGGCACCGGGCAACACAGAAATGAAACCGAACGCAGACTCGAGCGGCTTGTCCAGAATGTTGCTCATCTTGTACTCAAAATTCTGCGCTGCAACGAGGGGATTGACCAGGTACTTGCCACCAGGTCCCAGCATGGCCTTGATCTCTCCACAGGCGCCGGCGCACATGGGCTCAAGATCAAAGGCCTTCCACAGGTGGTAGATGGAGTTGCCACCGGGACGGGTACCGGCGTCGATGAGAACACAGACGTTGGGGTCGAGGACACGGCCGAAAGCCTGGAAGAACCAACGGTGCGAGTTGATCTTCTTCTGATTCTTCTCCTTGAGACAGAAGAGCATCTGCACGGGCTGCTGTTTGGGGACCAGCTGGACGACGTCATTCTTGATGCGCATGCCGATCTGCGTGGT